GTATGACCACTGAGATTATGAAAAAAGAGAGCGCTATCCTACTACTTTTCCAGGTTGACATTCTATAAATGTGCTGGTGTGCTGAGGTTAATAGCTTCTTAAAGTCTCAGCAAACAAAATCTCAATATGGCTGGGAATTCTGGAAGTTGGAGGATTGTGCCAGCTTGGAGAAGGCTGCAAATGTCTGCCTTCAGGTTACAGTTTTATTAAAAATAATGCTAATGTGCATAAACTCTATCATTCAAGCTATAAGTTAAGTTCTTTTATTCTACATTACCCAGGAGTGTGAAGAAAAGAAACACTGCTTTTCTGTACATGTTCACCTAGAAATAATTCCTTGGGTACTTAAGCATATGGTAAAGTGCACAATGCATGACATTTACCCTGGAGTTGCATGAGATGATGACATTTTGAACATGATTGTGCAAGAAAGCCATAAGCAAGTCCTAATTGGTTCATCAGTGCATTTGCTTTGGCACATATCCCATCCAGGCTGAATATTTGGCCATCCTAAGAGATTGCTACAGCCTGCCTCAGTTCTCGGCAATTAAGTGAGCCTGATGCAGTGACTGTATGTGAAATGAATGCCTTGCTTTCCTCAGGGTCTATGTTGAAGCAAATTTCAGCCAAGAATCTCCTTTCAGTACTACATATAAGTTCTGAACTATGTGAAATAAGATATGCATTTGGAATAATGTGGGTAGAACACCTTCCCACTCACAAATCAAAGGCATCTCTTATGGATTTGGGATTTATAGATGTCAGGTCCACACAGTCTGGGAGCTCTTATATAGGTAAAAAGAACAGATTGCCTTGATTGTAGTTCATTCTATTGACTTAGAACGTAATGCTTACTTCTTTGATTGGAAATTAACAAAAGAGATAAAAGAACAGGAAGACACAGAGTACTATCTAATATGGAACAAGTGGCATGACTGGTTGGAGACTAGAAATAATAGAGGAGAATAAATGTGGAAAGGTCAAAAGTGGAAAATGTGTGTATAATAATGTATAGTAATAATAATATGTATTATTCTTAGTATGAAGTATAGTACGAAGGAAGAAAAATGCAAATAAGAAACAACGGGGCAACAAGGACAAATATTCTAGAGAAGAATAAGGGGGGAAATGTAAATAATAGAAGATTACTGTTACGAAATCGCTGTTAAAAAAGGGGGAGGAGTAGCTACTGTGTGTGTATGTGTGTTATGTTTTGTTTTGTTGGTTTAAAAAATAAAAAATTAAAAAAAATGATTTGTTTGGTTTTGTTTTAGGGTGATATGTAAACCAACCATTCTGGCTTCAAAAGAATTTAGAAAAAATATATAGAAAAGGCCTACCTCTGCAAATCTAGAAAAAAACAGATAATCCTGCCCCCACATGTGTGAAATGGTGCTTTTCTCTTTACATCATTGCTCTGCCCAACACAGCTCTTGACATAACAAAAAAGGCAGCCTACAGCCATAACAATGTTCTCCATAGCTAACTTAGTGTAAAATATGATCCCAACTAATGTGTAAAGTTCTCTTGAGCCTTGTGGGACTCTCAAATTTGACACCATTTAGATAAATGGCCCCTAAATGTTCCATGCCTAGGCCCTGCCTCATATTTATCTGTCACCAATTCCCCCTTTTTCTGAGCAGAAAATTCTATTTCCAACAGGTTTTGTGTACAAATACAGAAAAAAGAACTGGTTTCTCCAGAAAAGCTTCAGGGAGAAAAAGAACTTACTTTGCTTACTGTGGCCTTGATATGAAATATAGTGTTCTCAGAATCTGGGCAACTGAAAATGTTAGCTGGAGACAGTTACTAGGCAACAGCTGCACCACGGGACATGAGTGAGCAGACAGCTCATCATTCTCTCAGCAGCTTGGGGTCTTTTTGTATGTGGCAAAGGAAGCAGATGTGACATTATGAATGCTCACCTGTATGACGTGAGTGGCCTACATTTGAGAAACTGGCTGAGTATTTCTAGATAAAATGATATTTCTTGCATGTTGGATGTTCATCTCCTGTAGAGTCTTAGTAAGAATGTCTGACACAAGCATAAAAAGTTCTACACTGTCACTTAATTTGGAAGCTCAGTTGCTGGCAGGCAACTCACAAACTGCCATATGTTATAATGTTATGTGGGTGTTTGTCACTTAGTGTATTATATGATGGGTGATCCAAAAAGGCCTGAAGCAAATGGAGAAATACCACTTCAGCCATGAGGAGACTCTGCTATTCCTTCCCATGGTATACGCTTTTCCTATGTGACTCCTTTTTGATTGCTGTAGTGTTGCTTCTCAAACTGATAAGCAAATAGCCATCCTATAGATGCCATTCTGAGGGAAATCCTTTGAGAAGCTCATTCTGAGTGATCTGAGTTTGCCACCATAGCCTGCTGCAGCTGTCTAACAATGTATTACACTGAAGACCTTTCTTTTTTTTTTAATATATATAATATTTTATTGATTTTCTCATTTTACAATTGAATATTTAAAAAGCAACATGATGACTGGGTTAATTAATAGTTCAATAGTGTACATAAATCTTTAGTATAAATCTCAAATTACAACATCGGATATTTCCTCTCTTTTTCCATTAATATCTGTTATCTCATATTAGTCTGGTACAATTCTTATTGTTATCAACTAAATAAAAACATCTTTATTACATTTATCAATAATTTTTAGCTTGTACGTATCTTAATTGTGTTTGCACTTAATCCTTGTATACAATCAATGTCCTGTTATTGTATTTTTTTTAGGCTTTAATTTCCCATCAATATTCAAAGTAACTCTATTATTTATGATTTCCAAGTATTTTATATTTAGGTGACCAAACGTTTCCCTTATCTCAACTTCTCCATTTTCCCCTTTTCATACTAAAGTCTAATATTCTGGTTATACATCTTATCTATTTAATTATAATATTGCTCTGTTTTCTAAAAGTTATCTGTTTTCCACCACATTCAATCATCTAATTGATAGTGCAGTATCTCCTAATAAATCAAAACCATTATAGGTGTTGTCTAGGTTAACCAATAATTCAGTAATATACATAACTTTTTAGTTTAAGACCTTTCAAAGCAACACCTGTGTAGTGAACAGCAAAGAGACAAGCTGTTTGGCTTGAAAGAGGGGTAAAAGAATCCATCTATATTAGAACTGAGCACCCCTCCCTCAATAGAGGGCAGAGGAATAAGACACCATCTATCTCCACTTTACAACACAGCCCTTGCAGCAGTTCCAGGAAGATTCCACAATCAATTGCACCCTGTTTCAGGTGATCCTGAGGGCACAGATAAACCCCCAAGTGGCCTCAACAGCTCTCAGAGAATTCTAACAATCAGATGACTGCAAAGATATTCAGTTCTGTCACCCCTCCCCACTATCGTAGTAGAACCTATCCTTCCATTCCCCCCCCCACACACACACACCATCAGAACTGATGAAGCTTCTTGGATAAGAAGCTAAAAGTTTTCTTCTTTCTCCTCAAGGAAAAAACACTCCAGTTATCTTTTGAAGAAAAAAAGTATCTTTGATAAAACATGTATTATTTGTTATTTCAAAAGCTCTTCCATGTTTGCAGGGTAATCCTGCTCATTCTGCAGAGGAGATGGCCTGGATTCCTTTCCCATAATCGTGGTCTGATGGCATTGATTATTGAATCTTCATTGACATATTGCAAGCCATTTTGAGAAGAAACTCCTGAAGTTAGTGTGGCAAGAGTTGGTACATTCCAATGGCTCTCTGGTTCTCTGCCTAACTAATTTTGCTCTGACTGATAAAGTTGCTTGGATGACAATGAAATATCACAAATTAACAAAGTTTGGTCCAGTTGCCATGATTCAACCTTTAGATACCTTTGGTTTGGAGATTGAATTTTCATTGACATACACCAGAGCTAATATATACAATTATGTTTTCACAGAGCATATAGGATTTTTTTTAAAAGTTATATAGCAAAACCTTGATTTAATAGACCTCAGTTTAATGGATTTCAGATATGATGAAGACAATTTTAATTCAAACACCCTCATTTAATGATTAATGCTCATTAAATTTGAGGATGTGCTTATTAAAAAAGATGTTACAGCTGCAAATAATGCCATTTGCAGTAATGATATAAATTCATGCAAATTATCTAATGGATATTCTGAATTAAAAAGATAACTCTCCCTGAAAGGTTCATTAAATCATTGTTTTTCTACATACCTTGAGTATAAAATTGAGAGGGATTAAGGACTCACATTTACAAGCTTCATATCAAAAATATCATATAAATGAATCTATAAAGATCATAAAGAATGTAACATATTGTATAGACCTGGGGTATCCAACCTGCAGCCCAAGGGTCACATGCAACCTTGGACAGCTAGTAATGTAGCCCCATAAGATTATAAAATTTTAACATTATGTGATTTATACACATTACTATATTATATATATACTCTTCACTCATTATGGCTCAGGCAAGCCAAAGTTTGCACACCCATAGTTAAACCATTGATCTGTAGAGCCTAGTCCAATCAACAGTGACTAGCAAACCAGCCTTGCTTATGTTTATATAGATGCACAGGCCGAAATAAACTAGTAAGGTAATTATTTGTCCTGTGACAATGAAAAAATTGTTTTATTTTTACATTGTGGAAACAAAGTGACATGTTTCCGTAATGAATATTTGTGAAATGACCGTATGTGCCTACATCTTTACCTATACACCAGCCATTTGATAGCCCAAGCTTCATCTATTTTTTATTTTTTAAAAAATAAAAGATATTTCAGCCAAAAAGCTCCAGTGCAAGTTATCATGTTGCAATAGCACAGTTTTAACAACTGCTGTTACATGACGCTATGATTTGAAGAGACCTACAGATTGGCTAATCTGCTACTATTGATTTGGAGTTTGGCCTCTCCAAATTAACCTTGACTCCACCTGCTCTTCTCTTATTAACATAGTTAAAATTCATAGACAATTGCTCTTTTTCTCTTTTCTTGTTGAGGATTACTTGATGAAGGAAATTTTTGTAGCAGAAGTAGCTTTATTTTTTTTCATAAGTAAGGCTGGTTATAACATAAATGAAGAGATTATAGTTGTTTAATTGTTTATTTTACCTGGAAAAGGTTGGATTTCTGCATTTCTCCCTGGATTACAGTTCTGGAAGTACTATTCTTACTACTGCATTCTTACAATTAGGACTGAAAAAGAAGAGAGACTTTTTGCTATTTTCATGTGAATTTGTGATATTCCATTGCATCTTGCTGTATCTAAGAATCCATGAAGATGGTACGCTACTTGCCTTTTTTGTTCCAGAAGAAACTCAAAGCCACCCTTTGTCTTTTTCTCCTTATGGTTGTCCTGATACACATTGTGATAGATTTTGTGCCCTCTGCTGATTATAAGTCCTGCAGGTGTCTCTCTAAAGCAACAGATACCTTGGACCATTTATCACCCAGTTCTATATTAGCAGCTCAGAATAAGCTGAATCTAAGGAATCTTCAGGATTTTAGTAGCAGTAACAGCTCCCTGGAAAAAGGATTTCACTCAACAGAAGATGTGTCACATGTGGATGGCCTCAGCAATGTGGCTCTCCAAGATGCCAACATCAAGCAACAGGAAACCAAAGAAAAACCCAACCAGAAAATAAAATCTAAATTGTCTGCTCTTTTTGATCATCCTCTGTATAAGATCCCAATCCCAAAAGTTGTAAGGAAAGACAAACTATTTGGGACCAGACCAAAGATGAACCTCTTCATAAAAAGTAGTGATGAACGGTGAGAGATCCTCTTTTTCTTCTGGATGACTCCTTCAGTTTGGTGTGTCCCTTCTTGGATGAGCTTGTATCTATTCCTGCCCAGATTTTATTATTAAGTGCATAATATTTTCTTTCCCCATTTTGGAAGCATTTGAATCTCAGTAGGTTATGTTGATAAGAAGCCAGACTAAGATTATGTTATGTAATTTGATTCTGACTCCTCCCTGAGGCATGTGATATAGTATCACCTTCTCCTCATTAGTGATCAACTTTGTTATAAAGTGAAATGGTTGCTAAGAGATGTGACTAAGAGAGAGAGAAAGAGGAAGAGATGGTGGGAAGATCACTGATTGTTGCCCTTTTATTCAGATGAAGTTCTGTCATACAATCTCCTATTGTGACCCACTTTCTCCCTTTTATGCCATTGTTGAAATAAGAATGCCCATCTATTATGGAAAGAATTGTAATTGTAGCTGAAATGCTCTTATACCATGAGTACTTCCTAAGACTTGTACAACAATGTCAAAGAACAATATATAAAATCAGTACTGAAAGCATGTATGCCAGGATCCAGATTCAGAGGGAAGTATTTTCCACAGGTTGTTGTGATTATATTATTATAATTTACCACTGTATATTATGCTGATTTCCAAATGTCCCTCTATATTCAGAATGAACCAACATCCTTGTACTTCTCCTCTCTTTCCAGTTCTTTTCTCTATTATTCCTAATAGACAATTATGATGCTACTTATGATGTATTCACTTACAGCAGGATTTTGCTATTTGATATGGAAAGTACAAACTAGAAGAAAAAGGTATATATATATATATATATATATATATATATATATATATATATATATATATATATATATATATAGTTAGTAATATGGGTAAAAATATGACTCCTGGGTATATTCATATTATAAAACAAATAAATAAATAACGATCACCAGGAGAATAAATGAAAAAACATTTAATAAAATCAAACTAGAATATTATGTGTCAGCTTTAATTATTATTGTTATTTATGTGTCAGCTTTAATTATTATTGTTATTTGTTCAAAAACTGAAGTCACAGCTGCCAGTTCTTTAGCTGGTGTTGGCTTTCATATGCATTGAGTTATTCTTAAAAACATAGGTTGTCATAATGTTGGGAGAGGGGTTACTTCTAGATAATTCAGGATAGCCTTAATATGTTGATATCTTTAAACTGTACCTTTGCTTTGCTTGTAACTCAGTGTGTAAATTCAGTATTCATATATAGGATGTAATAATAACTTAATAGAGTGCTTGATTTTGTATGTTGGATTTGCAGAATCAGAAGCAACAATGCAGAAGACCTTCAGGACCACAATGCTCACCCTGCTTGGCTCAGTTTTTATGCTGGAATCAATCGCTATGAACTGTATGCCCGCCATGATCCCTCTTGCCATGACTTGATGAAGGATTTGGCCAAGCAGAAAATTATCAGTTCAGGTACTACACAGCATTTCAGATGCTCCAACTAACTCATTGTTTGTTTCCTCATCCTGTTTTCTCTTTTCTAATGTTTGCTTTTCTAGTGTTTCCTTTCTTTACTTCAGAATAAACCCAGTTAAACCATCCACAGAGAAGAGTGCTAGAACAGGGAGGCATCTCTTCTGCATATGAGCTACTTAGTATTAACCAACCAAGATAGGGACTATCTTTTTGTAGCCCACAGCCACACTTTTTGTTAACAAATTTTGACTGAAATCCAAGGGTACAAAGTAATGACATCTTGAACAGATTAGATTTCCCTGTTTATTTGTTTTACTGAATGTTTTATTTAGATGTGTTAAAGCAACCTGACATCTTATCTTCTCCCCTCCTCCACCTGCTGGGAAAATGAACTCATCACGTTTGGCAGTTTGTTTCTGGGCTATTTGATTTGCAAAAGTGAAATTTGGGAACCAGATAAGCTCATTAATTACATCCCCCATGCCAGGAGTTTGCCAAGATCCTCAGTGTAAACAAAGACAGCCAGGTTTCTCTCTTTGTTATTTTTAATATTTTTTTTAATTTAAACACACACATGCCATTGGCAGATACATGACAGCAGAGCTAAACAGCTTGATAGCTATAGTTACTCTTTAACATGTGGAAAAGCATATTATAATATATAGTATACATATTCTGTATTCTGTTATAATAATTCTAACAGAAAAATACTGAAAGATGAAGATTGAGGAAATAATAATTTGATTTTGAATCTAAAATGCATAAAAAACTTGAAGCTAATGAAGAACACTCGTATTAAATAATTACTGGATGTTATATCTATAAGAGGGCCTAGCACAATAGGTGGTCAGATCAAAAATTAAATTTAGGGGTCAATTATTATTAAATTACTGCAGAACCACATACAGAGGATAAGCAATCTCTAAGTGGTAATAAAACTACCACAGCCATTGATTACAAAACCCAGTTTGGTAGACATCATATTTAGGATGAAATGTGATATGAAACAGTAAAAGCATGAGAAAGAAGCTTACCTTGTACCATGTATAGGATCATGATTTTTATTCAACAAACACTTTTCAAGGAGGTATCCTTTTTTTTTGAATGAATTAGATAAATGGATCATTTTACTCTCTTCTATAAAATGAAAAATATAGCAATCTGAATCTCTTCATGAGTCTAATGCTTGTTAATGTCATTTCAGTCCAGAAGCCTGGAGGAACTCAACTGAAGCTTATCATGACTTTTCCCAATCATGGCCAAGCTCTCTTCAAACCTATGAAGTAAGGCATCTTGATACATTAATTGTGATCTCCTCCAAAATGGTTTGTTTGGATATGCTGAGAGTGCAATTCCAAAGGCTGTTAGCTGAAAATTCAGGAATTTCAATCTGAGTTCTCTTTATTAATATTCTGACCCTAAGCATCTTTTCATGCATTGCACCGATCCTCGATGGGTTTACATTAAACCTGCACTTTGTAAATTAATTGGTAGTTAAAACATCTTTGTATAGCAAACTGATAAGGTAATCCTGGCATTGGCATCTGTATCCCAAGTGAAAAAGAAGTTTGTACCATTGGCTGTATTTCTAAACACACCTATGCAATAATTCTATCAGAAGAAACTTAACTGTAAGCATCAAAATATAAAAGTCAAGTACATCTTCTGCTGACTACAAGGATGCCTCCATATTGATTTCTTGGCAAAAGGGAATAAAACTAAATAATACATGTACCCCTTTGCTGGGACAGTCTGTTTCTATATTCCATATAGTATATTTTATAAGGCTGGCATTGAAACAAAAATGGATTCACTTGCTCTGTATTTCTCATGGGGTTTCATCTGCAGAAAAAGGGTCATGGCCACAGAGATAATAAAATTAGACAGGAATAGTATAATAAATCATTAACATCTGCAAATCTGATTACAAGTTAAAGACGGAATTTAAGTGTTCTTTCAAAAATGGGCAGGTTCTCATTGTATTGGGAACATCTAGGAAAATAACTCAAAATACTAGCAGGCAGTGTCATATTTTAATTAGAATTAGAACAAAAAAATATTCAAAGCTCCAGAAAAAAAAAACATTCACAACCCTTTAAAGCATGTTGTAATGCCTGTATCCTAGCAAAACAACAGCAATCTTGCACTTCTGTTCCCTATCAATATGCCTGCTTTCCCCAAATTAGTGCCTTATTCGTGAGTGTTCAGATTGATTGCACTGAATATTTAATCGAAATATCCTTAAAATTGCTCTGAAATTTTATAGCACAAGATGGTTACATATGGCGCTATAATAGTAAAAAATAGTTATCGTTATTACCACCCTAGCGCAGTTGTAGCTACTGCAGCCCTCATCAACAGAGTTCGGTTTTGATGGAGATGTGCGACCTCTGCTGGTGAAAGGTTTAAATTGAAGCTCTTAGTGTTTTTCAAACTGGAATTCACAATCCCAAGACTTCCCATTTGGAAATAATGGACATTGTAATCCAAACATTCCTGGAAAGGTTTGAACTGAGAAAAATACTTTAAAATGGTAAAATTGAACGGCATCAATTGGATGCTAGTTTGTTTGAACAGATTCAGCTGAAAGACTGTAGCTCTTCAGAACATGCATGCAAAATGTCTCCAACATCTCCAGCTAGACTGACAAAATATCACTACTTGCAGTCACAAGAGTTACTACTGCTATAAAATACCACAATGATGGATGCAAATCTGACTTGCTGTAAGAACCTTGCACATTCTTATCTTATGTACACAATGATCTCCCAGGTGAAAGGAGATGTGGCTTTGACTTCAGCCACAAGACATTATTTTCCTGACAATTTCTATATGAGCATCTGCCAAATGTTGACATCTTCCCAGAATTCTCAGTAATGTCAAACTGTTGGGGAAATCTGAGAGCTGGATGAAGTACATTTTAGGGAAACTTGTTTCTGATAATCTCATTCTACTCTTCTCTCTGCCTTCCTAGGCAAACCCGAGACCAGGAGACTTCAGCAGACTTCTTTTACTTTTCAGACTTTGAGCGGCACAATGCAGAAATAGCAGCTTTCCACTTGGACAGGTAAGTTCAATCTAATTCTCTTGTTCAAAATACATCTCTGCTCTGTTTTCAGGAGGAGTTAGTAAAAAAAAATACCATACTCTTTGTCTGTAGATAGACTCGGCTTTTGGCATTTTCTGTTGCAGAATAATCCCAGTAGTACATGGAAATAACTCTACTTAGACTCTTTCGAGCTGTTGTTATCAGAGTAGGTAAGGCTGAGCTAGTAGACAACAATTTCCTGCCCTGAACGTGAGCAGAAAGAATAGTGAGATATACATCATAATAAAAATAGCAATATAACCAGCCTGCTGCTTTAAAATGCTGGTGTTTGAGAAGACATCTGAAAATAACAGGGACATCAATGGATCACTGAACAAATCAAGCAAGTGTTCTCACTCAAGGATCAAATGACCAGACTCAAATTATCTTACTTTGGACATATTATGTGAAAAACTGGATCTCTGGAGAAGGGTCTAGTTCTGGGAAAAGTGAAAGGAAAGAGGAGAAGAAGAAGGTGATAGCAGCGAGGTGGTGGATTCAGTTACAATGGCAATGACTGCAGTGTTGGAAAACGTGGAAGATTAGATTAGGACAGATCATGAAAAAAATCTATTTATGTGATTGCTAGGAGTTGAAAATGACTTAAAGGCACATAATCAATCAAAATAGTGATTTCAGTTGATATAAGATCCAGGCATACAACAAGTTATAGAACAGGGTTGGATAATCTATACTCTTTTAGATTTTGTGGGGAAATACATCTGAATACAGGATTAAAATGTTTACTTAAAGGAAACAGGAATCCTAGAACTTCTAGAAGGCCACAAGTTTTCATCATTTGATTTAGTGTGTTGAGACCATGACAAAATTATTGGTAGCCATTCTGAAACTCTAGCTCTGCTTGGGGTATCCAGGGTTCTGGTTGTGACAGAAGGTATTGTGTACCTGACTAAACGTGTCATGTTTATATGAAGCCTGGCCATTTTAAAGCTTAGCCATCACTGGGTTCAGATTAGACATCAGTAAAAACTATCCTTGAGGGGTACAATCCAACATCTAGCAGGATTTACCACACTTTTGCCCCGGGTCTCCCTAACCAGCTGGGAAGCCCCAATTAAATTTCAGAGCAACGGAGCATCATAAGAAATTTAGATGAGGGTTCTAATTCATTCAGAGCATTGCGGTTACAATCCAAACCTCACAAGGTAAGAGGCAATCTATCAAGGAATCCTTCACCAAGAGTTCCATAAAGGGGCAGAAGGTGATTCAAGATACCCTTCAATGCACCCAGTCCATAGAAGTTTGCTAAGCTAGAAGGCAAACCTCAGGTCAAGGCTTGAGGCCCACATCATAATGTGATAGCTAATGCAACTGTTAGAAAAAAGTTAATTGATATTGTTTGATTGTAGGCGTTATGATATTAATAATGTATAGGCTAAGCTGTCTATTCTTTATTCAAACCTTTGTGCTGTATTTGCCTTTTCTATGCAGGATCCTGGACTTTAGAAGAATTCCCCCAGTTTCTGGACGGTTGGTGAACATAAGCAATGAAATCCGTGACATTACAACAGATAAGAAACTGTTTAAAACGTTTTTCATCTCTCCAGGTGCGTATCTCCCTGTCCCTTCTTGACACCAACTTTGGAAACAATGAATGATTGTGTCTTTAAATTTATGGAGGTAATTGTATAAATCTTTCCCAATAAACTGGCCTCTAGATTTAGTGTGGCGCCTACAATTACTGCATTGTAATAAACACAACAAGTTAGAGAAGGCAAACACAGATTAACTCTGACAGGAATTTAAACTATTCCCTTCTCTCTTCAAATCTGTTTAAGGCAGGTGGTAGCATGATCTATCATAGAAAAAATGTTTCTGTGTTGCAGTTCCCTAACTTTTGCTTCCCTCCATTTTGCCTGGATCAACCAGCTGGCAACATCTGTTTCTTTGGTGAGTGCTCCTACTATTGCTCTACTGAACATGCTTTGTGTGGCAAACCTGACCAGCTTGAGGGATCCATGGCAGCCTTGTTGCCTGACAAAGCGATAGCTGAACGCCAGTCTTGGCGGAGTCCCTGGAGGCGTTCCTATTCCAAAATCAAGAAAGCTGAGTGAGTATCCAAAAGGAGAAAAGAAAAGCCAGTACAATTTAAAAAAAAAATTTAATAGGCAAAAAGCAAATTCTAGATAGAGTAGAGACAAATGAAATGGTTGAAGAAATAGGACAGTCAAAGAAAGGAGAAAATGAGGCATGTAGTCTAAACATAAAAGAATCTGTACAAACCATGAAAGTATATCCATCAGCCCATCAATTTGGATATCACTATATTACCTTCTTGTATTTGTTTTGCATCTGTTTTACTGTTTTTATTCCCCTTGCTTTTATGCTCACATAGGCCCACAAGAAAAGTCTGGTAAGAGAGCAAAGAACACCAAACCTGCAGAATAGTCAGTGGCTCTTTCATCACTAGTGATTTGGAGAACCTGATTCTGTTTAAAAAAGATTAGTATGGGCCTTAAGCAACTAATGGAAATAGCTTTTTATATTTTTTATACATATAAACATATTGAGCTTCAGATACAATATCAAAAAAGATTCAGAAATCTAAAATAAAAAATGTAAACATATAACCACGACAGAAGATGGATATCAACAGAAAGATATATCCTCCTATTTACCATACTATGAATAAATTCTGATTTGTCACCTGTCTGACACTATCTTCTGGAAATGAAGAAGAGGGAATTAATATCTTCTTTTAAGAGGTTGAGATATACTGCTTCATACCGCTGGAAAAGACTCATATCACAAAAATATATTGTATTTCAGAGAAAGCATACCACTTTCTCTATTTCTGTTGCTTTTCTTAAGGTCTCAGGATCAAGGTTCACCCTGTAAGCAATGAAAAGTGCCAGCACATTTTCATTGCTTTGAAAAGGGAATAGAATTTTATTGTGCGACTTATTTTCATGGTAATTTTACTGGCAGAAAGAGGAAAAGATGCTTCAGAGATTTCTGATTTGTGTGTCATCGCTTAATATGCATCTGCGTGACTGAAAAAAGAGAGAAGAGTCATTTGCAGCTCAGCTCACACAGCTAAGTATTTTGGCCTTTAATTAAGTAACTGTAGCATCATGCAAACAGGATCAAAAGAATCTCCGTACCCATACAACATACATTTGCAAAATAACAAAATGGTTAAGGTGATGTGAGGAAGGAGTTCAACCAAAGCTGCTTCTTTTTTTCAATATGAGATGTATTTATTATTGCTATTAAGACTTCATGTACTACTGTTTACCAATACACCTCAGCAGTTTAAAACAGAAAGACATAAATAAAATTAAAATGAAGAATAACTTAATTATATTTGAAAACACACCGTAGACATTTTATGTTGGTAAATATTCTTAAATGCCACCGGAAAGTGTAGAACAATGGTGGTTTAGAATTCTAACAGAGGGAGAGAAAACTGGATAAATGGATAGAATACTAAAAATGAACTATTGTAAATGATCATCCATTAGAAGCCTGTCCAAAGCAATTAATTTTTAAGGCCTTTTGGAACAGAGACATTAGCAGATAAGTTTAGCAGAAAAGTTTAGCAGATAATATTTCACAATGGCTGACTTTTCCCAGGTGGGAACTGAATGAAAATTACTGTGCTCAGGTTCGCAAGACCCCACCCTATGACAACACTGCCCGACTTCTGAGTCTCATTGACATGACCATGCTTGATTTTCTCATGGGTGAGTATGTTAATGAATTTATACTGGGGACAAGAGACCTGGATCAGTGGTAGCAAAAGATAGGAGCAGAAGGCCCCAGATCATGCCTTTGATTCAGTCTCTGTCTGGCATTTCCACTGCAGATGTTTCAGCTCAGCTTGTAGGAGGGAGACTGGGATGCTAGAGTTTCTTAACCATATGACCCACTGCATCTTACAAAACAAAGGATCTCTTTTCTGTGTAAAACTGGCTGCCCACCAGCTTCTCTAGAATAGGCTTTCATTGGCAATACATTGTGCTGAAATTCACAAGAAAACAATTGCTCCTTCTGTAACATTTCTCAGAGTCTCTTATTTTGGCCTGTTTTTTTAAGCAATGCCTTACTATTCCATAAGGGGATATTCTTTTTCTCAGTTGTTTATCCCTCTTTAGAAGAACTAAATTCATGCCAGTTAAAACTTGTCACAATAAGGAATTTAGAAGCCTGCATCTTAAATAAATTTCTGAATAATTTCAGAAAGTTCACTGAAGGGCCTTATATTCACCTTTTACCAATGCCTACTGTTGGCCGATTTATAAGGTGACCAACTTTTTTACAATGAGAAGGAGGACACAAATAAATTGAAGAAAAAAATATGAATAAATAAAATTAATTATTAAAACTGAAACTAACATAAGCGAATAAACTTGTAAATAAAATTATACATATTTGGAAATTATTAAATAGATAATAAATTAATAAATTAATAATTAATGAATTAATAAAACGTGAATTACTGTGCTCACCTATGTATGATTGAATATTCACTGAGAAAGAAGTGAGTCTAATGCGTGCGTGCCGTGTCATGTTTCAGTAAGAAATAAATAAAGCCACTTATGCGCGGCGCACTCTTGTGAGCAGCGCACTCTCAAAACAATTCTGTGCAGAACGCATGCGTCTCATAATCGCGTCTTGCCGCACTGTACCAAGCCTTGACAAATCGTCATGTAAATACAAATACATCACATCACACACAATGGATCAGCTCAGCATCGATCGAATACAGAGATTTACAGATTAGTCTTCAAATATCGAAAAGGAGGAATGTAGGAGGACACTTTTCGAGAGAGGACAGAACTTACAAAAGAAGGACTGTCCTCCCTAAAGGAGGACGGTTGGTCACCTTACGATTTATTCCTGTTCTGTCCAACCAATTGCCAATGGCTCTGCAGGTTTGATAAACTGTCCATGTTGTAGAGCACAAAAGTGTAACTTATTTTTGCTCTTTTCCTCAGCTTCGGGTTAATATGCAAACAAAGTCTCACCTTTCAGACTTACACAGAAACAAAACTTAAACCTTTGCTGATTGTTTTCAGGATACATGTAAGAAAATTCAGATAAAATGTGGCTAGCTAAAAACTCCCATATTCAAAATACTGCTCAACATGCAATATTTATTTTATGGTTTATAATAGCAAACATGTTTCACTATACCCTCTAGTGGAAGCACTGCATATTTTCATATTCATATCCTATATCCCATATTTTAACAGTAGAAATATACAGTATAAGCATTTAGAGCATGGGTATCAAACTCACTGCATCACGTGATGTGTCGCGACATATTGAGACTTTCCTTGCATTGCTGGAGCTGGGGTGGGCGCGGCCTCCAGATGATGCAACCAGCCCACGGGCTGGCAGTTTGACACCCCTGATTTAGAGGATTGGTTACCCCATCTATTCCCAATTTTTGCTCCAAAAATGCAGCTGCTTATTATGTATTGTTATTACACTGTTTAACTGACCAATCAGACTAACCTATTTGATTAGTGGGCAGCAAAAGCACAAACATAACATCTTAAAAGATAATATAATCTATTCAAATACTGATAATCTAACTTGGTGATGTTCCTCAGTTAGAGGTTTAGAAAAAAGGATTTATTTGAATACACATACACATTCACTCTCCCACCCTATAAATCAGGTTATATACTACATGACCTTTGGCTTTGGAAAATCCATATTTTTTATATCTTGCAGAATAAAGTATATTTGGTGAAAGCACATTATCTTTTGTAGATATGTGGACTCCATCATGCACTTAATTTATATATTATTAAGTACAGACATTGTGTTTTGCCATCATAGTTTACGATTTTAAGTATGAAAAGATAAAATTAAACTAAACATTTATCCTGCCCAATTTTGGGGTGTGGTTCTTAGCATCTGCTCAAAGCCTAACATACAGAAGCTGTGCATTTGTGATGTTTGTGCAGTAATGGGTAGCATCCTGTTCTTGCATTTATTTGCTGGCTATGTCCAAGTTAGGCTTGAAATTGTATCTTGGGCTCCAATTCATTAAGCAAAATATATATTGTATATTATTGTACCTACTGGTGACTTATTGAAGAAATCACACCTATTCCTGTGTTTACATGGTAGCTATAGTATGTAGACTCAGACACTTCTGATAGTGGCAGAAGAGCAGTGTATATGTGTATTCCAATATTATATATTCTAATGGCCACCTCAGAACCTGATCACTCTCAAGACAATTCTCTGTGTGAACAGATTCATGTCAGAAACAGAACTGAGTGACAGTTGGCATCCATATTTTCCAAAGAACAAATGTACTGTATACTTTTGGCCTTATAGTTCAGGTATGGGCAAATGTTGGTGACACATTTTCTTCCACTGTTTTTTCTTTATCTGCAGGAAATATGGACAGGCATCACTATGAGACATTTGAAAAGTTTGGTAACCACACTTTTTATCTTCACCTGGACAATGGCAGAGGGTGAGAAAGTGCTGCTATCTTCTTAAGGGTGGGCAAGATATTTTGGAAGGCTTTTGAACTCTGACATATAATGATCTGCATCTTTGAAAACAAGGCTAAAGTTGGAAGGGACCTTGGAGGTCATCAAATGCAACCTCCTGCTCAGGCAGGTAACCCTATACCATTTCGGACAAATGGCTGTCCAGTTTCTTCTTAAAAACTTCCAGTGTTGGAGCTTTCACCGCTTCTGAAGGCAGGTTGTTCCACTGGTTAATTGTTCTAACTGTCAGGAAGTTTCTCCTTAGTTCTAGGCTGCTTCTCTCCTTGATTAGTTTCCATCCGTTGCTTCTTGTCCTGCCTTCAGGCACTTTGGAAAATAGCTTGACTCCCTCTTCTCTGTGGCAGCCCCTGAGATATTGAAACACAGCTATCATGTCCCCACTCGTCCTTCTCTTCATTAAACTAGACATACCCAATTCCATCAACCTTTCCTTATGTTTTAACCTCCAGTCCCCTAATCATCTTTGTTGCTCTTCTCTGTACTCTTTCTAGAGTCTCAACATCTTTTTTACATCGTGGTGACCAAAACTGGATGCAGTATTCCAAGTGTGGCCTTACCAAAGCATTGTAGAGTGGTATTAATACTTTGCGTGATCTTGATTCTATCCCTCTGTTAATGCAGCCTAGCACTGTGTTGGCTTTTTTGGCAGCTGCAGCACACTGCTGGCTCATATTTAAATGATTGTCCACTAGGACTCCGAGATCCCTCTCACAGTTACTACTATTGAGCAAGGTATCCCCTATACTATACCTATACATTTGGTTTTTCTTGCCTAAATGTAGAACCTTACTTTTTTCACCATTGAATTTCATTGTTAGATAGCACCCAGTGTTCAAGTCTGTCCAGATCCTCCTGTATCCTAAGCCTGTCTTCTGCCAGCTTGGTGTCGTCTGCAAATTTGATGAGTTCCCCATCTATCCCCTCGTCCAAATGATTGATGAAAATGTTGAAGAGCACTGGGCCCAGAACAGAGCCCTGGGGCACCCCACTACACACTTCCCTCCATATAGATGTGGTTCCATTGAGGACCACACGCTGAGTAAAGCCGGTCAGCCAGCTATGGATCCATCTGGTGGTGATGCTGTCTAACCCACATTTTTCTATCTTATCAAGTACTAGGTTGTGATCTACTTTGTCAAATGCCTTACTGAAGTCTAAGTAAATTATATCACAACATTCCTCTGGTCCACTGATTTTGTCACTTGGTCAAAGAATGCAATAAGGTTTGTCTGGGATGATCTGTTTTTGACAAACCCGTGTTGGCTTTTAGTAATGACTTGGTTTGCCTGTAGGTATTCACTGATTCATTGTTTGATTATCTTTTCCAGAATCTTCCCAGGTATTGAGGTCAGGCTGATAGGTCTGTAATTTCCTGGATCCATTTTTTTCCCTTTTTTGAAGATGGGAACTTTTCCAGTCCTCTGGTAGTTCCCCAGTGCTCCAGGATCTTTGAAAAATATAGTTCAGTGGTTCTGAGATCACATCTGCCAGTTCCTTGAGAACCTTGGGATGTAATCCATCTGGTCCTGGGAACTGTAGCTCCAACACATTTAGCAAAGTCCCAGATTGAAAAAAAAACTATTCTGCTCTACACTGCACTAATTCAAAATAACACCTCCCCCCCTATTGTGGGATAGTCTTTAAAAGCAAGAGTTTACAAGATAAGGATTTCGAACAAGTAAGAGCCAGTTGCAATGTACTCTTGTGCTAGAATCCAGTGACTTAGTCTCTGCAGTCTCAGCACTTGGCAAGTATTATTTGAATGTGAAGGAATACTTATCTACTGGCATTATTTACACATGAGAAGGAGAATTATAATTTACTTTAAGACTATAGTGATAATACTATTCTAAAATTTAACAGTACGATAATGTTATATAAAATGTAACACTACAAGCAATATGATTAGAATAATTCCTACCAACTGTACCATGTTTTGCCCCTGGATAATTCCTTTCTTCTTAGTAATAGAATAAGATAGCTACATTATCCAGCTGTGCCTTATTTTCACATTTTATTTCACCGGCAGCATTTGAAATGTGTACAATAATCCCTTGAGATGAGCCCATATCATATATTGATTAGTCTGTTGGACTAGACTGGGAAATCCAGATCCAAGTTCTCAAGTAATAGGATTATTCAGTTTTAGTCCAGCATACTTCAGTATTGTTGTGGGAATAAAATTAAAGAATAGAATGCAGTTTTATGCCACCTTCTCTCTTGTGAAAACAGGGAAATTGTAATGGATAGCATCACTCCTCCCCCAAATTATGCCCTAATCTGTTATTTTTGTTCTTGTTTTTAGGTTTGGGAGACATTCTCATGATGAAATGTCTATTCTGACTCCTCTTCGGCAGTGCTGCATGTAAGGACAATTTTTTTGCCCCTCAAAATTTGCCCTTACCAGGGTAATATAATTTAGGATAGTTTAAGAAAGGTCCAGTTTTCTGCAATGAAAAACTGGTCTTGCTCATAAATGAGATTGTCAAGGTGCCCTCTCAGAAGTGCTGTGTTTGTAGGAGGAGGACATCACACATCCAAATCCTCCTCTGTTTAGTTTGTTCAGGAGAACAGGAGATTGTATGGTGGGAGCTGGTGTGATTTCTGTTTAACTGTTTCTCACCACTAGTCCATTACTGCTGAGACTGCTCAAACTTCTTTATTTAATTATGAGATTATTATTTGCCACCCATCTCATATCCAACAATTTGAATATTGTTTACATAACAAAAAGCATGCCCATTAACTGCATTTAGTACTCAATTAACTATCATACTGTGGCCCTGGTGGCCTAATTCAGTCTTTCACAAAGAGAATGTCCTCAAGAGATATTGGGCTATAATCTCCATAATTTTCACCCAACATGACAATCATATTTAGAAAATACTAAATCTAATTCATCTCAAAATGTAGGTTAAAAAAGAAAATTATCAGAGGTTGGAATATCCAATGGTACGGAGGATGTGACATTTGTGTATTTACTTCTGAGTGAACCTCAAATCCTCTTATAAAAGCTGAAGATTAATATATCTAAAGAACTGTATATTGGGCAAGGTGGCTTAATGTGACTCTGCATAGATTAATTTTGAAGGTCAAATTTTTGTCTTTTACCCAGTTCTGTAGTTCCATGAACCAGCTCTCTTTCCAATTCTGAAGTATGAATTATCTGAGACTGATGGCAGGTCCCAATTGACACATTTGGACATAGGGCAATTCAGAATGCAAAGAAGCATGTAACCATGTTTTTGGCAGAAATCTGTTAAAATGCACATGCTCTGGGTAGAAAAATGCCTGCCAAACTACTTCCACTCTAAATCTACAGGAGGATGCATTTGTTTGTAATCTGAACCAGGGAACCTTTTGTAAAGAGCACCAAATTAAGGTTGATTCAGTTAAGTCATAACAAGGAATGGATTTTTCCCAAATACCTATAGCAGAAAATTATTATCAAGCTTAGCAATCAGAGTAGAAATTACATTACTTTACTGAATTCCATAATAGTTATAAATATTTTTCATATTGATAGTTCTAAGACTTCTCATTACTGTCCTGTTCATACTGGTATTTCAAGTCGATATATATTTATTTTAATTAAATTGCATTGATAGAAATACTAAATATGATATTTTCTCTCATATATATATATATATATATATATATATATATATATATATATATATATATATATATATATATATTCCTTGTTGTTATTGTCTCCAGTATTAAAAAGTCAACTTTCCTGCGGCTGCAACTGCTTGCTACTGAGCCTTATCGTTTAAGTGATGTCATGCGTGAATCATTAGCCTCAGATCCCCTGTCTCCAGTCTTATCAGAGGCTCATCTAGAAGCACTGGATCGGCGACTCAAAAAGATATTGGCTATGGTAGAAAACTGCAAGAAGGCAGATGGACATAAAGAAGTAATAGTTGACGACTTAAAAGGAAAGCAGTATTTTTAGTTTAGTGTAGTTAGAGATGTGATAGTTATCTTACTACAGTAGTCACACAATATCCCCAATCTGCTATTTCTGTTTACTCATGAAGAAATTATTTCAGATCTACCATTGCTATTTATTGAGGAGGGGGCCATTTATAGTTCCTTGAGTTCCAATAGGGTACTGTGAACTTTGTCCACTGCCAGAGCAGGCCCTTTGTTCATTTATAAGGTCTAGATTACTTATTGCCTTAACAATCATGCATAGCATTAGACCTAATTTCAAAGTGCTGTGCAAGAGATCAATTCAGATTATGATGTCAACTTTCAGTCAATTCCTCCAGACTGCCACTTGAGAAAGAAAAGAGTATCAGGAGTAAAAAGGGATTGGAGGCTAGGGAGAGTTCAGTGTCTCTTGTGACACCAGTTCCTTGAAGTTGCTCAGGAGGTTGCCTCTGCAGCTCTTGATAGGAAAAATGCTATCTCTACTTCTGACAACTTCTAGTCAGTATTATTTACTAAGGCCTCAGGCACTAAGTTTTTCTATCATATGGTCTTTTTAGAAAGGGCAAGATTGTGAATGTGGAATCTTCTGTATGCAAAACATATAAATGTTTATTTGAATAATTAGTTCAATGTATTATGAACATTCTGCTTCAGGTAATGACCAACTAAATGGGAATATATTTATTCTGTACAGTACATAAACTGTTGTATAAGAACATAACAAGCTGATAATGAGCCATCCAGCCTACATTATTGACCTTGACTAGCAGTAGCTTGCCAGTGTGTTTTTTCCAAGTCCTTCTTGGTGATGCCATATATAAAGAGAAAATGCTTTATATGATATATGAAGTCTACCCATAGAGGGAAATGAGTAGACTCAGGAAAGGCTCTTATTGGGCAAGTAACCTATGGTTCTTAGATATTCTTGTACAACACCTGCTAGCAACATCCAGAAGCACCAGCCAATAAGACAGCTAATGAAGGTTGCTGTTTAAAAACATCTTGACAGATACAGCTTGCTTACTCCTGTCCTTGGATAGATGGATTCAAAGAAAAACATGCATACACAGTTACATGAATGATTTAACATGGCTGCCCATAAATTGGTTTTATGGTCTTTTGGGTGGAAATTTTGTTTAAAGCAACTGAAGAAGTACTATTGTAACTACAGTTTGAGACTAGTCAATAGTATGACAAATTTATTGGGAATTTCAGGTACAACTGTTTTTATTTCTCCAGGAATATAACAAATGAATGAATAATAAATTGTTTTAATGATATTTTAGGTCTTTAAAGGAGTTAAGAAGCCAAGGGCATATTTTCTGCTGAAAATGACAATCAAATGTTTATTCAGGGCAATGTGTTCACTTTAAAAAGATTGTATCATGTTTATTAATTGTGCCTCAGTGTTCATATCTTTTTCAAGTTTTTCACAGTTAACAGATTTTCTAGATCCTGTTAAATAAGAGTATAAGATGAAAATAAATATCCAGAATATGATACAAATATGTGTTTAATTTCCATAATAGCCACACCTGTGTAGTGCAACAGGCAATTTTCACTTATACTGAAAATTAAGCTTCAATACAGGGTCATCCTCAGGTTTGGCCTATTGAGGCCAAGTGGTAGTACATCTGGAAAAAAGCCAAAAATTGACAAATCTCCGATTTGATGTATATTCATTGTGCACTAATATATTGCTATGGCTATAGCTCTGTTAGTCTTATGCAATTAAGAGTCATGCTGGCATAAACTATGCTGTCCTTCATAGATGATCCCTATTCTGCCACAGTGATACACCTGCTGAAAGATGCTGTTCTTATATACTTGTTGTGGGCTACCCAAGGGAAAGGCAATTTTGTTGTCAAAAAGTACCAACTGCACATGGGAAAACCATCTCTCCCTAAGTGAAATGCATTTAGGTGAATGCTTATAGCAACAGTTTTATCTACCCACAATGTTGCTTAGCTAAAAAGTTACAGGAGCTAAGGTGAACCACAAGATGATGCAGGAGGCAAGTTCCCCTCTACTCCTTAGTACAGTTAAGCACAAGGAGCCTCATAAGTGTCATTCAACTTTTCCTCCAGCCTAAGCCTAAATAGCCATGGAGGACAGTACCCAGTGCGGGGAGGACATGCCCTCAGTAAGTCTAAGAACTGGGCACCTTCCATCATCACACCCCAGTACAAGTCAGTAAACCTGACAGATCACAACACGAGGTGTTTGCGGGCAAGAACGAAAACGCTGCCTCATGTACGGGCGAGAGTTCACTCACTCGTTCACTCACTCACACACGATTGTCTCAGCACGTTCCTGCAATGCTTGAAACTAACAAGGAAAACCCTCTTCATGTGCACCCAACACGCACTACACACGCAGGCCGAGCAACGCCTCCCAAAGTGGGAACGAGCGCCCCGCCTTCCGGCCTTTCTTCCTATTCTATACCACGCCTAATCGGGGGGCGGAGCCAGCCCTGCTGCAGTTTATACTGCCCCGGAGCTTTTTCTTCTTGCGCAATCCGGCAATTGAATCCACAAAACGAACTGAAGGGCGGGGAAAAGGAAAGGCGACCAACCGAGAGCGCGTCTTGTTCAAACCAACCAATAGATACAGGGCGTCGCAGATGACTGACAACGCGGGTCAGGTGTGGCTCCTGCCAATAAGCTCATGCTTGTGAGGTTTGACAGGCGCACGCAGGCACCGGAGAAGAGGGTGAGAGCCCCGTCAGGCTCTATTGTTGGCGCGCGGGCGCTCACTGAGGCTTCGAACGGACCGAGCTAGCAACGGCGATTTCCTGGGATTAATCAAATCACTTAAAAAGCCCGCTAGCTTCGCCTGCTGGGGGTTGCTCGTGCTTTTGTTTGGAGTTCTTTTTTTGCGTCTCTCTTCTGAAGCAGTTGTAAAAGGTAACTTCGTGCGCTTAAAGAAAAGAAAAGGCAAAAGAGCATTGGGGAGTGTGTCTCTTCCTTGGCTTTTTGCCCCTCTGTCTGTACGGAACCTCTGTAGGTAGTTCCTCCAACCCTCCGTCGCTCTTGGCGGTGTCCGAGCTCTTTCCCATTTTCAAAACATACCAGGCGGCGAGCCATTTCCAACCCCGTCCCCTTCCAAAGTACTATCTGCCAGGGACATATTGGCTGGGAATGATGGAGCTTGTCCCACGTTTTGTTGCGGTCCGTCTTCCCTGCCGCTCATTTTTCTTGTGGCGTCTTCGAAGATTGCGGCTGCATTTCTACCTTTCTGGTAATGCAGTTGCTTATTTTATTTTTCAAAAGCGAGGCTCCGCTGGTTTCGCTTCCTTCCGGCAAGCGGTTGCTGCGTTTGTTGCTCTTCTTAAAAAGCGGGGCAAGCTGCAGCTTGGAAGTTTTCATCGGAGATAAAGAGGAGGGTCCGGGAAAGGAAGGGGGGGCCGCGAGCGAAACAAATACGCCCCGACCCTATGCAAGTTTCCTGCATGGATTTGAAGTTGTGCAACGAACGTGCTTGCAGTTGAAAAGTGAGAAGCCGCCGTGTGCATCGAGAAGAGGCAGAACGTTTGATTTGCTGTAACTGAAACAACGGAAAGGGTTTGACAGTTTTGCTGCTGCGTTAACCATTCTTTTCCTTCATTCCTCTTGGTCTTTCTTAATATTTGTAAATTGAGAAGTGGTTAAAATTATAGTTATGAAATAGCGAGGGATGAGGTTAAATTAATAGTTCTAGACATGTTTATAAAGAGAAGGAGGGAGAATTTGCTGGTGGGAGGAAAACACGCCTCCTAATTTGGAAATTCTACCCGAAAGAGACCTAGATTCAAATTCCTCTTAAATGATCTTGGCTCATTTACAACTCAGTCACTCTAACCTATTTTGCCGGATTATTGTTGTGAGGGAAAGAATTACCTTGTTTTCAGGGAAATGCAGGGAAATAATTCTGTGTACTGTTTTAAGCCACTGAAAGAAAATGTGAGATATTTATTCTATTTAGTGTTATGAAACTCCCAGGAGATTAGTGATGACATATTGCATATCACTTTTACCCCACTGATTTTCACCTCTCAAAAGAACCCTATGATATAATCTCAGTGAAAAATATTCATATTTTTCTGATATTCTGATTTTTGCAATTTTAACTCTGCATTCCCAAACCACATAACCTGTTTTCTTTAGACCAAAAAATGCACATGGCATTGCTCAAGTGCTAAAACAGATAAGGACTATTATTCCTATATGGGGGGTGGGTGGGTTCAAAATTGAAAGTGGGAGCAGCTTGACACCACCTTGTGAATACAAGACAGAATCCAAATACAGCCTGAATTTCTGTACACTATACTACACTTTCTCTCAAATTTGTCTTCTTTAAAATGTTCTGTTTTAGCAAATTGACTTTACTGTTGAAAACAGTAGAGCAGTTTTTGCTTCATAGCCCTCAGTAGTTTTCTTTCTCAGAGGTTGAAGCATAAAAGTTAAAGGGAGAGGGGGAGAAGAACAGATCTGAAAGATGTGAAGGAAAGGAGGTCAGTTTGTCTCCTGGGGTAACATACTTGATTTCAGTTGAGTTGCCTAGGGATAAGCGTGCATCTTAATTGAGATGAAAAGAGGCATTAGTACTTTCTTTTACTCTTGAGAATTTGGTACAATTTTTCTTTGATTTTGTTCTTTGCTTCCTACATATCTGGGGGGGGGAGTAAAATTATGAGAAGGATTATGTGTTATAACAACAATTATAGCTACTAGCTACTAACAATTAGCTACTACATTTGGGCTACAAATTCCTGACCACCACTAGTGCAGCAGAGAAGAATAACTCAAGAGTCTTGATATAGTGATGATCCAAAGCAATGTTTCTCAGCCTTAGCAACTTGAAGATGTGTGGACTTTAATTCCCAGAATTTCCTAATTGAAATCCACACATCTCCAAGATGCCAAGGTTGAGAAATTAGTGTGGACTTTAGCAATCCAGGTAGAGTGTTGAGAATAATGAAGAACAGGAGGGGATGTGGAGAATGGCAGCAGCATGGCTTATGATTAAGCAAGGGAAACCCTCCTATACAGGCATGTCATATGACTTGCTGAACATTGGAAACATTTCCCAGGAGAACAGTTGTGTTGTAAGAGTAGAAATGCAGGCTGAGGCATGATAGAAATATAATTAGAATATTAATGATGTAAATGTTGATAAACAATTGCTAGCGAACAAACTTCTGACTTTATTTGCCTATGGCAATGAGCAGGGAGGGAGGTTTTTTAACTGTATAAGGAGCTAAGAAGTGAAAGATAGGCACAAGGTCAGACCTTCTGCTATTTGGGTTTTTTCCCATCAGCAGGCAAATCTGCAGAGTGGCTGATGCTGTATAAATAGAGTTGTTGCTGTTGCTGCTGGGGGTGGTACTTGACTCCGTTCCAGACCAGCCTTGTCTTGGCTGGGATATGTACTGTATTCTGCCTTGCCCAAAAGCTCTACTGTTTCCAGCCAAGATGCATTTTGTTCATGATGCTCTGATGGAGTATCTCATAAATCTGTCAGCGGGCTAGAAATTGAGCTCACATGCCAGTGGCAGTTGGAAGGTGACCCTGCAATGTAACTCAGTGCAAGAGCATTGGGTATTAGTCCCCAATGTCTTCTGATAGAAAAAAAAAATGAAGAAAAATAAATCCTCCAATCAAGCTTAGATGTTGATAAATGTAGACAAATACTGGTTTGTTATGCTAGTTTCTTGGCGATTGTACTGAAGTAGTTTGCCATTATTTTTGTTTCTGTTTTACTATTGTTTATTTACCAAAAAGGAAGGCACTAAGACAACATTTGAAATAGTCACTCAAGTCTTGCAAAGATGTGCTTGCCTTGGTATTTCAAAAAATGTTATTTCATTGCTCTATCACATTATTAAATCATGTCTTTCAAATTATTTGCATAGTCTGAAGTTGTATGGGTTATTTTTCCTTCAAGTCAGTACTGACTCTTGGTATCTGTCTGGACTAGTCCCTACACTTTTATGGGCAAGATTTTGGTAATGGTTTATCATTACTTGCTCCTTAGGGCTGAGAGTGAGTAACTGGTCCAAAGTTGCTCAGCTAGCTTCTTACCTAAGGCAAGTCTAGAACTTATGGTCTCCCAGTTTCTAGTCTGATACCTTAACCATGATACCAAACTGGCTCTTCACAGACTTAGTAGCTACTAGACAATCCATGCCCTGCTGTGTCATTGTTTCGGAGATATTTTCTTACCTAAACAGAGAAACAGAATGACTAGAGGTGAGCAAAAAAGCGGTGGGAATGGGAGCAATTTCTGATTTCCTGCTGGCTTTCCTAGTGAATCTCCTTGTGGGAAGTTGTCAGAGAGCATCAGAAAACTTCCTCCCTCCCTCCTTTCCCTCCCAAGAATTTTTGCCAGGTCCCCCATTTATTTTGCTTGCAAGAAGCTTACAGAGAGAAAGTAATGGGGAAACCAACAGGAAGTTACAAGTCCAGCAGGCTAGTAAGTGGCTGTTGCAAGGTGTAGGAATGAGTGAGGGTGTGTGGGAGGGTGAGGGGCTGCAGGTAAGGAATTTTATATGAAAGTATGTGAGAGGTGTCATGCAGATTAGGAACTTATGTGGGTGTGCACCAGAGATGCCACGCTGGGTGCATGGGTGGATAGAGTAGATTGGGAAAGGTACCTATGCAATTGTGCATTGGGGTCATGGGAGTGTGTAGGAAGTGCCACGTGAATCAAGAAGGGTGCAGTGTTTGAGCGTGTGCATCTGTCATGAAGCATGTAAGAGGATAACCATGTGTGAGAGGTGCCTCAGCAATCAGGCATAGTGTGTGGGGCTATGGCATGGGTTGCGAAGGTTGCCTGGGGGGTGCCTGGAGATGACAAAAGGGTTAGGGTTGGGAAGGTGTGTGGGCTATGGGGGTGCCCAAGAGGTGCTGCATGGATCTCGGAACACACAGCGGGTGATGCAGGTTGAAAAAGACACGCAGGGGAATGGCACAGGTTGAGCCTGCAGGACAGTGGCATGTGCTAGAAAGGGTATATGGAGCCTTTTCTTTCCATAGATAAGTGTCTGCTGCTGGGTGGGGGAGTGAAGAATTGCAAGACTGGCTGGAAAACTGTCACAGTGTATTATTCAGAAGTCCAGATTTCTCTTTTATAGAGAAATTGGCTTGACCAATAGGAGAAAGAATGCTAGCCTTTGTAAACTTTTCTTCTGGACTCAGTAAAACTGTTCAATCATAAACCATCTGCAGAATACTTATATCTAATGTAAGTCCTGATGTTTTCTTCTTTGTGTTGCTTCCTCTAAGAATCTTGACACAAGGCTGGTGGCAGCTCTTTTTTGGTCATGTCTCGACGAAGCCAACGCATTAGTGGGACTTACCGCAATTATCAAAGTGAGGATAATGGCAACAATAGGATCAGTGGAGGAAGTTCTCTGTTAAGTGGACCTCAGCCTCTCTTTATAGAGAATTCAAACAGGTAAGTCAGAATGAAGGAAGAGGGAGATTCCCTCATCTATGCTGTGTATGAGTTACAGGGTTTCTTCATCTTTTGGGTGGTAAATTAATTCATTATTGTTGCTTTACATACTTTGAATATGATTGTTTACCCCAATTATCCCCAACTTGTTATCCATTATCAATGTCAGATACAATTCCCATAATTATTAGTACTATAATTCAAAATATTTAAAATTCAATAGAATAGAGAAGGGTCTGTGGCATGAAATGGAAATAGGAAGAGCTATTTTGCACTGTAGTATATTTATAGTTGTCTCAGTATTAATATAGAACTCAAGCTCAGATTGAATTCACAAATTTAATTTTAATAGGCTTTGATTTTTGTATTTATACAGTTCTGTTTCACTCTTTATAAAGAGATTTTCCTGTACAGTACTGAAGATTTATTTTGTGTTAATAGTAGCTGTTATGATCGGATTGTGAAGTAGCAGCAAAGACGAATCTGGCTCTAACTAGAACAAAGTGCATCATTAAAGATTGCACCAAGCAGCTTCTCAATTTGCTTTGTCCCTTCTATATTTACAAATAATGGGTGTTTTAAGACTTTTCAAGATTATTTTTTTTTACGTCTGGCACTTCGTAACCCATTTCAGTACAGTAGTCATAGTACAACAAATTGCCAGTATGTAACTGACTTTAATCTGCAAGTTTCTTTTTAAAATCAGTTTTCCCCAATCTGGTTGGATGGTATACCATTTCTTAATTTCCATTTAATTCAATCTGTAGTTGGTCTGCCTGGAATTGTGGGAGTTGTAGCCCAGCACTCCTGTAGTTATCAGAATAGAGAAGGCTGCATTAGAGCAGCTGGAAAGCTCCCATTCCCATTAGATACTTTGATTCTTTAAAAAGAGAAGGGAAAAAGGAATATATAAACATTGTAAATGTTATAGCAGGAAACTTAAATTAATCATCATTGCTAATACCACAAGAATTGATTATTATACATTATGGCCCATGTTCATGCCACTATGTTCTATTTGAAATAGCAATGGGAATTGTAAATGGAGAAAAATATTTTCTCATGAAAATGTTACATTATTTGTAGAGAGTGCAGGCAATTTCTTTGTCATAGTCTAGAATTGTCTTGCTGGGAACAACTAATGACAAAAGAAAACCATACATAAATGTTTGGTTGTATAATTGGAGCTGTAGATAGAGGCACAGAAGAGAGTTGGTGCCATGGGGAGAAGCCAAATTTGGTCTCATAGGGCTACTTTTAGTACAAAAATGCACAAATACTTGCTTTTCTTACAAGTAGCCATAATGAAACATGGGGGGGAGGCTCAATCCTCCCCCCCCCCATCAGTTGGGAATTGTAATTGCTTCTTAGGAGAAACTGAAAAATAAGCAGCCTTTGAACCTCATGTCACCTTCACAACCCATTTTTGCAGCCCCACTAATGTTCAGAATAGCCCTGAAAATAATCTGAGCTGCAATTTTTGGGAGAGAGGTCTCAGGTAGAGTGACCTTAAAAAAGGGCTCTAGGAAACCTAGTGCATCATTAAAAATAATACAGCACTCTCCCCTAAAAAAAATGAGAAGAGGGATCAAAGGTTTTTGTCCAGTCTAGTAACATGACTGCCTGCACACTGCTGCAGTACTTACAGGTGGAAAAATATTCACTTTTAAAAACTAATTTGTAGGAGGAAAAATATTGCTATCTCTGGAGCAAATCATATCTGACTTTTGAACAATCAACCAAGAGAGCATTGCCCCCACAGCCTTCTTTCAGGCTTCTGTTTACCACTAATGGCAAGATTTCCCTTTGATCTGATTTGCCAGAGTTGTACTTAACCTTTTCAGCTGTTTCTTGCTTCCTCATAAACAGCTGCTAACCACACTGGAAAGCAATAGTTGCTGCAGAATAAGCAGGCAGGAAAAAGAGTAGACTGAGTATTCTCTCTGTTGGTACATTGCCTCCCCTTGGTTAAAGAAGTGTGGGTGGACGAAAAGGATGTTACCACCTGTCTGTATTACTCCCACTTCCTCCATACCCATGAACTTTAAAGAAAAATGTTATCACAGAAAAAGCTGCTTGTGTTATTTTATTCTCTCCTTGGAGTGTGATAGAAAATTCACCCCCAAAGTGCCAATGTTTGGAGAGTATCCAAATGATTGTTTTATTAATTCCAAAGCTAGCAGGTTACAATGAGTCATTGGTCTCTTGCAAAGAGCAGGAGCTACAACATTACATAAATCTTATGTAGAAGGTCGCTCAAATACTGCCTATGCAGCTACATAGCAGAAAACTCCAAATACAAAATAATGGCTTTACAATTAATAAGGAAACAAGATAACCACAAAAGGGAACCCAGTATACTACTGTTTATGGAATGTGAAATCATTAAAGATGCAGTCCTAGAAAGAAATACTGTGTAGTATTTTTGGTGTATGACTTGAACCAAGGCGTTGGTTGCTATCCTAACAGGCAACCCTGCATTCACGGCCAGAAATAAGGGGGCACAACAGCTTATATCCTTGTGTTCTGCCCCCACTGAGTGAATAGTGTTATAAATTAATCACTGGCAGACACATATTACCACAGTTCAAATCATTATAAAAGCATGTTACATGAAGGCTACAGGAAAGGGCATTAAATAAATGTAATATGCAGTACTATACTTATATGAGCAATCATGAACATGGCTATAAACTGATTCAGCCCAAGTTCTTATTTCAGTTTACCACAGGAGCAAACTATGCTTCTTTTAATTTTCTGTGAAGCAAGGTTTCTGGATAGTTCTAGTTTCCTCTTATATTCGATATATCATAAACACTTCACTGGCTATTTCTTGAGCTCCTAGCTATAATATAGAGCAATGATTCCTAAACTGGGATCTTCTGGATAAACTGGAACTGCATCTATCCTGGCCATGCTTGTTGGGAATTTTGGTCTCAGCATATTTGAAGGGACCTAGTTGGGAAATTTGCTGTAAAGTGTTGATGGACAGGAAATGGCCTCACTTGCCCACTTGCTATTACACTTGTTCTGTTCCAAAAATGAAGATGCATGTGGCTATGTGGAAAACGCCCCCCCCCCCCAATATGTAGTTTGGATGAACTGATAGAGAGTACTACAACCCTGGAATTAAACAAGGCAAAATACAGAGCAGGCCAAAAGGAAATTATGTTAGAACTCATTAGGTAAAGAAAGATGCAGTTGTTACATCATTGTAACCTTTTCCAATCCAGCCTCATCCACATGCAATGGGATGGCAACTTCCAGAAATCCAAATTATATTTGAACCTTTTACCACAAGATATTTTCTCCACTTGTTTAGAGTGATCAAGTTCCAACTTAAAATATCTTAGGAGAAGATGACTTTTCTTTCTTCTTATCTCTTTCCCATTCAATTCTACTCTTAGGGGTGTGGATTCTATTAAGTGGTAGGAGTTTATTAGTGCTATCTCTAAATAGGAGCACTTATGCATGTGAACAAATGCATATGCATTTGCCCATTCTTCATCTAACATGTACTATCTTATCAATATGCCATTTCTGGTTTCTTTTCCTGCAGCCAAACTCTGAGAAGGAAACCAAGCAGTGTGAAACGTATCTCTCCTGCACCTAGCCTAGGGATCAGTTCTACTCCCCACACTACCTCCTACTACAGTGAGTCTGTAATTAGTGAGTCTTATCTGACTGATGACAAAGGATTTTCTCTTAAAACTAGTGCGGCCTTTGATGAGCCATTGGAAAGCAGTTCTTATTGGAGTAAGTATTTCTCTGAAATGTTCTGTAGCTTGCATGTCCTAAAATATATGGAGGATATTTACTTGGGAGAAATTAATATAAGCTGCAAAGCAACAAATTGGGAACTCATAGCCCTTCAGATGTTTTTGAATTAGACTACCAGTTCCAGTTGGGGCTGATGAGAATTGGCATCTGCAACATCTGTAGGACTACATAAGCTTTTCATTCTTATTGACTGTAGTCATTATACAAATCTGTTGTACAACTGTTTTTCACCTGTTGTCCAATCTTTCAATTAACTCTGGTCTGTAGTTGGCATAATTCATATCCAAGTCAGAATATTCTTCTGCATCATCTGGCCTACATGGGACTTGGACCAACTATTTCCAATTTGATCCTCTTGGAAGACAACATTTGGAGTAAATCTGTTGGTCTTTGAGATCTCTCAGGGTCCTTTGTTGTGACTTACACTATTTATACAGGAGGTTTGAGAGAGTTCATTCATTATTTATTTCTTGTATGCTGTCAATATACTTCTGACATTATATTATTTTTTTTCAATTGGATATCAGCCAAATGATGTGGGAATACTAGTTCTGGCTGATGAAAGTTGAAGTACAGCAATACCTGAAAGGCCCTGTATGGTCTTCTCTGGATTAGTCAATGGGATTTTGAATGCCAGACAGTATTAAAGCCAACTGAGGGAGAATTGGGTTGGGACATGTGCTGAAAATCCAGCAAAAGAAAGACTGTTCAGGGGATGCTGATTGGTGGAAATTCTCAAACATCCACCCAATTAATATAAAATATTGTAGCTCTTGAAGATGATATAATCCAGTGGTTCTTAAACTGGGCGATATTGCCCCCCAGGGGGCGATTTCATTTTTCAGGGGGACGATGGAACGAAAAGGGACATTGTGGGGGCGAAGGAACAAAAAGGGGGCGATATGGGGGTGATGGAGCGAGAAGTTTTGGGGACACTTTTGAGACTTTTTTGTACAGTGAATCGCTGTATATCTGTCGTACAAAAACATCAGATCTCTCGCTATTAGTGGATTGAATTTTGTTTTCAGTGGTCATTACATTTAAGTGTCTTGAATAAATAAGATAATAATGAAATACATGTATCACAAAGTTTGGGAATAAAGTGACGGGTGGCACCAAAATTTTTCACACAGTTGAGATATGGGAAAAAGACAGGAAATAAATTATTTGCATCGATATGTCCTGATGACAATTTTAAAGAAAACAAAAAAAGTGTTTGCATAAATTGAAGAATTATTTCCTATGTTGTGATTGAGAGGTTATGTTGGGGGAGGGGGCGATGACAACTTCCTTATTGGCTCAAGGGGGCGATTCGTTCAAAAAGGTTAAGAACCACTGATATAATCCATCACCTGTATCATTAACAACAGTTATTAAACATTGACATGGAGGGGAGGGTAGAATTCCAAAAATATACTCAAGGCACAAGGGCATTAATCTTAAACTCTCCTGCAATTTCCACTAAATGATATGCTTCATTTGATCTTGTCAAAGGTTGATGGTATCTAGTTTCATACAAGCTTTTGCTAGGAAGTGTATAAAAAGTTGAATTTATTTTTAAAATAAATTTTGTAATGTCAGGTGAGGATCTTTCATTGAGAAGGAGAAGAGGTACGGGAGGCATCGAGTCCAGTAAGAAAATCAATGGATTAGGAGATAGGAAGACTTACGACATCTATGGTTCTTCATCTGGTTATTCCTCTGAGGATGACTACACAGGTATCGGGAAATGCTATGTGCCTAAGCAATCAGACGGGACTCCTGGAGGAAAAACATTGGGGATAGAATTTGTTAACATCCTTTACAGCAAAAACTGGTTAGCCATCAGCTAACAAAAGGCCTGAGGAACTCCTTGAACTGCCTGTATTGAAGTTTGCCTGAAAGCTGTGCATACTTAAAACCTGATTTTTGGTTCCACCACAGGTCCTTGTTATTCCATTCATCACTCGGGAAATTGCTTGTCTGATAGTTTTTTTTTTTACAAAATAAGGAAGTTATATATTCATTTTTAGTTTGTTTTTTAAAAAACAACTGTTGCAAAACTGACCTGCAGACTGGTAATCCAGAGACAGTAGTCAATACTTGCCATCTCCATATAGTTGGCAAAGAATAAGTTTAATTTATACAGGGGAAAGATTAACAACCATGGCTACAATCTGCTTTCATATGTCAGACTAACTCAGCCTCCAAAACAGTACAGAGTTAATCCTCCCTGTGAACCTTAAAGTGTGGCATGACTGTAAGTGGAATGACTGATTGTTTCAATAGTACCTCTCTACTGCATTTCTGCTGCCTTAGTTGGTTTCTTAATAGGCAGTAGGAATGCTCGGTTGCTGCTGTGATTGATTGATTGAATTTATATAGTTGCCCATCTCATGTATGTGACTTTTACTTACAAAAACCAATGTTCCATTTACACACTTGGTTTTGAGGTGTGGCATCACAGTAGCAGGTAGACCAGTCAACTCACTGACTTACTAATCCAAAGCTGATGCGCCAAATGCAACACTTTATGTTTGATTCTGGAGATTAATGTGCACACAGCAGGAGGGGAGGGAGGGAGGAAGGAAGGAAGGAAGGAAGGAAGGAAGGAAGGAAGGAAGGAAGGAAGGAAGGAAGGAAGGAAGGAAGGAAGGAAGGAAGGAAGGAAGGAAGATCACATGAAGCCCTCTAATACTGAATTATGTAGTTTCATTTTTATTTAAGCCTCCAGAAACTTTGGGTAGCCAAAATATGTGTGTGTGGCAGTGTGATGATTGGTCAATTGCCCAATAAAATTTAACACTGCAGACTTCAGGACTTCAGTATGGGCAAGGAAATCAGGGCCAAAGAAAAGGGATGTGGCTCCACAGGAAACTGCTAGAAGCAACTGAAGATATAAGATTCTTACCACAGGATCCAATCTGGGTCAGTCACCAGGACCAGAGTTTAGCTTTCGGACTTGTGCTGGAATCCATCCTCAGGGAAATAGCAGAGTGTGTGCTTTGGGCTACTCTGTGTGTGGTACTTATATGGTGCATGGTGCATATATATATATATAGCACACACTCTGCTAGGGAGAAGTTCCCTGAGGATGGATTCCAGCATGAGTTTGAAAGTTCAGAAGGCTAAATCTCTGCTGCTGGTGACTGATCCAGATTGGATCCTGCAACATTATCCTGGGCCACGTATATTCACCTTCGTTCTTGCCACAGACCATGGAGTATGCATCAGCTGTGCCCTCTATTAACTGCATGCAATGCCTTGAGGTGAATTGTGGGGGAAATCACTACTTTAAGAGCACCTTAACTTGTTGTTAGGCTTAACGTAAGGTGGATGTTGAAACAGAAGTTGTAAGATATAGACATATCCCTAGAGATGGTTCGTGGGCCATTATCATACTGGGGCAAACAGATGTGTGGAAGTGTTCAGAGAAAGGGGGGGAAATGATGACTTGTTAGCTGACTATTTTCTAATTCATGCAGGTGGTTCTTCCATGGACCAGAATACATCCAGTTTGGGGTTCAAGAGTGTCCTCTCCAAAGTAGGCTCCATTCTTTGGCTGGTGCTTTCAGCCCCAGGTAAATGGAAAAAAGTTGTTAGAAATTTGATAGTTATTACACAAGTTAACAAAGCAAGCTATATAACAAGAGTTTATGTCTCTGTATTGCATTTTCTAAGTTATCTGATATGGTCTTCTTCAAAATAATGCTGAAAATGTTCATTTGGAGGGGATATAGAGATAACCAGAGGCTTAGAATCAAGTATCTGGAAAAATTCTAATCTTTCAGATTCATTCTTTGAAATTAATTTGTCCAAGAATGCAATTCAACTTGGAAAATTTTTATTTAATGTTTTGAATAATTTATAAACTGCCCAGAATCATTGGGAGTCAAGGAGCATATACAGTATGTGTAATTAATATCTTGTGGTTTTTTAAAATCACCTTTTCTGCTATTGAATGTGCAAGTATGGCTTCTGAGAAATTATGCTGTAGAGGAAGGGAAGAGATGGAAAAAAAGCTGAGCTATTGCTCTTTTAAAAGCTGTTCTGGGTTTTTTGCAGGACGGTTCTTTGGCTTGTTATACTGGTGGATTGGGACCATGTGGTATCGTCTAACAACCACAGCCTCTCTCCTGGATGTCTTCCTTTTAACACGGTTAGTGGGAATAGAATTTGAAATATAAAGAGATGTGGCTAACTTTGATTCCTGGATGGACTGGAAAAATAGCTGAAAAAGAGGGAAATAGAAGAAATTCCTGCAGGTGCACAGCTTGGAGTATCCCCAAATTCACCAGCATTTTAGAATGTGTGTGTGTTTTTCTGCTACAGCCCTGTTTCATTTAATAACTGTCTTACCAACTAAATGCTTATCATATGCAAACCAACAGCAGATGCTTAAGAGCTATGGGATGGACTTAAAAGTTTGAAGTGGCTCAATTCTACTGTGGTTGATGATTGGGCTTAAACATTTTGCTAAACAATTTTTCACCATTCAATTAAACCATGATTGGCTGGATTAATATAATACTGAATCATATTCCATGTACCAGTAGTTTACAAATCATACCACAATAGCTGAGTCTACCCAACACACTTTAAGTCAAAACAACACAAACAGACTATCGTTACCTAAACACATTGCACATTGGTTTAGCAGATATAATCTGTGGCTTACAACTTAGTATATTATATGTATGGTTAAGTAAACAACACTGTACAATATATGAACTAGATCTTTCTGTTTTGATTACTTCCCAGTATTAATTGCAGCACTTATATTTGATATGACTTCATCATGCCAATAATATGAAGTTGGGGTGTGAACCTCACTTCATTGTGGTTCACTTCACATGTTCTATTTTCATAGGCAAGCTGAGGTGCACTACTCTGCTTATAATGCTTTATTTTGCCTTGTATTAACAGTTTGTTCTCTCTCTCCTGTTGTTTGGTGCCCAGGAGTTATCCAGTGTTGAAGAAGATACTGTTGTTTATGCTTCTGCTTTTGCTCCTGAGCTCTGTTGGTTATGGTGAGTTTCAAGTGCCTTTGTCTGTCCTTTCTCTGTACCTCTTAGAACAGGGGTCCCCAACCCCCGGTCCGTGGACCGGTACCGGTTCATGGCCTGCCAGCAACCAGTCCGCACAAACAAGCAAAGCCCTATCCATGGGATGCAGGCAGTATGCAAAACCACGCACTCTCCGATCCGCAGAAAAACCTTTCTCCATGGAACCGGTCCCTGGTGCCCAAAAGGTTGGGGACCTCTGTCTTAGAAAGTATGAGATGACATCACCCTGAAAGTAGTATTCTTGTAGATCTTATGTTTCATCATGTGATTCTTTCTGCAGACTTTTGCCTTACATTATGCAACTGTTGAGGAAGGAAGGAAAAATGTGGGAAGGGAAACAGCTTTTTTCTAATGTACTCCTATTTTTTTGTTTTAAAAATTGCTTACTCTATAAAAAAATTGTACCACTCAAGCAGTGAATGAGATACAACTGTTTATTGGTAGAGATTCTTGGCTTAGCTTCAGAAACATGGTTACCAATGTTGTAATTAATGCTATTCTGCAACGATACGAATCAAATATCGGGGTCTTATAATATCTTCATTCTATCAAGTATTAAAGCTGACTTTTAAAAGACTAGCCCTTTTAAAAAAAAAGTTGTTGACTTCTTCTTTGAGAGAGACATGTGGGAATGAGTCTGAGGATCCAACAGAGAAAATATTGTGGAAGGAATCTGGGCCAATTTCTTAAGAATTATAGGGCTTTAGTATTTCCGGATACAACTGGAAGCTGAACTCAGAAGGACTGAATTCTGCTTTTCCTCCCAAAGGGGTTGGTGCTGTCACTATTGAAGGTATCTCTTTTTTAGGAGTGCTATACTATGGCTACTTCCTTCTATGTTATATCTCCTTTCGCAGCCACAGCTCCATTTGATCAGATAATGTCTACAATAATTCTTGAGGAGCTACATCTAATGTCTAGAATCACTTTCCTTGGAAAACCAGAAAAATATAAATATAATTTTAAAAATGGCTTTGAAGAATTACATTCATATAGCAGTGTTTGTTAACCTGCAGGGACTCCAACTCCCAGAATTCCCAGCCAGCACGTATGATACATCAGCAGTAAGATAGTAAAAGGAGCTTTATGTTGTTGCTGGTGACAGGATTAGTTATTTCAGTATCTGATCTTTTTCTAATTATTCTCTTCTAGAAATATATCTGCATTATACCTTTCTGAAGGCATGGTCCTAAAATCAACTTATGTTTGAACAAACAAGAACTTGAAAAATACAGAGTGTAACACTGTACTCTACAATTATGAGATCAATAACTTGAGTTTCATTGAATACAGTCTGCCAGCCCTCATCCAACCTATTTGGAATCTTCTGGAATATACTCTGCAATTATCATTTTTTTACTTGATGTTCTTCCTTTTCTAATTATTTTAGGTGCCTGGTATTTTTATCCCTTTGGGCTCCAACCTCCTATGTTTCCTTGGGGAACAGTGAAATTATTTCCTTCTGGCACAAAGAAGGACCATGAAATGGGAGAGACTGCTATATTTTTTGAGGTGTGTATTATATGGATTTAGAGGAGTGTTTGTAGGGAATAGTCATGTTAGATATCAACTATTGCAAAATTCTCACATTTGCTGAAGATGGACAGTGTTTTAAGAGGAATCAGAAAGATTTCTCCATCTAAGTCATAACTGTAACATAGACACTTAACCAGCCTAGTTATTTTGGTATATTCTTTCAGACTGAAAGGTGATGTGTAATGGTTAAAAAAAATAACTTAGGAGACCCCTAGTTTGAATATTATTTTTGCCATGGAATTACTATATGGTCTTAGCCAAAGAATATAATCTGAACTTCAAATCCTCCTATTTACAATTTATAATATTGATTTGATCTACAAGGATATCCCACAAATTTTAACTATTTAATGCACCTTCAATAAACAATAACAATGTGAAGTATGATATCAATATCAAACAAGATTATGTATAAAATCAGTGAGATTATATGTATAAATCTGGAGATTGTTAAACTATGGATGAGAACAGCATTTTATTCTTTTTTCTTTCATATTTTCTCTTGATTAAAAGGCCCAGCAACAGGTTTTGTCTCAGCTCCAGGCTCTGGAAAGACGTTTTGAGACCCTGGAAACTGCAGCTTCTATAGAAGAATTACAGAAAAGAAAGAACACAGAAGGTGCCATTCTGTCACATGAGAATATCCTGGTGCTTTTGAATGAGCTGATGACTCAGCAAGAGGCAGCCATGAGAGAGAAGCTTCACACAGACATAGATCTTCATCTCCAGGTCAGAGAACAAGGAGGCCGGCTAGGACTAAAGGGAAGGTGCACTGTAAAAACTTGAATTATTGTGAACCATAGCCACTAATTTCTCAAAGAATGTTAAGCTCCAATCTCAAAATATGTACTGGAACTCTAACTAAAAGCTTATCAGACATTGCAGTTCTACTCTACCATAATTTAAACAGACTTTTGGTAGCTTACCATAATGCAAATGTTCAACCATTAAAGTGGGAGGCTGCTCTAGGGTCTGTGCAATATGGAGATGGGGCTCATGGTCTGAGGCGCCAAAACTTCAGGTTTAGCCTATTCCTGGTTTAGCCTAAACCCCTAGAGAGTCTAGTCTTACTGGGTGGGTAACTAGCATTTGCTGGCTCCTTCTCAAATGCAACAATAATCTATATTTGATAACCTGTATCTAAAAAGTGTGCATATCAGGAAGTTGTCCTATAAGTCATTTAGGAATATGAATTGGTGCAAAACTAGCTAAAAGATCAACCACTCATCCCCCCCCCTCTCTTTTTTTTAACTGTTTTTTGCTTTACTTCATTTTGGCTTTTAATCATCTGCCTAAGATTTCTAAGAATCTTGAAAACTCATAATTGATACAAAATCTTACCTGTGCTGACTGGTGTTTCTCCCACAGCAGGTGGAGACCCGGATGCTTGAGAAGACAGCTCAGTGGCAAAGGTAATTCGAGCATCACGAGCAAATCATGTTTCTATTTCTGGTGAAAAGGAACAAAGGAGTCATGGATGTTCTTATATCTTGCAGGAATTGATATTCTATAAAAGCATTTTTAGCACTCATAAAATTCAGTACATTTCTACACAGTACATTATTTAGGATAATGATTATTAGATGATTATTTTAACGGAGGTCTGACTTAACTTTTCTGCCTGTGCAGTTACCATTCCTCAGATCATTTCAAGAAGACACAGTAAGCAGGAACATTTTATTGCATCTGTGCAGGGTACTTTTGTTTCTGTGTTATGTTTACTAAGCAGTGTTGTAAGTATATACATGCAATAAAATAGTACATGGAAATTTAGAATTCTTTTTTTAAAAGGGAGTATGTCCTCCAATTCTTTGCAAAAGAAATATATTCATAGCCAAATATTTTAGTAAATTGGGGATTGCTCATATTTTGTACTTGAGATAATGCTTCTCTGTACATTGCTGAATTACAGGGTTGTTAACCATCCAATCAGTGCTCCTGGGAGTTGGGGTTCAACAGCCTATGGAAGATGTAGATTGCCTATCCACAAAAAGCTAGATACCATTTATATGCATTTATTTAAAACATTTTTGCTTTGCTGTTTCAATAAACAAGAGCTCCCGGGACAGCTGACATAAAATTCATTAACAAAACTGAAATTGGGTATTTCAAACAGTTGTCTTGCTATGATATGCAATTGTCCAAGGATTCCATTTACTGTGTAGGATATTATTATTACAGATTAAATGCACAGTTCAGAAAACTGTTGATAATTTGAGGATTAAAAGGTTTAAAAGTTGATACCCTTAAACTAGCTTTTGATAAACACAATTGAAAAAAGTGGATAAATACCTTTTATTTGCATTGGATTATAAGTAGCACCTCAGCATTTGTTCTGTTTTTTCCTCTTTCAAAGCTCCACAAAAGAAGGCCTAATGAATATTTTGCGAAAGGAAATGGATAAATCGAAGGAACATCTATCAAATCTGAAAAAAGAACTTGTGACTTTGGGTTCTGATCAGAAGGCCTTGTCAAGACAAGTGGAATCTCTTCCAGGGCAGATCAAGGAAATGCGAGAAGATGTGAGTTTCCGAATATGTTTCCCCAGGGCTTTTTTTCTCATAGAACGCCCAGAACGGAGTTCCGGCACCTTTTTTGGATCGAACCTTGTATTTTGGGCAAGGCGGGTTGTATGACGTGTGTGAGTTCTGGCACCTTTTTTTTTTTTAAAGAAAAAAAGCACTGTGTTTCCCACTTTTAAATCAATTTGTTTCAAAGGTTCTTCCACTTGTGATCCTTCCCCCTCTATGTCTGCCTCATTTCTCTTTACTCTCGGTGATTTAAGATGCCATTCCAGCTCCATTAGTATAAACTAAACAGGCCATGCCCACATTTTGTAGATCAGCCGGGTCTTCAACAGTATTACAGAAAAGGCAGGAAATTCTTCAGGTAAATTTAGAAAAATTTCTAGAGTGCCTGGGTTTTAAGACCATTTTAACTAAATCTGCAGTGAGTTACAGTAGCCATCACTGTAAAAATGATCAAAAAATCCATTCATGACAACATTCCCAGCCAACAAAGACGTTTCCTACAGATGATGAGACTAAACATATTTCAGAAGGTATCAGATTAAGGAAGATCTGTTCTTTTTAAAAAACCACAATAGTTCAGAGATTCTTCTGAAATGGACAATACACTTGCTATCTCATTTGATAGAAAACCAGACATGATACAAAGAGTGGGGAATGGAGGAATAAGCTGTTCATCAAATCTGTTCTTCTCTTAATGATTTAGATGGAAATTCAGTTTCCGACATGGTTTAGCCAATTCCTGTCCCGATCTAGAGAGGATAAAACTGGAAAACCTTTTGTCCAGCATGAAGAATTACAGGAGCAACTACGCAAATTGGAGCACAAGATCCTTGCAAAGATCTTGAAGGACCAAGAATTGTCTGTGCAGGATGTTGGGGTCACCCTTCACAAAGAAGGAATTACAGGAGTAACTGAAGAGGTATGAGGATGTCTTTCCCAGTAGGCCCAAGAGAATCATCATTGAATATCTACTGAATAAAGGGATGTTGTTTATACAAGATATTCTTGTATATGTGCAAATCTAGATTGTAAAGCTTCTGTGATTTACATGTATATTAATTGCACTGTTTTGTATCTGAATGGCTAGTGTCCATATCAGAGCACGCACAGTCCTATTGCGTGCGACAACCCAGAAGCAGACACAGCAAACAGTGGTTTGTAACAAATGGTGGTTTATCTACAATATCTATAATGCTATACAAGTATCACTATAATGCTATAAGAAGTATCATTTATTATCCAAACTTGAAATACTTAACAAATTATGATCTACGTCTGGTACATACAATACGTTGTCCAATGTTCCCCCAATATCAGGTACATAAACTTTACCTTCCCCTTTAATAGCAGACCGTTGTCCATTAGCCAAACTAACTAATGTTTGCTTAGCTGGTCTCAAACTAGAAAACATTTGTGAGTCATTTATAATATGCTGACTCGCCCCACTGTCCAACCAAGTGTTTCTAGTGTTCTCGATCAATGTTGCTGCCAGGAAAAATAATGAACCATCCTTCATTGACTGCGTAGCTCTACAACCTTGTCTCGCTGCTCCTCTGTTTCTCCTCTCAGAGCAGCATCTCTGGAGAAGCTCTGTAGAACCACACCTGAAGCAGCATTTCACCGTGCAAACGTTCTCAGCTACTCTGCTAGCATCTTGGGACATTGCAGTTTTAGACCTGGCCTATGCGTTGTCGCCACCCCTTCTCTGCTGCCTCTCCAGCCATTTCTGTTCCTCTTCCAGCAACTGGCCAGACAACTCATGGTTAAGTCCCTCTCTCGCATAGACTCTAAACTAGTCACTAGAATGTCCCATGAATTGTCCAACAAACTGAGCAATACATACACCTTGTGTGCTCAGTAAAAGTCATTCCTCTTACTTCTAGCTCTAGGAATGTCTTTCTCATGGACTCCAAATGTGTAGACATGCTCTCTCCCAGTCTCAGTTGGGCCTTATACAACTTCCTTGTTAGCATTACTTTGCTGCTCACAGTTTCTCTAACATACACACTGCGCAAAGCTTCCCAGCACTCTTTAGCAGACTGGAGACCCCTCACGTGTATCAGCTGGCTATCCTCCAAATACAGGATTATGCTGGCCAACACTTTTTCATTCCTTCTCTGGTCCCCATCATCCAGGGCTACTGGTGGATCAGTAACTATCATCCACAACTCCTCCCTTTGCAGGTACATTTTCATCTTTACATACCAGGAAATGTAGTTTGTCTCATTCAGCCAAGACACTACGAAACCTCCTCCCATTATGCCGATGGAGCCCATGTTGCCTGTTTCCTCTAACAACTACTAACCACAAACAAACCACGAACTACAACCCCTCTGGCTCTGGGGCAAGCTCTCATTGGGTTTCTCTTCTCTCTGGGCCCATAACCTGTCAGAGCGTGCACAGTCCTATCAAATGCGACAACCCAGGAGCAGACACAGCAAACAGTGGTTTGTAACAAATGGTGGCTTATCTACAATATCTACAATGATATATAAGTATCACTAGGAACAGTATACATACATGTGCTACAAGCAGAATCCAACAAACAGCAAATAGAGCAGGAAAGGGAAAAGAAAGAAGACACACTAGCAGAGCCTCCTCTTTTTTACACAGGCTCCTTAAGAGATAACAGCCAAAGACCCTGCTGACTCATTCCTATCATTGCATCAGCTGGTCAGCTCTTAAATCATCATCTTGACATTCCAGAATTAAACTATCATTTTATGACATTCTGCTATCATAAATAGAGCCCGGATAGAAAACTCACCCTAGATTGGGCAGAATTTGGCAAACACCTTGGGCAGTAAGAAGAGGGATAATAGCCTTCAATTTTTTTCCTCTTGATCTCTTTACTCATCCCATTTATTGCATATAGACAATATGTTTATGCAGCCTTCCCTTTGTCCTTAAACTAGTTTCGGGTGCATGAAGGAGGCTGTTCCATCACGACTTTTGTCAGCTTCTGTAGGAGGAATAGGGGCATATGCCCCTTGCCTTGATATCAAAAGGTTTTGACTTAACTTTGCTGAAAGTCTATCCTGACCAAGCTTGAAACCATAAAGTTGTGAGAATAGCATTTGTTCCTTATCTATCAGCCTGTGGAAGGGCAATCCTTGTGAAACATTTTCTGGCTGTTACTATAGGGAAGATTTTATGTCTTCCAGGTTAATTTCAGTTCCCTTTACACTCTATACCAGGCATGTCAAACTCGTGACATCATGTGATGTTGCGTGACGTATCATGACTTTTTCCCCATTGCTGGCAATGGGGTGGACGCGGTTTCAGTATGATGCATCCGACCCGCGGGCCGGCAGTTTGACATGCCTGCTCTATACAAACAAAAATAGATTATTTCAGATGTTTACAAGCAGCCTGTTTCTTGGAAAAGTGAAACAGAGTGTCAGAGAATAGGTGTCCCATCACTTTGTGTGTACCAGCTCTCACTTGATCCTCAGATAAACACTCTGAGAGAATGTGACCCTTTATAATCTTTGTATTATTGTATCCCTTTAAATCTTCTTGTATTCAGTCTTGCTGTTTTGTTTCAGCAAGTTCATCATATCGTGAATGATGCCCTGAAGCGCTACAGTGAAGATCGCATTGGAATGGTTGATTATGCCCTTGAATCTGGAGGTAGGTTTCACACAAAAAAACCCATAGCTTTCATATCAAGAAACTAGAAATATTTTGGTCAGTTTCATCTAGAAGTTTAAACATTTGGAAGGCATTTTTCTTTGCGCTCTCTCTCTCTCTCTCTTCCTCTCTCTCTCTCTCTCTCTCTCTCTCTCTCTCTCTCTCTGTATAAACGTTTTAAGAACAATAATAACTAATTCAACTAAATTAGAACAGAGACAATGAAAAGGGGAACAGTAACAGAAAAAATGAAAAGTGCAAGAAAATGGAAGAAAAGTTATGAAGAAAGAGTTAAAGGTATAAAGAAATAGCTTCCAATATTCTTCACAGCACTTATAAGTACAATTATATTGTAACTTCTTTCTCTAAAGTTACAGCATGAGTCCATAAGGTGTGCTGCATTTTCAGGCTTATTGCTTCCAAAAAACTGACAAAGTTTTTCCCCAGATTCATTCTCTGCAAAAAAAATTTCCCAAGCATGAAGTAGGCAAATCTGTGTAATAGTCTAATACCAGCTTTCTAGTTCCTCATTTACAGAATGATTTGGGGATTAGCACTGTGCACAACTTACCTTCATCCATTCACTTTAATTATAGGGGCCAGTGTTATCAGCACTCGTTGTTCAGAAACCTATGAAACCAAGACTGCACTTCTTAGTCTTTTTGGCATACCATTGTGGTATCACTCCCAGTCTCCAAGGGTCATTCTACAGGTATGGGTTCGTTTTCAAAGGAACAATAGAAACACTGTTCTTTTTCCCCCACTCCCTGTTCACTCCCCAGAGCATTTTGCTTATGTCCCCTATTTGTCACTCGGTTTACTTCCTGTGGCTTTTGTCCCATGATGGGGCAGATAGGTTTTTGTAGCAAGGGGAAGGTTTCTTCCTTTCTCTAGTGTTTATTGCAATAACCATGAGATATCCATAGTTACTTTGTCACCTAGTTCATTCAAGAAGATAAGAAGCTTCTCTGAAATGCATTATTTATAAACTGAACAAAACTGGAAGAGGTACTTTGCTTAATAAAGATAGAGATAAAGAATCCCTGGCTTTAAAAAAACATTTAAGGAATGATAAACTTAGTTGAATGTGGTCCTATTATTCCACTGGGAGCAAAGCTCCAAACATGCTTCTAGAAGAATTTTTGCTAAAATTCTTTTACATTTCCAGTTTTTGTTTTGAATAAGATGGTGACTTCATAAGGGCCAATGATAATTTTAATAGGTGAATTTATATCAAAAGACTTCCCAGGGCTTGTGATATTCTTTCTTTTGGTTGAATAACATAATCTTGTGCCTTGAAAGAAATAAATCTGCACACAAGGATTTATTCCTTTTACCTCACATTCTTATTTGTCTTATTTGATACAGCCAGATGTCTATCCTGGAAATTGTTGGGCCTTCCAAGGCTCCCAAGGTTTTGCTGTCATTCGCCTTTCAAGCAGGATCCATCCCACTGCTGTGACGTTAGAGCATATCTCCAAGTCGCTTTCCCCCAGGGGAACCATTCCCAGCGCTCCCAAGGACATTGCAGTCTTTGTAAGTCTGGATAACATAGCAGGAAAGATCAATTATAGTAAGCTCTTCCTGGTAAAAGGCATTTTTTTTCCCATCACAGGGTAAACACAACTCACAACAGGCAATTCCTCTCATATTTGATTGGCAGTCAAGGACTGTAGAAATGTCTGAACTTTGTCTATTTAGGAATCTCCTCTTTCCTGCTTCTGGTTTTGCTAAAAGATTGAAAAACAGTTTTTAACATTTTATCAACTCTATCTTTATTCCAGTGGGAGAATAAGTTTCATTTTAAAATGTTTTCAGCACTTCCCTACCGATATAGTCTTTAAATACTCACACTAAATTAGTGAATAACTAATTTGTATTCATCAGTTCTAGTATTCATACATAGCTTTGAACTAAGCAGTCAGAAATATTGGCTGGGTGGTTCTCTGTGGGTTTTTTTTTTAAGGTACAATGTGGCTTGTTGGGTATTGTCTTAGCACAATAAGTGATATGTAAACAGTGATATATGACTGAGCATTTGAACACAACCCTTTTGACTTTTCCAATAAAACATGGTTAAAACAAACCACAAAAGATCACTTGTGGTGCTTTCAAGCACCAAGATAGAAACCAGGAAACCAAAGTCTTGTCCATCCTAAGGCGTGAAGCCAGCTGGGTGACCTTGGACCCAAGATAATCTATGTAAAGAAATATTTAGACTAATGTACAGCTAAATAAAGCCAGAGTAAAATAAAAATTGAATCCAGTAAAACAATATAAAATATAAATACAATAAAATAAAAGAGAAATAAATGTCATAATGTCATCCAACCAAGTTGATTAGGACATCTTATGGTTTCTTATAGAAATTGCTGCAGGTAGAAACTTATAACTCTGTTGTTGATGCTAGATTTATTATTGTTACTAAATTATCATGACGGTATGGAAATTAAGAGGAAATAAAGTTATATGCCGGGGAAATGATTCAAAGCATACTGAAAAGTGGCTGATGGTAGCTAGACTGCAACAACTCAAGGAATTTCTCAATATAAATTATTATATTGTTATATTATACTGTTATGCACTGAAATTCTGTAATCAGACCTCTCCTTGAGGGGGGAGATTATATGTTTATAATGATCAGACTTCTTTCTTTTTTGCTCAGTTGTTTCTGTATAGGCAGTCCTCAATGTAAGACCACAAATGAGTCCAAAATTTATGTTTTTAAGTGAGAAATTTGTTTCCCCCCATTTTACGACTTTTCTCACCACATTTATTAACTGAATCATTGTAGTTCTTAAATTAGTAACACGGTTGTTAAGTGAATCTGATTTCTTCATTAACGTTGCTTGTAGGAAGGTCACAAAAGGGGATCACATGACTCTAGGACATTAAAATTGTCATAAATGTGAGTCAGTGTCAAGCATCTAAATGTAAATCATGTGACCATGGGGATGCTGCAAAGATCATAAGTATGAAAAATCATATGTCACTTTTTTTAGTTCCATTGTAACTTTGAACAGTCACTAAATGAACTGTTATAAGTCGAGGAGCACTTGCCACCTGTGTGTTTTATTTTGGCACACAGTTACACAAGTGACTCTGAGCCTCCCTAGCCTCTCTCTCATCATGGTTTTTCTGGAGTCCTCATGGCCTTCAGCTGTTTCCTTTCACCTTCACATCCTTACTTGTTTGCTCAGGGCTTAGAGGAAGAAGGGCAACAAGAAGGTGTCCTCCTTGGGAAGTTCACATACAATCAAGATGGGGATCCTATCCAAACCTTCCACTTTCAGGTAAGAAAAAAGGACAGGGAATGGGGGTGAGGGGAGGTAGACCAAGGGCTTCAGGGGCTGCAGGAAAACAGTGAGCCTTATTTGCTGTTCTTATTCAGTACTGAATGGATTTGTGAATAAAGCCTACTACTGTCCCTTTTATTTATTCAGTCTTCCCTGGATAATAATTTTTTGTGTGTTTGTGAAATAGGCTTCAAACAATAAAATGTAGGGATTATAATACGGTAGTAGTTTTTGTTTTTCTAAGTATAACTGTTTTGGTCTCACTGTGTATTATCTTCAGAGCTACCCAAGGATTAGCCAGCTGATGGATTTTACTGATGTTTTAAGGGACATAGCCCAAGAGTCTAGTCTTATTAAAACAACAATAATAATAATCTTTAATACCATCAAACATTCATATCTGCCTATCCCAGATCCTTGGGAAGGACTTGATAAAAGGATAAAAATGCCAAATACAGTCGGAACATCTGCTATGCAATAAATTACAATAATACAGTAAAGAAATTTATCATTTTACTATTCTGCCCCATACTTTCTCTTATGTTAATATCTCATGGCCAAAGAAATGGACTTAAAAGCTTTCCCCAACCCAGTGCTTTCCAGATGTGTAGGATTAGATCCCCCACTATCTCTGTTCCGGACTGTGATGAGTTGTAGTCCAAACTATCTGGTCTGCACAGGTTGGGGAAGAAGGAAGGCAATTTGTACCCATTTGTCAATGCTTGCAGAGTTCTGACAAGGATGCTGAATTAGGCAGTTATTATATTTCTATTGATAATAGAAAAAAATAGAATCATGTTTGAGCCCTTAGTCTATTGATTGTTGGTGGAGGCACCTTTAAAGTTTGTTTATACATTTGGAGGCATGTACCCTGCACCTTGTCTTTAATTTGTGGCTCCCAACATTCCCAGATTGCAAAATCAATTTTCAGCAGTTTTACATTTAAAAAAAATGTGCTCATCAAATATTTAAGAACTTATGGCACCCACTTTTTCCCTTAAGGCAGAGGGTCTCCAACCCCCTATCCATGGACCGGTACCGGGCCGTGGCATGCCAGCAACCGGTCTGCACAAACAAGCAAAGCCCCATCCATGGGATGCAGGCAGCACACAAAACCACACACTCTCTGGTCTGTGGAAAAGCCTTTCTTCGTGGAACTGGTCCCTGGTGCCCAAAAGGTTAGGGATCTGTGCCTTAAGGGAAATCATACAAAAAAGGGCCCTGTTCCATGCAGGCTTTACTCTATAACCAAATATATTTCTAGCATCTCCAGGGAGGAAAGTAAAAATAAAGCCCATGACTGAAAATGTGACTTATTCCTGTTTTAACTGATCAGAGACATGTTACTGTTCTCCAGGCATAAGTGCACATTTGAAATAAACTAGGCTAGTGATGGCGAACCTTTTAAAGACCGAGTGCCCAAACTGCAACCCAAAACCCACTTATTTATCGCCGGGTGCCAGGTGGGCGTGGCTCACTGGGTGGGTGTGACTGGTGGTCATGGCAGATTGGGTGGGTGTGGACAAGGTGGGCGTGATCACCTCAATGTTGCTCGTGGGGAGGGACACCTGTGGGGGCCGGGCAGGGTTGGGAGAGATCCAGGGGGTCTCTGGCAGGTAGGGTGGTGGGCAGGAAGCTCATCTGCTGGGTGAGGCGAGGCAAGGCGAGGGTGCCATTGTCACAGGGCAAGGTGAGGCCGGAGCGCCTGCTGCCTGACACCATCGGCCCCTGCACACAGAGGCCAGCGAGCGCATGGGTGCTGGGATGCATCTGGCCATGTGGGACTTCGGCGAGTTAGTGGGCGGCTGGTTGAAAGACGGTTGGCATCTTCAGGGCACGCGTGCCATGGGTTCGCCACCACTGAACTAGGCCAAGCTGAAGAAGCAATCCTCCAGCATTTTCTCTGGGTCACATTTTTAAAAGTCAACTTTTCCTTCTCTTTTCCCATCCTCAGGATATAGACAGGGAGGCAGCCTTCCAGCTGATGGAGCTAAGAGTTCTCAGCAACTGGGGCCATCCAGAATACACCTGCATTTATCGTTTCCGTGTGCATGGGGAGTTAGTCTCATAATATCTCCTTGAACCACTAGCTCAAAAGTCACCTACCTCAAGATCTGCATTTCAGACCGTGAAAGTATAACTGGAGAAGAAAGAATTTACTTCAAAAGAGAATTTGGAATGCATACTAGGCCTGACTTTCAGGGTGAAAGCAGACTGTGTTTTTCTATGCCCGATCCCCACGGAGTTTTCTTTAACAAGATTGATTAAGAACAAATGGATGATGTGACAACTACTTTGCTTCAGATTGAGAATAGAATAGTTTTAGACCCAGATGTGGGTTATACTGTTCTTATTTTGGTGTAGTGCCTGGGTTATTTTGTATATTATATTTTCGATTCTAATCCTTTGTGTGTTGCTCAGAGTCCCTGCTGTGAGGCAGGCACCACCCTAATCAGGGGACTGGAGGCTAAAACATATAAGGAACTGTTGCTGGAATTGGGTTTGTCTAGTCTAATGAAGAGAAGGACGAGGGGGGACATGATAGTCTTCCAGTATCTCTGGGGCTGCCCCAAAGAAGAGGGAGTCAAGCTATTCCCCAAAGCCCCAAGGCAGGACAAGAAGCAACGGATGGAAACTAACCAAGGAGAGAAGCAACTTAGAACTAGGGAGAAACTTCTTGACAATGAGAACAATTAACCAGTGGAATAACCTGCCTCCAGAAGCGGTGAATGCTCCAACACTGGAAGTTTTTAAGAAGAGACTGGACAGCCATTTGTCTGAAATGGTACAGGGTTATGGTCTGAAATGGTTTAGGGTTTCCTGCCTGGGCAGGGGGTTGAACTAGATGACCTCCAAGGTCCCTTCCAACTTTATTATTATCATTATCAAAGGCAGTTGGGAAGCAGTGCCAGGAAGGCAAGCAACTTGGAATGGGCAATATATCTTTTTTGCTATGTTGCACAGAGACAGGGTATAAGTTGTGATTCTCTCTGATCAATCAATTCTTTCCTGGAAACAACAATCTTCTGAGTTCAGAGGAAGAAAGAGGCCTTTTGGATTTAGTATTTTATATTTAGTTGTTCTTAAAGCAAATTTTTATACATACTTTCATATTTATATCCCATCATTTATACTTCTCCAAACCTGATTTTTGGTTATCCTTTTAATGTTCAATTTTCTGGGGACTGAAGGCATATCTAAACAAGCTAAGCAATGCAGAAAAAATTTGCAGTGACATAAGGTTTGGTGTGAGGTAAGGATATAAACCTTTTGCCAGATTCTACTGTCCTGTTTAGGCACTTATTAGTGTCCTCCCCCCCCAAAGCCTCAACCTATTCATAGAAAGGTGCCTTTTACCCGTACCTATTCTGAGTGGCTCTGGGGGATACAGAAGGTGTGCTGGAAACTCCATGCAGCTGAAAATTTTAAAAAAGTGGTGTCGTAACTTTGGTCACCTTTATATCATCATATTGTGTGGAGGCAAGTAGAGGAATGTTTTCATGAAATCTGTCATAGATGAGGATTGTAGACTTAGGGCCATTCCTCTTCCTATGTAGCCAGGATTCTGGTGATTTTTTTGGTAATTTATCCACATAAGATTCAGATTGAATTCCATGGAAGCAACAATGCACAGATTGAAAAGCTATAGAGAGAAATGTTCATTAGGGAACTGTGATGTGTTTAAAAACTGGAAGCTGCAGTTTAGAGTTTTTCTATGGGGAAAACTGTTAATATAAATTAGAGTTATTTGTATAGGTTAAATATGCAGTATTTTATCTCTTAGAAAATAAGATAATATTGTCAGGCCTTCACACCGATCTAGAAGCGAATACAGCAGTTCCTAATAAGAGGGAGATTACTAATGCTGATGGTAAAATACACAGCATGTGTTCAGAGATGAAATATCTCTGAATACTGTATTCTTGAATATCCCACATATTTGACAACAGTCAGTATTACAATATGGCCTCCAAAGACGAAACTTGTTTCATGTTGAACTCTTGTCTTTTGATCTGCTTGCAGAGGACAGAGTACAAGCTGCTTATTGTAGTTCACAAAAAGTTAAAAGACTCCTGAGTCGATTTCAACTCCTGATGATAATATAGATATATCAGAAGCTGCTGTAATTTGGACTGTATATGTTTGAAAGGAATTAAATGCTTTTTTAAAGCTTGCATAACATATATATTAATCTCATAAGTGATTAAGACTAGCAGGAGCTTGAACTCCCAATGTTTCACAACCTTATATTTCTAAGCTATTTGAATTTTCAGCCGTTAATTTGAATAGTTCCTTGAGAGAGAGAGAGAGAGAGAGAGAAATGCAACTGTCTATAACTTGCTAAACTAGTCCCATGTATCAGCTGACTAAAATAGTAAAGAAAACTGCCATATTTCTGCAATTTATGTAGCAAAACATGAGGATTAGTCAGAGTCCTGAGGTGGTGGCAGTGAAAATTGTCCAAGGGGAAGAGATAATTTTTTAAATATTCCTTAAGGCATGAAAAAGCAGCCTCTCTTTGGTAGAAAACAAACACAGCAAAGAATAAAACAGCAAGCCAAAGAAACCCTAGCTATCTCCCTGTTATGCTAATTGTTGATCCCCGAAACAATTTTACAGGTGGAGAGATTTTAAAAATGGGGTTCTTTTTCTTTGCTCTAAAGTGTTACACTCAACTGCCACCCTTTTTAGGGAAAAACTTTGTTCTTAGTATCAGTATATACATATGCAAAGAACATTTTTGTTTTTGCTAAGTGGATCATCTTTGAATGAAATCTCTGCTGGATAGATAAAGCCTTCTGGATTGTTGCCTAAGTAATTCCTCTTTCCACCCTCAGTTGAGAAGGAAATAGCCATACATGGCAAAACAGCAAGGTGGGCTTCAAAATACCCAATTCTTCCTGCTTTAAAAAAAAATTGATCTAGGGGGAAGACATACAGCCTTGTCCAGTATTTCCAGTTTGGATCCATCCAGATGTGTTGGTCATCCTAGAGGTCTGTCAGTGTGGTCATTAATAATTGACTAGTTGGCCCCTAATTGACCCCTAATCAATCCATCAAATAGGTTGGGATTACCAGAACAGAGATCAGATTGAAAATAATTGATCTGGCATTTGAACACATTAGCCAATGTGAATATTGTCTCTAATTTTGACTGAAATGATTTTAATTATTATTTAAATGAAGCCACATAAACACTTAGGTAAGTAACCATGCTGACAACTGAAGTGAGAATGTAGATACCTGGTAGCAGGAGGGTATAGTGATCTACACCAAATATGCTTTTACATGTTGAATGTCCTGGGTTCAATCTTTGATATATCTGGTTAAAGTTAGGAAAAACCTTAGTTCTGCAAATGAATGATTGTTGCCAGCACTGTCCAGAGGAGCTGCAGCAGTTTTCTTGTAGCAGAAAAAAAACAAACATAGTTCTATCAGGTCAACTGGTTCCTTTTTTCCCTAAGGATAGATGACAGTGGACTAGGCTTGGCTTGGCCATTTCCCTGCTTTGGGGCTTTGTTTTAAAAGCATATTCTCAATTGTAAATATAAACATAGTAGTCAATGTGCACAATGTGCACAAGTTTACTGCTGCACTTTGGTAGCTACAATGCCAGAGTAGTATCCGTTACTCATTCCATGCACCTATTGAGAGAATAGGTGTGGGGCAGAGGACAAGGTTTCTTGCAATTAGAACTGGTTCATAATTATAACAGTATTATAGAAGAAATAGTATTACTTGGGTCTTGCCTCACTATTTTGGTTTTAAGATGAATGTGACTGCTGTGACATAGTCTGACATAGCATGTTAAATGCTTGAGAAATATTTGACTAACAAAGGTTTGTTAACATTATTGGACTCTATACACTTTGTTAACCAGCTGCAAAGAACAGACAGATGTAGCTAGTATTTGTGATGTTGGTGCAGTCCTCTGGTACTATTTGTCTTTCCTTGTGTGTACCTGTAAAAACAGGTGGGTTCTATCAGTCCATTCATTAACAATAATAATAATGAATTGCTAGCTGTTTATTCTTCCAGCATCTCGTTAGGTGCCTAGAATCAGGTAGCATCTTATTCTATCTTTCAGGCTCCAATAATAAGTCCTATGTTCTTTGACTGATAGTAATTTTTGAATTGATGGCTTCCCCTTCAACATTACAGTAAAGGCTGTTTCCAGCAGTCTTTTTAAAATTAGATACAGAGACAGCAGTTTTCATTGCCAGAAGAACTCTATTTAGAAAAATTTGTTTCAACTTCTAAATTCTTATGTTCCTTCAGGCAAATTATTGGCCTGCATTAGTCCACTACTTGGAATAAATTTTGAGATACAACCTATGTTCTTTGTATATATGTATATATATATATATATATATATATATATATATATATATATATATATATATATATATATATATATATATATGTTAATGTTACAATTAATCATATGTATATATTCCATTTGGAAACCCGCCCTTATTGACAAATGAGTCCCTAACACAAAGAATGACACCAGACCCACACTCACGAAAGCCACACAGCATGTCACCACCACACATCCACGCAAAAAGCAAACCCAAACCGATGATAAGGCACGACCACAAACCAGAAGCCAGACCACAACTGCATCATTAGCCACTTTACACCCCTCCAATCCATACATGAAGCAAACTGACACCCACCATGAAGATGAGGCACGACCATGAACGTGAAGCCAAACAACAGCAATGCAGCTCACCATCTCAAATCCCCCTGCAACTCAGACTAACCCAAGCACAAGAAAGCCCCCACCTAAACAGAACACACCCCCATCCAATCAGAGCACAGCCAACCCCCCAGCCAATCAGAGCACAGCCAAGCCCCTAACCAATCAGAACACACCTCCACCCAATCAGAACACAGCCAAGCTCCCACCCAATCAGTTCATACCCCCACTGGCAGTTAAAAGGAAGAAACAGCTACGATCACATAATGCTCTTAGAAGCACGAAGCCGAAAACACCAGCCTGAAGATGACAAATGGGTCTTTGGTTATTCGGGTTTTCTCCCACGTAAAATTGGAAGTGTCTTGGCAACGAATGGGACTTTGTTGAAACGTCGCCAAGACACTTCCAATTTTATGCGGGAGAAAATCCAAATAACCAAAGACATACATACATACATACATACAATTGTAACATTAACTTTTTTGCAATTGCCTCAAAATAGGGACTGGTTAAGGACAGGTTTTTTTGTTATGAAAGTGATTAATGGATGGTTCTGTCTAGAAGGAAACTGAAACTTCTGGAATAGTGCATTTTCAAGATATCTGATTAATCTACGATTTAATATGACACAATGAACAAACGGTGGTTTTGTGAAATAATGGAACAATATTGAGAAAGATAAATATTGTGAAGGTAAATAGCAGTTGTATTCTTGTGACATACAAAAGTTAAAAGGCTTAATTAAGGAGCACTTCCTAGTATTTTATGCCCACCTGATCTTATTGTCCTGTAGTCAAACTTCATGGCTTATCATCATGTCCAGGTGCCTCACTTGGAGGCTCTCCAATCTGGGGCCTGAGATTAAGTTTTATTTTAAGTTAATTTCTGGACACCATTTTGGTTCAACCAGTAAGTTTGGTTTAAGAGCTCCATATGGTAGGGATGATATAGCTACACATGTGCATTTATTAACCAAGCCTTTTAATTTAAACATGTTGTAAAATACAACCAGACTGAAAATCCAGTGGTACCAAATCAACAGTGATGTGGGGAACGATGCCCCCTTTCTGACCTGTGGACTACGGCTCCCAGAATTCCTGAGCCAGCATGGCTGGCTCAGGAATTCTGGGAGTTGAAGTGCACAGGTTATAAAGGGACCATTGTTTCCCACTCCTGCCTTACAAGTATTACACTTTTATGGTGCCAGTGCCTTCACCTGTCATTTGCATGCAACTGCTCTCACTACTTGCACACCTAACCTTTTTCACATAGCCACAGACCACTCATAGGAGTCATACATTTGAAGATACTAAAGTACAGATGGCTAATTAAGACTGCTGACTGGGAAGCATTATAGTAACTATAACAATACATATGCAAAGGTTACCATCAGAAATGCTTTCATACAGGATGTTTTTCAAGTGGATAAAGAAGTGAAATATGAAAAATATGACTTCTCCAGACTTATTTTTGTCCTTAGGAAGGTACCCCACAGATTAATGGTTGTATTAATAAGTCCTACTCCTAAGAAATCTATTTGTATTGAGGGTCGGGAGGAGTGTATCTATGTCTATAGGTTACAAATGTTACACAGTCTGCTATTTTTGTTGTAATTTATACCTATGCAAGATAAATCAATAAATGATTTTTCTTACATGTGGCGAAACTAGTCATTAGTGAATAAGGGAGTTTTTGTGTGTCAGGGAGGAGTAAAGTAGAAGTACAGTAGAATAAAAATTCTGATCAAAGAATAATGGCACTAAAGGTTTCTGTCAAACAGACCACAGACCATATGCATACAGATATCCCCCTCTCATACATCAATACAATTCTCCTATGATAGAAGGGACCGGAGAAAGGCCAATCTGCTGAAAAGGTTACATAATTAAAAAAGCAATTTATACTGCTGTTTAAACTACTGTAGTTTAATTTTAAGAAAACATTTGATGTCAAGGATTAACTAAAATCAGGATTGCAACTTTTCCAATCTGAGGTTTTTGAAATAGCAATAGCTTTGAACTTATTTTTTAATTGTGCACATTTCTTATGAACAGCTGTTATGAATAGCCCTTGGAATACTTCATACAGTTCTGGTCATTGCATTTCTTTTGTAGAGCTAGGAAGGATGTGAATAGGATACCCAAAATAATTAAGCTGTCTTTTAGCTTGAAAAGACTACAAACTATTTTTCATTTAAAAATTGATAAATGCATATAAAAGCTATGTAAAAAATTTCCTAAAATACCAGAACTTGGCAATCATGCATCAGTGTGAAACTCAGGGAGATGCAAGATAGTTCTTTATAAAGCACATAGAATTTGCTTCTATAGATGAATGTGATTCGTGATACTGGTTTAGATCTTTTTTTAAAAAGCTAGTCAAATCTGTAGAGGACTAGCTTATCAATAGCTACTGGTTTCAGTGAAAGTATAATACCTTCAGAATGAAAGGCAGCATTTGCTAAATACCAGTCATAAAACCTGACTTTGCTCATGCTTTTGAACTCCCCCTTCAGTCACAATATAGAAAAAGGCATATTTGATTCAGCAGGAGTTTTCTTATGGCACAAGTTTCTTTTGTCAATTTGATTTTCTACAAGGTTCTGGAAGTATTTAATAATCTCCAGCTCAGGAGAACAACCAGCTAGCTTTCAAGACTTTTCAGAGAAGAAACTTCAGCCATACAAAACCTATTTACAAATTACATCTAACCTGATTTACATTTTATGAACCAGGATTAGTGAAGTAGTACCTCATTTCCTTTAAAATGGAGAGAACAAGATTTTCTTTTTTTTACCAAATTGTTCTTTTTAATGTTGACACCATGCCAGCCTCAGTAGTCCTTATGTGCGGCTCAAAAAGGAGAACACAGCACTGTGACTTTCTTAATGCTTGCCAGCATTGTACAATCATCTTTCTGAACAAAGAAATGAAGTAAAGAAGACACCAGACTAAAGCCTCTGCTTCCCTTGATATTGGAAGGTAAAGGAGACAGATATAATACAGGGTAAAAAGCAATAGCACAGGTTGCTACTTTGCATTAATCATCCTCATACTGATTTGTCCTTACAGGGTGCTCTTAATGCTGTAGGTGCTGAGCATCATGTTCAAAAAGCAAGACAGGTATAGCAACTTTCCTTAATCTGGCGTCTTCAAGATAGATTGGTCTGCAATTTCCATGAATCCCATACAGCATATTTATTAATCATGCTTGCTGGAGAATTGTAATTCAACAGATGTACAGCGCATCAAATTTAGGAAGATGGCATAAGTAGTCCTACCTGCTCTTTAATGTTTATAACTTAAAAAAGACTGGTCATTCCAAAAATGGTTAGGATGGAATAAATCTAAGAAACACTACATTGTAGGGAAAAATGCTATTCAAAGTTACAAACCAGTTAACTACAAACCACAATTTTTTTCATGCTTTCTCCTTTTTAAAAACATGATGCAGTTAAAATAAGTCAGTTCAAGAATGCGTGCTTTGAAGAGACACGCTACTAAAGTTATAAAATCACAACTATGACTTTAAATTTTAATGATGGATTCAAGATACCTCAGCCCATCTTTATGAAATCTCTGTAACTGCCACAGGAAAAATATGGAGATACTGAAACAAGTTTCTAAGTTGATTTCTAAAGCATTAAATTAATTAAACAGGCAGTTATTTCTGCAATATGAAGGGAGCTGAATATGCAGAGGCCGTCAATAGCATCTATTCCTGGTAGGTAGGAAATGTGGCCTTCAAATTGGTTTGGAAGCCATGAAAATAAATGGGCAAATAACCAGAAACAACCTTGCACTCTTGCTCTCTTGTTCCTAATGTGCCCACATAGCTGGGTGCAAAACTAGATATAGCATGCAGCTGGTAATAAAGAAGCCTCTACAGTTTGCTCTGTAGGAAAAAAGATAAATTCTGAACATAATATACAAAATATGAAATTCTCTTCAGCCTCCAAATCTCACTTTCAAAATTCTCCTTTTCTTTCAGAAGGATGAAGTGCATGCAAACAAGCTTACAAATACACACTTCTAGGATTTCACTGAAATCTAAGATTTGGGATGAGGCTGGTTTGGGAGGTTTCCTTTGTGACAGTTACCAACTATGGTCATGGTGAAATTACAACGAGACCTAGTATCTGTTTCAAACCATTGGAAACATGGGAAGAACTGCTATCTCCTCCCAGCCAAATATCACATATTCATACTCTTAAAGACTTGGGATTTCAGAAATTCCCAACTGCAAAAGAGTAAGTTAGCTAACCTAATGATGAACATGAGAATGGAGAAGACACAGGTACTTTCTTTTCTATACCTGTATTCTCTTGAATGCACATGCTCACAAGCACACTCACATACAAACCACCATAATAAAAACATGAAAATCATGACTAACAGCTTGAGGTGTACAAAATGTTTTAGGAAAAGGGAGAAGGTGGCTGCAGGTCAGTCCCACTGTTTTTTGTCACCTTCATTAGCTTCAATGGAAAACCCACATTCCCTGGAACTTCCTCCCCTCCCCCCAATCTTCCACAGTAGAAGATCAGCTGCAAACGATTTTGGTTAAGCTGCTCCGGGTTTCTGAATTGAAGAAATGGAGGGGGAGATGTGAGTTTCTCAATTACTGAAAAGATGTTCAGCAGCCACCAGCTGGAGTCACAATAACTGCTTGAGATTTCACTTTATGACGCTGGCCACCACGCCTCCGGCCACCACCTCCAACCTTCGCCTGGGGAAAGGGGGAGGGGAGAAAAAAAGAGGCCAAGTTAGAATGACAAGAGATTTTGAATGACCAAAGAAATTGAAAATAAATGCACAAATACAAGTCATAGTGTTAGGTATTGGATATGTATAAGCCCCATAAAAAACATCTTCCATATAAGCCTTCCCAGTCCTATTTAGAAGAGGACATCTCGCTGATGCTTTCTTATGGTCGTGATGGTGGGGTATTCTCCGTTGTTGTAACTGCTAAGTGGAATAAACACTGCAGCAAAATAAAGTGGGCATAGAGCATTTCCACCACGAATTAAAGACCAGTAATACAAGAGTATTTGATTGTCAGCTACCCTAACATTACTGGTATAGTTTAGGTTTTATTTGTGTATTTCTCTTTCCACTGTAAGTTCCTTTGAAATTTGTGACAAAACAAACTGTAAATAAAATCAAATAATAAATGAGAAATGAGAGGATGAGAAAGCATTTTCATAACAATTCAAGCTGAAGGTTCCTGAGCTTCATGAGAATTCAATTTAAAGGTTATGACTAGAGCTCACTCCACAGCCTGTGCTCCTAAGGCATATAAGCCATAGTAGAGGAAATACCTTATTTCCCTCTTGATTGTGGGGTTCTTCATCCAATGCAGGCTGAAGGAAAGCATTGGGAAAAGAAAAGCAGAGGTAAGCTGAACACAGGACAGACACAGATAATAACCAAGACAGACAACTAGGATATGGACAAAGATTGAGATAATAAAAGTTCTATTCCAATTCATTTGGAAAGCACTAGACAGACAACACATGACAGGAGACGAAACAAAGGCACACACAAGCCAAAGGAAGAAAGGAGTTTGACATGCTAGATAAATAATGATTGCACACACAGAGCACAAGTATCTGAATTAAGGAGCATTGCTATGTTAAAGCTCTAAGCTTTTGTCAATTTAACGAATTTCTGCTACCTGTCCAAAGTTTACAATGGCATTTTAACATCTGAAACACAATAGAATGCTATAAAATTCTGCAAAGGAAAACCTCACAAAACTGTAAACCCCTCTTGCCAAAACAGAAATTTGAATTGGATACATTTTATGCCTTCAGTATAAGTCAAGGAAAGCTCCAAAATTCAGAAGAGAGTTAATTCTACACTTTGGGACAACTGTAAAATAAGACTCTCTCAGCAAATCTTTACTGTATTAATCCACATCGTAAAGATAAAGGAAACAGTTGGATCCACACACTGCAGAAGAACTGCAAGCTTATGTGGAAAAGATTTAACATCCCATGAACAATTAAGTAGGATACTTAAACCTGAGGCAGATAAACAGCTGTCTCACTTTGAACTAAATAAAAACTGTACGATGTTCACTATGGGATGCATGAAAAATAAGCTTCCATTTTAAAAGGAAACAAAGATACAAGCAGCTTCCTTGGCTACAAGATTATTGCCCTGGCACCTGTGCCTATGTTGGCACCCATTTTTATGATGTAATCATACCAATTCTGGACAGAAAAACAAATGAGAACATACTATACCCTGCTTGGTTATTTTCTTTTGACTTAACAGGGAACGTGAATCAAGATATGAAGGCTTGTTCAACAAGGTTTAGTTTAAAAAGTATTTTCTTAATATGAACTTGGCCAAAATCAGTGGAGACACTGTGGCTCCTTTAAGGTAAGCCCGGGAAAGGTATAATAACATTGACAAGGGTACAAAGGCACTGCACAGGCTACTTTATCTACCTGTGGTTGTTGAGCACCAGATGGTGCTGGGGCAACTGTTGCTAGTGACGCTGCATCCTCTGCCAGAGTGGAAGTCAGCACTGCTATGCCAGCCTGGGCTCCACTCTCTTCGCGCTTGGTCAAGGGTCCTTTCTTTGTAGACTGCATCTTTATTTGCTGGGGCTTTGAGTTCATAGGAGAATTATTGGTGGTCTGGAGTAACTACCAGTCAAAAACAGATAACCAGAATCAGGATCCTTGCTGAGTGCTGGGTTTTATTTTGAAGCATAGAATCAATCAAGCAAAGCTGATGTGACTTTAGTTGGACTTTTAGATACTTAAAAAACGAAGCTAAGCTCTCTCATCTCATACAACTCCTGAAGCAAGAAGAGACTATAGTTAGTCTATTTTTTTTATTTCAGGAGCTGATAAGGAAGGTCAAACGTTATGTAAAAGAGAGATTTTAACAGCAGAACAATATTTAAGCCATTTCATTGTACATAGGATTCAACTGATCTATTTGGATCATATATAAAATTATATTCTGATTTGGCAGCCAGGACCTTCTGAATTTGCCATGCTTAAAAAAGGATGGTTGGCACACTGCATTTATAAATACGAAGAATCCATTGGACTAATACCTTAATTCCAAACAGAAATAAGACTTAAACGACATAGAACTGTAACTGGGTTTGCAAGCCTTTGGAAAATATGAGTATTGCAGCAATATTTTATTTCAACAGACAGAACGCCGATGCAGGGCACCTAAGAAGGTTCCATTTTGGATGGGGTGAAAATTCTAGAACAGTGTTTCTCAACCTTGACAATTTTAAGGCATGTGGACTTCAACTCCCAGAATTCCACAGCCAGCAACTCTAAAAAAAGAGGGAAAGGCCCAAAACAGCAGAAATAGACTCCATTCTTTTCTCACTAGTTTCCCAATGGATCCTTCCAGCACAGCTAAATGCAAATTCAGATAGACAAGCAACATTTTGCCAAACTGCACGCTGGGTTGGAGAAAGCTGGACTAAAGTTTCTTACTGAACAACAATGTTCAAACTTGTTCTGGTTACCTGGGCTGAAAGCTCTGAAAAAATGGGAGCAGAACCATCTAAGCATAGAATCTGCTGTAAAGTTAATCCCATCCAACATGCTGTAAGCTTTAAGAAAAAATATATAGATACTGGAAAATAACAAAATTGTTATTTTGTTATGGTACATCAATTAGGTACCCCACCAGTAACTAGAAGTAAGCAGTAACTGGCATCAAAGCAATACACCATTTATTAAATGAAGAGAAATTATGGAACTGCAGGTACCAATCTGTGAAATTCCTCCCCATCCACTATTACCTTGGTGATAGTGCCAACAGCTTTGGTACGCCCCTCACGAAAAACCAGCCGCTGGTCTATGTGCAAGTACTCTGGAGTCTTGATGAAGCGGAAGTGGACAGTGGCTTTATCCCCAGTGCGCAGGCAGTCTTTGTCCATGCTAAGGATAGTGGCTGTCTGGCGAATGCTACCACAATGTACTAGAAACAGTAAGAATCCCACTGGCACTCAGAATGTCCCCAAGGAAACAAATATTGGCAATATACATGAATATTATTAATTCATCACACAAAAAAAGTTCAATTTCCTTTGTTATGTATCTGCATCTCTGACTAACAGGATCAACATCAAAACTTTACTCTTGTTACTTTCCCTAGTGAGCCCAGATCTTCATTGCCCACTGGCATCCCGGTGAAGGATTCCTCCAGTGACAAATCTGAAGGCTTACCATATGTCATACTTTCCTCAAAAGCCTGTATCTTGTAACATACAGGTTAAAAAAAAATCACATGCAGTCATTCCCCTCCCCCCTCCCCCTCCGGTCATCCGCCAAACCTAGCACTAAAATGGGATTTCTACAATGGTGCAAGTCAAGCAATCTAGACATGGATCACCCAACATCTTGATGTTCTGCCACATTCCAAATGTTTCACAATGAATAGTGCTCTTTTGCTCATTGCTGGTGCTTTAAGTTAGAGACGCAAAATATTAAGAGCTGCATCTGGTCTCTTAATATACGGTTTGAGGAGGGAAGATTAAGATAACAGCAATTCTCCTAATCTATTTTAATTTTACAATTTAAAGCATAAGGAACTGCAGCAATAGCTTCAGAAGATGGTCTTGAACCTATGTTGTGCACTCCTACCCTTATGGGGAATAACCACTACCAGTAATATATTTAATATTTCAAGCTAAACTGCAACAGGTGTATATAAAAGACATAGAAAGCAACATCGCATACCCATTGCCTGATAACGTGGACTGATAGTGGTAGGATGGTGAAGTACCAGAATCTCTGCTTCAAATTCCCAAGAGGCTTGAGGATTCAACCGAGGTGATACCATCACCATGCCTTTCCTGATAGAGGAGCGTTTGATCTGGTAGTGGAATAATTAAAAGAGAGTTATCAAAATCAAAAGTAGGTTCACTGGAGAATAAATATACTTCTGTGGTATTTACGGAAGACTACACCAGCTCTTTAAATACAACCTCTTCTGGGAAGCAGTAGGATGGCCATCCATCCAACTACCCAAGCAGGAAACCATCCCAAGAAGAATAACCTAAGGTAATGATTTTGGTCAAAACCATTTACGTCTTGGCAAGATTTTCAGAAGTGATATGCCATTGCTTTCTTCCTAGGATTGAGAAAGAGTGACAGGCCCAAAGCCTGTGCCTAAGGCAGGACTAGAACTCATGGATTCCCATCTTCTAGCCTTGTGCCTGAAACTACTATGCCAACTTAGGTCTCTACACTTACTTATCTGGGACTAAATCGAATTGAACTCAATTCATTTACTAAAAAATTAAGAAAGAAAATTATGGAAGAAAATAAAAGGGACTGCCTGTTCCTCATGCATATAAATCTCTATCTTATTTCTCATTAACTCATTCCCAGTGGAGGCAATTTTGATGTGTAATTGCAGACGAAACTTGCTATACCTTAGCCATCCTAAATATACAGACCAAGGAACAAATCCCCTTAACACAGAATCTATATACTTCTGGATTCACATCTTTACCGTTGCTTTGTTAGACATTGAATATAAATGCTTTCCAAGAAAACAGACCCATAGCAAGTTGGCACTCACCTTTTTCAGAGCAAAGGAAGCAGTCTGACCACCCCGCACCTCTTTGACTGGCATGCGCTTGCGATGGATGGATTTCACTGCAATAGGCAAGAAGTTGCCGAGCGGATCTGGGCCCAGAAGCAAAGTGTCATTTAACTTGATTAGGCCTCTCAGGGTTGTCCCAGACACCACTGTTCCAACACCCTATGCCAGGAAGAAAGTAAAAAAGGAAAAAAGTGAATCATGTTAGCACAGCAAATAGCAGATAATTTCTTTACTTTTCTCATCTCTGAAAAAGATGAGAGAAACATTTTTCTAGAATACTTCTGCTTACTGGCACAGAATAAGTGTCATCTATCTGGAATTCCGCAGGTTCTTCCTCCCGGTAACTTGTCCTTGGAGACAGGAGATTGAGAAACATCTTCAGCAATTCCAAATTCTCACCAGTGACATTGGAAATCTGGAAGATTGGGCACATCCTAATGAGAAAAAAAATTATTACAAAACAAATTATTCAGGGCTCTTTACTATCTTATTCTTTATGCTTGGTACATCTCTAGATGATATAACAAATATACCTAGTGATGAAGAAAGGTGCCCTGCAACAGGGCTTCACAAACTTTGCAATTCTGTGATCTCCTAAGGCACGGGTGTCAAACTCGATCGTGTCACGTGACATAGCGTGACGTATTGCATTTTTTTTGCCTTTGTGGAGCCGGGGTGGGCGTGGCCTGCACACAATGACACCCCTGCCCTAAGGCAAGGATGGGCAACTATGGCCCCTTTACAATCTGTGGGCTTCAACTCCCAGAATTCCTGAGCCAGCCACACTGGCTCAAGAATTCTAGGAGCTGAAGTCCACAGGTTGTAAACAGACCATAGTTGCCCACCACTACTCTAAAGTAATAAATGAATTTGGATTGCTTTATGAATAAAACTAATGATTTCATTGGATTAGGCTTGGGTGAAAAAATACCACTTTTGTTACATTTTAATTTATAATCTGTGGCCCTTCGGAGTTACTGAACTGCAAATTCCAGTCGTTCCAGCCAGTCCAGCCAAGTCTGAAGGATTATGGGCACCATAATTTAGCAATACTGGAAAGGCCACAAACTGCCTGCTGCAGAAACAGCATCTTTCAAATAGAAGTTTAATCTCCAAGGTAACTACATTTATTTTCACCCACCCTCTGGTCAAATTTCCAATCTTTTTCTTAGTAAAGGCAGAAGTGGCCTAACTGGATATCTCTCCAATCACTACCCCAAAACTTTGATAGATATCCTCAGTGCTTTTTTTTAAAAAAAAAAAAAGTGCCGGAACTCACACACGTCATACAACCCGCCTTGCCTACCCTACAAGGTTCCATCCAAAAAAGATGCCGGAACTCTGTTCTGGGCGTTCTATGAGAAAAAAAGCCCTGGATATCCCAACCAGGGTTGTTGCAGCTCACTCCTGCCTTCTTAGCCTCAGTTGTGCCCCCAAATAATCTTTTTTTAGCTTTTGCCTTGCAGGAAGAACCTGCTCTAACACTCCTTCCCACAGCAAGTCTCCCATCACCATCAAGGATCCATGCTCACCCGCCCACAAGCTCATGCTATGGAAGACTGCTTGGGATGATGCTGAGTTGTTTTTCATCTGGGGCAGATCAAATACTTTCACATTACTGTTTTCTTGCCCATGAATGAAGGAAAATCAAGTGACATCTTTCCTTCACTTTTTCTCTAAGCTTCCCTTCACCAAGAAGTAGGTGTCAAAGAAAAGGTTGCATCAGTCCATGACTCGCATTGGTCATACATGAAACTACATTTCAACCAATCCAAAATTGAGAGAGTGCTGCAGCCCTGGCTGCCTCTCCATAGCTTTACTTTGCTCCTACTGGTGATGAGCTGAGAAATTGCCACACTGCTTCATCCTCTCTCAGGTAGTGAGGGCACTAGCAGGAGCTGCAGCCCAACAAGCAGGAGCAGAATAAGGCACAAGGAGTAACTGCCTTCTCTCTCTCTCTCTCCAGCAGCCAGACTATCTCCTGCTCAGTTGCTGGAACTACAAATAGAGATCTACCTGGCAACACTAAGCAGTACTCCTTGTCCTCCACCTATCTTATCACTTGCTCTGGCCCAATGATTTCTCCTTGTTAACTGGGAGAAAGTGAAACCAGAGAGAAGGGGAATGGCATCTCTTTACCTTTACACTTTTGCTTCCTGCCCACCTATTTGATCTTCCCCCAAAAAGCCATCAAGCTTTGTTAAAGGGAAAGGTTGAGAATGAGGTGGTGGAGGCCAGCAAATCAGCACACCTCGGATATTGGTCATGCCGGTGGATTTAGCATTGCTGGAGTTCTGGAACAGCACACTCCCTCTGTGCATGGACATGTGCTTGGATATAGAAGTTAAGAAAAAACTGCAGTTTTGATAGGATTAGTTGAGAGTAGGAAAGAGAAGAGAGATGGAGAAGGATCACCTTCCATTTGTCAAAATAGGATCCTAGGTGATGGTTCCTTTACAATTTTGCCAGCTGGGCTATTGGTATTATTCCCCAGCTGACAATGTAAAGAGCACAATGAGTCTGATTCATTCAAATAGCCTTTCAAGTCTGTTCATCAGACTTCCAGAAGGTGGCGCAGCAGTTAGAGTGCAGTACTGCAGGCCACTTTAGCTGACTGTGTTCAGCAGGTCAGCGGTTCAAATCTCACCGGCTCAAGGTTGACTCAGCCTTCCATCCTTCCGAGGTAGGTAAAATGAGGACCCAGATTGTTGGGGGCAATGTAAATATATATATACATTGCTTAGTGGTGTACACCGCTTAGAGTGCTTGCACTTAAAGCGGTATATAAGTCTCATAAATAAATAAATAAATAAGATGAGGACCCAATTTGAAAACCCCTACCCTTCTAGGGACGCCAAGTATGTTATTCCTGCTGCCCCTAACACTGGTAGTATACCCCAAGTCATATAACATTGCATTTCTGATTCAATAATCTCACTATGTTTTTAATCCTAGGGCTGGCAAAATAGGGAGCTACAACTGTAAAAGAACCATCCACTTCCATTATAGAAAAATGATAGGATTGTGAGGGTCTACTTATATTTGTTTTTAAAAAAAACATGGATTTCATAGGGCTTTCCTAGAAGTCTTTCATCTCTGCTGTAAGTTATCAAATTGGGATTCAGCTTGTTTTCATAAATCACCTTTCAGAGCTGAAATTGGAGGCAGTAACGATAACATCATCTTTGCTCTGGACCAACACCGGGATCTTCCTGCATCCTGGGGACTTCAAAAGTCGTTGCAGGAGCTTCAGAGTTTCTTCATGAACAAAATGAAAATAATTAGGCCTGTTTGTAGCACTTAATTTTGATGGGGTTAGCTGAGAGCAAGGGGGGACAGGGCGGAGGACAGAATCATCTTCCATTTGTCAAAGCAGGCTCCTGGATGACAGTTCCTTACAATTTTGCCAGCAGGACCATTGTTCTCCAGCTGACAACATTGCAAATAGCACAATGGCTCATATTCAGAACTAATCAAGTACTATATAAAAACTATTCCAAAGTTATACAGCAATATGTACACTTTCAATTTATTTGAAATATTTACATGCCTGGACCACCAGGATTTTAAAATTTATTTAAAAGGAGAAAAAAAGAAGTCTTAAGTAGAGCTAGAGTTTAGAAAGTAAGTTACAGACATTTAGCAGGAGATTTTAACACCACAAGATTAATCAAATTCAATTTTAAAGATTAATAAGAACTTTGGAGGGACTAAAACAGCTTCTTGTTTCTGCTTGCTTACAACTTTTATTCTCTATAATATGTACCTTTTTAAAAAAAAATCAGTCCTAAAATAAAGCAATTCTTATAGGTAGAATTTAATCTGCATTATTACTTTGACCACAACTTAATTTCACTAAGAACAAACATTTTTAGTGGTTGATCACCTTCTTCAACATTTCAAAAGATCTCGTCTTCCCATATCTCATTCTCATCTATGAACAAATTATGAAGACTGGTCATTCAATCTTAATCAGCAAAAGTCCACTAAGAGTTACCCAAAATAGCAACGTATATAGTTCAACTACAATCAAATAAATCAATTTGTATTCTGTTCAACACAATGATTTGTTTTCTCCAATACAAAAAAATCTTCTCATATCTTCTCTCTTATATATAAACATATTTTGCCTCCTCTTTTTGAACTGTCAAGAAAAATCCTTCATTATTAAGTAGTGAAATGAATGAGATTTATTGACTAATTTGTTATTTACGTGATTATATGGAAAGTTGTTTAATAATAGAGTAATTATTAAGATTTAATATGTAAACCCGGACTGGTAGATTTGCTGAAGCGATGTTATTTTGTGGGATTAATCCCACTTTTGTGTTATCCCTTTTCCCCGGTCTAACCTTTTTGTATGTTTCCCGTTGTCTTACCCTGTTTGATCCTATCCCCTTATTACCTTTATAAAACTCAATGAAAATATTTATTAAAAAAAAAAGAAAAAGAAAAATCCTTTAAGAGCTACTAGAAAAAGCAACAAATTTAAAACCATCATCTTTAATCCCTTTGATTGAAGTTCATGTCTTATTATTTTCTTTTTGTCTCCTCTTAGAACAGTGGTGGCGAACCTATGGCACGGGTGCCATAGGTGGCACTCAGAGCCCTCTCTGTGGGCACGTGCGTCGTCATCCCAGTCCTAGGCCTTCAGCTGGGTTTTATAAAACTTTTTCGCTTTAGGCCTCCGCCGCTGTGTGTGAAAAAAAAAAAGGTTCAATCAGTCAATTTCAACTTCTCACGTAAAAAAAAATCTTGCAAAGTTGGAATTGATTGATTTGAACTTTTTAGTCCCACCCATTCTGCCGTTACCACCGCAGCCACGCCCAGCCAATGGGCCACACCCACCCGGCACCTGACAATGCATAACTGGGTTTTGGGTTGCAATTTGAGCACTCAGTCTTTAAAAGGTTCGCCATCACTGTCTTAGAAACTCTCTTGCAAGTTTAATACATACAGAAGTAACAACATATATATTTTAATCTTAATTATGTAAGCCAACTTCTGTAATCCTTTACTTTTAACACCATAACTTATCACTTTCTCTGAAAATACACAGAGACACATACAACCTCCCCCCTTCTTCTGATATCTTATCTATAAACAAGTATCTAAAACCTCCTCATTCAGTCCTGGTTTTAAAAAAACCCAAGCTACTAAAAAGAATATCATACGTATTTTTTAAATCTTAGTCAAATAAGCCAATTTTATATTTTTTTCTTTTTACTTTTAAAAATCTTGAAGTTTATTCCCTTTAAATAGTAGCTGATTTCTTTTCATTTTTTTGTTTTATCTCAGGAATTCCTTCATGAGTGTAATACAGTACATCTCTTGGTAAGTCCAAAATAAGAACGTTCTTCAAGTCACTCTTCTATTATTTGTCCCCCTTATTTATTAAGACATTAAGAGTTTCATTGTAAGTCCTGTATAACATCTTTTTCCATATCATTCTTGTATCTTGTTATTTTTCAATCCATATCCAAAACAGCCTGGTTCTCACTTATACCTTCTTCTATCTATCTGTTCTTTTAAAACCTATTTTATGGTAGCAAGAGAAATTTCTGAGTGCCCTGTTACCAAATATTCTTTAATTCTTCCAAAGTTAAAATACTTTACTCTGTTTTGTATTAGTGGGTCTCTTCTCCTTTAATTATCTTTTACTCTTTCTGATTGCCTTTACCCACAACATTTTTACACAGGAAGATTTCTTATACTTAGATTCAAAATCCTTAAATATATTTTAATGGCATTTTAAACAATCCAATTGGTTTCAAAATCTTATTTCCAATCCATCTAGCCCCTCGGTCATTTTAAACATTTTCAAAATCAACATAATCACCCTTTTGCTCTTTATGTCCTAATTTAAAAAATTAAGTTCTTAAATTTACATGAAATTTCTTTCTCTAGGGGGTTGAAGGTGTGACAAAAGATATTCCGAAGGTTCGTAATATCCAAAAAGTAGTTAACAAGCCATTTCCTAAAATGATTTAAAAGAGGAAGTGGGTGAAACCAGTGTCCATTTGATAGTTCCAAACTAGGCAAAGCTGGTTTTTACTATGCTCCCAGAACTCTTAACACCCACTGGAGACCATTGTTTTATGGTCTCCTTGCAGGCAGCATCTCTATGAAGCTCTTGTGGGTGATCCCAGGTTCTTTATCCAGAATTTCAAGGCTTTTCATTCCACGAAAAGCAAAGCGATCTTCAATCTACCACTGCTTCCCTGCAGTCTGGTTTTAGCTCTCAATATTAAAATGGTAAAATAAATAGAGACATCAGGAAGCCCAGAATATCCATTTTATCACTATAACAATATAGAAAGAGACTAATGGATGCAATTTTTGCCCAGGAGCAGGCAGCCTCATTCATTCACCAACATAACTTTGAAGGTGTCAGAACACATCCTATTCCGGTCAGTCTGTTCTCTTAGAAATACCCCACTACAGTAAATTCCACACCTAAGTGCTTTTGGCATTCAATGTTCTTTTATACGAAGACAATAGCTTGTCTTTGGCAGCAAAAATAATTTCCCCATGAATACTTACCACAGTAAGGAATAAATGAAGATGCTCTTGCAAAAGACAGATGTCAAGAACAGTTTATAATCTATAATTTTTTGTAAAGAGTCAATTTTTAAGACTATTGATAACAGACCAGCTTGCCAGTCAACTTTGGGCTCACAGCTATTGTTCATTTTACCAGTTTGTTGAATAAATCCCAATTGTAGTGATCATGCTAAGCAACCAGTAGGTTGTTTTATGTATTAGATAAACAAAGCCTCTGTTTTCTGTTACAGAGCTGGCTATGCGTTCCAGAGGATCCTAGGTCATACCTTACATAAAAGGCCTGGAAAAACCAACAACTGGAGTATCAGAAAACAGCCTTTGCCTACACAACTACATTTACATATATGACTCTGAGCAGTTCAGTCTTGGGTGACTTTGAGCTTTTCTCAAGGCTGATGTGGGAAACTAGGAATATTTTGCACTGAGAGTCAATCTGATGCAATTAAGAAACCAGGTTAGAAATCAGAAGACGAAAAATTCTAGTCCCTCCTTAGGCACAACTGAGATAAAAACAACAAAGAGAAACTGCTGTAGCAATAACCATTTACCTTGAAGTATGTTAGCAGGACACATATCAATCTTGGTCACCACCACAAAGACTGGAACATTTAGCGCCAGTGCCAGACCTAGGTGCTCCTTGGTCATCCCAACAATTCCAGCATTGCTGCCAACCTGTATTGAGATAAATTTTAAGGTAAAACAACTATGACTTTGATAGCATCAAGCAATGATGTATGTGTATGCCAAAAAAGATGGGCATGGACATGCATTTCAATCCATCAAAAATTAAGATTTGTAGCAAAGTAAAAGTTGATCAAGTTGCCATATGAGAAATAATTTTTCACGGTTAGTAACACCATTTGTGAGGATAATTTGAAGAACATAATTCAAGAGAAATCCAGACAGACAACTTAGGACATGTACCAGAATGAAGGTGTCTTTTTTTTTATAACAAATTTTATTGGTTTTTTAACTTTTACAACAGAATGCTCAAGACAGACCATGGTGGTTAGGTGATCAATCATTCAAAAACAAAATCATATAATAGCTCAAATAAATACAATTAAATGTTCCCTCTCTATTTCCCTCAAATAATATAACCTATTTAACATAATCCATTTCTACATTACATATCTATAAATCCTAATCTTATTTTGAACTTTATCAATTTACAGTTACCAGAGTCCAATTTAATCTTAGATAAACGTATTATCACTTCGGGTATCCCTTCTAAAATACTAATCCAGATATATTCTAATTCATAATCTCATAAATCATAGATTTTATCACAAATCTCTCTTATTTCTTCAGATAGCATTTAAATCTCATTCAAATAATTATCATGTCTAAAAAAAACCACACCTATTATTACACAAAACATCGTCTTACTAACTTAACACACTCAATTAGTTGTTAAAGCAATCCGAATTTCTAAAAACCTCTTTCATATTCTTATTCTCATTCCATTACAAAATAATTTTCATACAAATAAACATATTATTCCAAAAAATACATTTTACTCTGTTTAACATATATATTCTAATACTCACAAATTTTCAACTCTGAATCTTAGTCCTTAAATCAATCCATATTTCTCAAAACCTTTTTAATCCATTACATATTTATTTATTTATGAGACTTATATACCGCTTTAAGTGCAAGCACTCTCTAAGCAGTGTACACCAGTAAGCAATGTATATATATATTTACATATAATTTTAAATTTCTCTTTTTAGTCTTATTCTGGCTTTCTTTTTATGCCAAGCAGGTTTCCATAACAAAGCCTCTATTTCAGCAAATAGATCTCCCATTATTGCTTGTAATGTCATTTGGGTCAGTAAAAGACCTCCCATCCTCTGTTTTTGATGCCTGGCTCCTGTCTGCTGGATAAAACACTCGATCATGTCCAATTTTATAATTAGTAGTTGATTATCAAAATTGTCATAATTCTCCAACAGTTGTAATTTCAAGTCCATTTCTGTTAGTTTTGCAATTGTAGTTAGTTTAGTTACAATCATTTTTTGGTCATCCAAAGTCTCCATGGTTGTATGTAAATTAATTCCTCTTGTATTGCTTTTTGGTTTGTAGAATGATCAAATAGAGTCTGAAGGTCAGTTTGTAAGTTCACAGTAGAATTTCTGTTTATTATTTCTGCAGTTCTCTCTCTTATTTGGGAACATATTTCCTCAGTAGCTTCATAAATTTTTTCCAGTATGAGTTTACAGTTGAGTTGTGAATATGGTTCCTCCATTTCAGTAGTAACTAAATCCAATCCTATTATCTTTTAGCGGAGGCTATATTCCAAAACATTTAGTCAGTATCCACCCCCACCAATAACAGCTGTTGGACCAAAAAAAAGAGAAACAGTTGCAGTTTTAAATTTCTCCACAAGATGTCCTCAGTAAAGTATGAAAGTCTCTTCCAGACACCAAGAATGAGATTAGCAAAGTCAAAGAGCTGTGGAATCTCTTTTCTGGCTTCTCATAGAGTTTTTTTTTCCCCCAAACAATAAAGATTTATCCCTTTAAAAAAATAAGTCCAAGACATAGGAAAACAATATTCTCCAGCTTAGAAGATATAATAATAAAGTTTTATGCTAAGGATTTTTCCAGGGCCCCCAAGTAACCAAAAATAAAAAATAGTCAATAAGAGGTTTTTTCCTTTGTTATGGAAAGTTCTTTTCCCCAGATAAACAAAGGCAGCTCTTTCAAAGCAGGGAAGTAATTTCAAAAGGCTTTTAACAGGAGAGTAGTTAGGCAAAGAGAGAGAGAGGAAAAAATCTCATCGGGATCATCCACGATGGTTTCTTAACGCTTAGATGTTCTTTTGACTTTTGGCTGGAGCAGCTAAATGATCGGCCATGTTACTGGCCGATCTTTTCTCCATTGGCCCTGAGGAGCTGCCTCAGACCGCAGAAGGAGCTGCCTCCTCCCCCCCACAATCAACGAGAGTCCTCCTCATCGGTAGTCACCCCTCCAGGGTGACCTTTCGACCCGATTAAGGGTCTACCGGCAGAGGAAAAGCAGATAACGAAGAGAGCAGTCTTTTCATGTGCCTGCACCCACTGCAACCCAAAACCGGAAGTCCAGAAAGAAGGTGTCTTAATGAAGTAAATATTCCAGTCAATTCAAAATGTTTAAAAGCAATTTTCCACATTTAAAAACTTCTCTGTATTATCTGTCTCCATGCAATTCCTAAGCTTCCCTTTATTTTAAGATGGGATATGAACCTCAGAATCAGCACACAATGACAAATGGAAACAGTTTGCTTGCTACTGTCATGGAAGTAAAGTCACTGATACAGACATAACCTAAATCAATTCTTATTAAGTTACCATGACAAAGTTTCTTTTTTGCTCTTCCAATATAAGGAAGAATGTTCAATAAGCCAACAGGAGTCAAAGTTTACATGCTTTGCATGCATTAACACTGATGTCTTTGGGATCCTCCCACATGGCAAGGAGATATTTCTACTAAGTTTGCATTTTGTACTTAAGCAGGAACTTTCATACACATTGTAAGCCACCCAGAGTAGTTCTTGATAGCGAGATGAGTGGCATATAAATTGAACAAATAAATAAAATACATTTTGTACAATTCAAAAACAAAGTTAGGTTGAGAAATATTTTGCAAAATAAAGATAAGGCGTAAAATACAGTTCCATGAGCAGAAGACAGACAACTGAAGCTTCCAATGTTCAGTTTGGTAAAAACAGTTTTAGTATGTAAATTCTACCCTATTATTTATTATTATTGCTGTTATTGCATTTATCACATAAATTATATTCAACTGTTCAACTGTTAGTCAGTCAAGAACAACATTAGAAAAGGGGCCGCTTTGAGAAAGGAGACGGCCTTTAATGGCCGTGAAGAAATGACAGCTGATAGACGATAGCGGTGATCTAGCAGGATAGAAACATGAGAGATCCAGTCAAAGTAATCCTGATGTCTCTGTAGGAGCGATCCAGTGAGAGAATTTGCCAGAGGTTTTCTGGAAAGGATGGAAGAACAAGGAGCCCAGAAGAAAAGAGGAGAGGAGTGTCCCTCCTTGCTCTCTCACTAGCAGTGAAAACAAAGTTCGGGCACTGAAGGGTTGCCTGCATTGGTGCAACTACACCAGCTGGAGAACTTCAAACTGACGAGGAGCTTTCTTTGCCTTCCTCCTTCGTTTTCCTCCTTTCTTTCTCTCCTCCCTCCCTTTCTATAAGAGAAATCTAACTTCAAGAGGCAAAGGCATTGTAAAATCTCAGAGTGAAAGTGCGGAAGAAGCCAAGGAAGCAGACACTTTGTTTTGAGACTCTAGGCTGATTACTAGAAATAACAGCAAGAGAGACACCTGCTGGTTGAATTGAGAATAACTCAGGAGGGAAAGTGCAGAGGAAAGAAGGGAAAGAAGATAAGAGGAAACAGCAAACTTGTGACTTAAAACACACTTAGTTTTGGTTGTAAGTATAAACCAGAAAGTAGTGTAAAATCTCTTTTTTTATCTCAAAACCTAAAAAATACTATAAGAAACTATAAGGAAAATATACAACTATTGAACTTTTTGAAATGATGGATTCTTGCTTATAATCAAAAATTGTCTTTGGACTATATTTACTGATAAACTTATTGTAGATATTGATTTTTGTTAAAGATAGGGTTAAGTATATGAATACTTGTATCCAATATATTTAATTAACAAGTTACTATTACATATAAAGCATAACATACTTAGCTTTAATATTGACAATCTAGATACTCTGGAGAGAAATGGAGTAACTGTAAATAAGTGGAGTGGCTGGTTTGAAGAGTTGAGAAAGATGACAAGCATTCCTAATCTCATGAGAGTTGGAACAGGAAAGAAGCAGACAACACATACCTCACCAATGGAACCAAGCCCAGCTAGGCAAAGATCCCTGGAAGAGGTGACACAAAGAGACAGAGCAAACTTATTTAAAGATCTGCAACTAATATTGCAATCAATGCAAGAGGTGATGTGTAAAAATCATGAAGACTTAAAAAAAAAAAGAGATAGGGGAAGTGTGAAACGATACAAGGGAATCTAAGGAAAAGATGAGGTCTATGGATGGGAAATTTGAGTGCTTCCAGCAACAGATCATGAAAACAAACAAAAATTACAGGAAATGGAAGAAAGAATGGGAAAAGAAGAACTGAGAGTAGACGAAATGAATGAGAGATTAGTTCAGGCGAACAGGGAATTAGAATTGACAGTTATTTCCCTGGAAGTAGAGAAGGCTGCCTACTACCTACAGATCCAAAATATTAGAGAGACGAAAGGTGAAGATTTACCAGTAATGGTGACAGATATCCTGGCGAGGGCCCTAGGGACCAGTAAAGAGGAAATGGCCAATGAGATTGATGAGATTTATAGACTCCACACAAACTACGCGAGACGGCACAACCTCCCCAGAGAGGTCCATATCAGATTCATTAAGAAATCTGTCTGAGATGAAATATTATTTAAGACCAGAGACGATCCATTGGAATATCAAGGCAGACAGCTAATTGTGCTTAAGCAAGTACCAAGAAGGGTGAGAGATATGAGAAGACCTTACCAACAAATAACCTCTAAATTGATGAGAAAAAATATTAATTTTAGATGGTTGGTACCGGAAGGGATTATGGTCATGTGGCAGGAAAAGAGGTTTCGGCTGGATACAATAGACAAAGTAGAGGAATTCTATAGACAAAATTTTGGAAGTGAGGAGGAATTAGTTGAAAGACAGGTAAGAGAAGAAGGTGAGATCCTGCCACAGGCCACAGAAGGAAATGAAGTACAAATTAAAGAGAAGGGAACTGGGAGAGGTGATGACATAGAGACTGAAAAGGACAATGGGAAATATGACAAGGATAGACTTAAAGCAATTAAAGAGGTTAGATCAACAAGGATGCCAGTGGAAAGAGAAGTACAAGCTAAAGAGTCTAGACCGACAATAGTAACAAGATCCAAATATAGCTAAAGAGGCAAAAGAAGGAATTGAGATTATATCCCTGAATGTCAATGGTTTTAACTCCCCATTAAAGAGGAAAAAAATCTTAAATAAACTGGGCAAAATGAATTTGGATATAATAATTTTACAAGAAGTACATATTAAAAAACAGCATCAACATTTATTAAATTGCCCCAAGCTGGGAAAAATGTTTGCTGTGCTCTCACAACAAAAAAAAGCAGGAGTAGTAGCATGTATCAATGAGGAAATTCCAACAAAACATATTTATAATGATGAAGATGGTAGAATCTTAATAATAGAAGTAATTTTGAATAAAATAAAAATAGCTCTTGTGGGAATCTATGCTCCCAATGAAGGTCAGAAACAATTCTATAAAAAACTACATAGCATTATTAGTAAGTTTGATTATGATAACATTTGTATAATGGGAGATTTCAATGTGATCAAGGATAGACAATTGGATTATAAAAGTGATAAGACTAGAAAAGGAATTAGACCAACATTACCTAGTACCTTCTCAGAAATGGCGGAGGAATCCAACGTTCAGGATATTTGGAGGGAGAGAAATACAGGGGAAAAGCAGTATACGTATTTTTCGGGGCGACATCTCTCATGGTCCAGGATTGATATGGCGTGGTTGTCAACAAATTTAAATTCGGAAATGGAAGATGTCATAATTGATACAAATTCATGGGCCGACCACAATCCAATTAGAATTAAATGGAGAGGGCAAAAGTAAATAAGGAGGTGGACTCTGAAAAGAGCAATTTTAAATCACAAAGAATTTAAAATGAAATTGGAAGACCAAATGGGCCTATTCTTTCAGATGAATAAAAAGGAAGATACAAATGCCCAAAACTTATGGGATACAGCCAAAGCCTAGATGAGAGGTGTCGCAATTGCTTATATGGCTAGGGAAAATAAAATTAAAATACAGCGTCAAAGAAATCTCGAAGAACTTAATAGGGTTGAGGAAAATCTATAAAACGAATCACAAAGACGTAATCTGAAACAGCAAATAGACTTATTAAACATAAGATAAATATCATTGAAAAGGAAGAACTGGGGCAACAAATAAAACATACCAAACAAATTTTTTTTGAAAACACCAATAAACCAGGTAGATGGTTGGCTTACAGAATAAAGAAACACAACAATAAAAAGAGGATTAGCAAACTATACAATGAAAAAGGAGAAATGGTATATCAGAATGAAAGGAAGAAAATGTTGGCCTATGAGTTTTACAAGAAATTATACAAAGATGTAGAACGGAAGAACAAGGATGATATAGTAAAATTCTTGCAATTAGCTGATCTACCAAAAGTTCCAGAAGAGATTAAAAATATGTTAAACAAAGAGATAACACCTTTGGAACTATTTGAGGCAATTAAAAAACAAAAAAACAATAAAGCCCCAGGTCCGGATGGTTTACCAATAGAAATATACAAAATTATGCAAGAATCTCTAAGTCCAATATTAACAGATCTATTCAATGAGGTTTTGAAGAATGCGAAAATTCCGATCTCATGGGAAGAAGCAACTATTACTTTGATCCCCAAGGACAATTCAGATTTGGCGTACATCAAAAACTATAGACCCATTTCATTATTAAATTCAGACTACAAAATTTTCATGGCCATAATGGCTAAATATCTTGAAAGATTCTTAGTAAAATTCATACGTTCGGATCAAAATGGTTTTCTACCCAAAGATATATAAGAAACAATGTTAGGATCATATTGGACGTATTGGAATATTATGAAATTCACAATGAAAAACAAATGGGACTAATCTTTCTTGATGCATAAAAGGCATTCGATAAGGTGAAATGGGATTTTATGTTTAATCAAATGGAATACATGGATTTCGGGGAGAATTTCATAAACATGTTCAAAGCAATTTATTCCAAACAGGTAGCTAAAGTGATAATCAATGGAGAAACTACTAAAAGCTTCCAAATCCAAAAAGGTACAAGGCAAGGTTGTCTGTTATCTCCACTATTGTTTATATTATCCCTGGAGGCACTAAATAGAATGATTCGGAAAGATGAGCATATTAAAGGTTTAGAGATTAAGAGAGAAATCTTCAAATTGCAAGCCTTTGCTGACGATCTTGTTTTTATAATCGAAGAGCCTTTACAATCAGGGACAAGGCTAATGGAAGTACTGGGTGAATATGGTGAAATGGCAGGCCTAAAGATAAATAAGGAAAAAACCAAAATGCTCGTGAAGAATATGATTAGAACACAGAAAAACGAATTAGCTGATTAGGCATTCAGATCACTAAGAAAATAAGATACTTAGGGATACACTTAACAGCTAGGTGTGTAACAATTAAAAGAGACAATTATGATAAATTAATGGAACAGATTAAAATTGACTTGGATACCTGGACAAATCTCCAGCTCTCTTTCATGGGTAGAATTGCCATAATTAAAATGAACGTACTACCTAAAATATTATTTTTATTTCAATGTAACCAATTAGACTAGAAAAGGAATTCTTTCAAAATTTCAATCAATCCATACTTAAATTCATTCGGCAAGGAAAAATAGCAAGGATTAAATTAAAATTATTACAGGATGCTAAAGAAAGGGACGGGGGGGGGGTTGGCCTCCCTGACCTGGAAAAATACTATCAATCTACAATTCTACTATGGATGTGGGACTGGATGCGACTGGAAAATCAGAGATTATTAAAATTGGAAGGTCATGACATGCAGACTGGATGGCATGCCATGTTATGGGACGAGAAACATAAAGTTCACCAGTACTTCCGGAGGCATTACATCAGACGGGCGTTAATAGATGTTTGAACCAAAATCCGGCAACAGAATTATAGGCAAGTTCCCAATTGGATCTCGACACTAGAAATGTATATACACCCAAGGTTCATTCAGTTGGGGAAAGTAATAACCTATAAAAACTTATTAGATGAGAAAGGAGAATTAAAATCGAGGAAAAATCTTCAGGATGCAGGGATAGAATTAGAATGGTGGGCATATCTCCAACTACAAGCAAAATATAGGAAAGACAAAAAAGAGTGGGGTATGAAAATAGAACCCACAGAACTAGATAAAATATTATTAGGTCCCGAGGATAAAATGATTAAAAAATATATCACTTTCTCTTAAACTAGGCAATGTATGGAGAACAGGTCAAGGAGACTATGCTAATTTGGAGTAGAGATTTTGGTTTCAGTATCGACCTGCATATTTGGCAAGAACTGTGGGAAAGAAATAGGAAACTCACTCTAGCTACCTCATATAAGGAAAGTCTTTACAAGATGTTCTATAGATGGCACTTCCCACCTGTAAGGTTAGCCAAAATACGTTCAGATATCTCACCCTTATGCTGGAAATGTAAATCAGCAATAGGATCATATTACCATATGTGGTGGGAATGTCCAAAGGCTCGTGAGTATTGGAACAGGACACGAAGTTGGTTGAAAGATATATTAATATTGGACTTAAGAGTTAAAACCTGAACTCTTCTTGTTGGGAATAACTACAGAGAAATACAATAAGGGAACAATCTACTTGCTGTTACACATCTTGACTGCAGCTAGGCTTGCATTTGCGCAAAAATGGAAGAGCAAAGAAATTCCTACAGAGGAAGAGCTACTATATAAAATATTAGCATGTGCGGAAATGGACAGGCTCACAATGGTATTGAAAGACAAATGTGGATCAGTTTATTTCGAAACCTGGGCTAAATTTTACCGCTGGAGGGATTTGAGGACAGTTGGGATTAAAGACTAGTGTTAAGATAGAAATATGTTATTTTAGAATAAGTACTGTATATAAAATTTAGATGTATATCTAGAGATGAAGAATCGATTGTAAAATGTGGAATATTTTGATAAGAATATATATACTGGAATGTCACATTATATCCAATGTTTTTTAATAAAATTTTGTAAAAAAAATATATTAAAAAAGAAAAAGGGCTGCTTCACCACAACCCCCTTCCCCTACAACTAGCATTGCTTACCATTAGCATGCAAAAATCAGGGAGATGCCCAGTCATGCCAAAGACTGTAGTCTTCAAGTACTTCTCATGCCCAGCCAGATCAATGAAGGTTATGACTTTTGTTGATTTCTCACAAATCTTGGTCCACTCCAAACTCCCACCGTGGCTGTCAGGCTTGTTCACAACATTGCCTTCGCTGTCGAAGCCCAAAATGTCATTGCCCACACTGCTGGTACGGCCTGACTCAATCTCATGCTTGTGGCGAAAAAGTTTTTGCCGAGCAAAACCACGTCCATTGTCCAGTTCGCCATGGGTAAGAACACCCAGCAAAGTGCTCTTCCCAGCATCCACATTGCCAACCACCGCTACCCTACAGGAAGGCAAAAGAAAGTGATAAATTTCTTCGACTTCAATGCAACAATTGGAATCAATTTCCTCCTGTCACTATAAAATGAAAATCAGCAGCATATTCAAAATGTTGAAATAAATATTTTAAGAGCCACTTCATACGGTTCCAATCACCAGTTTCTAGATCATATAAAACATAAACAACTAAGACTAAGAAAAAAGGAGGGAAAAGTCCCCAGTGCCGTAGTTAGAACATTGAAATCTCACAAGGATGTGCACAATGACATAATTAGTACAAAACTATTTCCCAAATACCAGTGTCTTCAATCAAACCTAAATCCAACACAATGAAAATGTCCTAGGGTTACAATTTCTGTCTTACAACTCTTCAGAGCTAGCACAACTGCTAAAAAACCACCATGTATAATGCTATAAGTAACATATGGTCTGCAGCATACCAAACTATATAATGAGATACTGAAATTGATCATTCAGTAGCAGTTATTACATTTACATCTTGCTTTTTCTCATCAGAGTATTCCTCTAATTTTATCCATCAGCAACAGTGAGGTAGATTGAGATTAGCTGGAGTGATATAACAAACAAGTCACCAAGTTACTTTCTTGAATCGCTGACCCAATTTCTGTATCTTAATGCCTAACTCTGCTATTGCTGAAAGTGGATATGAGGAGAGATGGGGAAGGAGAAAATTTGAATCAGAGCTTGATTCAAAAATTTATAAATTTGAAAAAAAAAGATAGCCAACAAACTTCAAGAACTTGAATATATCCATCAGACCTGGAACTAAGTTCAAAGCAGGAAACTGTGAATTCAGAAAAGCATATTCCCTTTTGGAAATTAGATATTCCTGCATGACCCTTCTCAATCTGAGTCTTCCTGCTAGCAATGTTGGACTACAATTCTCATTATTAATTAGGCCTTCTGGAAGTTATACAGGTAGTCCTCAACTTACAACCACAATTGAGCCCAAAATTTCTATTGCAAAGCAGGACAGTTACTAAGTGAATTTTGCTCCATGTAACAACCTTTGTTGCCATAGTTGTTAAGTAACTCCAGGACTTTTTTTCTCATAGAACGCCCAGAACGAAATTCCGGCACCTTTTTTGGATGGAACCTTGTAGGATAGGCAAGGCAGGTTGTATGACATGTGTGAGTTCTGGCACCTTTTTTTTTTTAAAGGAAAAAAGCACTAAGTAAATCACTGCAGTTGTTAAGTTAGTAACATGGTTGTTAAATGAATCTGGCTTCCCCATTGACTTTGCTTGTCAAAAGGTCACAAAAGGTGATCACATAACCCTGGGATGCTGCAAGAGGAGCAAAATGGTCATAAGTCACTTTTTTCAGGGCCATTATAACTTCAAACAGTCATTAAACAAATGGTTGTAAGCTGCGGACTATTTGTAATACAACACATCCTAAAGGCTATAGGATAAAAGAGACTGCTCTCACAATGTAGGAAACACAAGGGATTTTTATTATTAGGACATTTTCCTTTCACAGATACTGAATCACTAACATCATGGCCAAATCCTTAAACAAGCTGGACTGTTTTCTTTCTTGACTGCCTATTACACAATGTGAACATACTGTATAAGTACATATTCCAGAGTCCCTACTGTATATAACTGGCACATGGCATGTTAGTCCTGTACCTATCTACAAATTTTTTACATTGACAATCATAATGGCAACCTGAGTGAACCACATCACTTACAGATGCCCTGCAGATCTTAAGAACATCTCAAAAATGCTGTCCTGACCCTTCAATTAGCTATAAGTTTTTAAAAGGATGGATTCAATGCAGTGTTATACTCATCAAGGAAACAGCTCATTGAATGATTTGCACAGAGCTAGTATAGTCAACCTTTGCTAACCTTAAGAACTAAATGGGTCATACTTATTTAGTACTTGGTTGAGAGATCATCACAGGAGTCCGGAACTGTGGTGAGAAGACTATAGCAGCCCAAAATGAAAGCAGTAGTGACCCACTTCTATACTGTGACCAAGTAAACAACTTGCACATATTCATGAAGTCTCTAGAAATCAATCTGAATTTATAACTTTGCTTTTTAATGTGTACATCAACATTATATGTTTTAAAGATACTCCATTAACCATATACATTTTAGAGGCAAAGGATGAAAGAGATTGTATAAATAGCATTTGCCAATGAATTGGAAATTAGAATGGAGTTGGAAGAAATTCTTAAGTATATTCCAAGTTCCTACTATATTTCCATAAAGCTAATAAGAATGGCATAAGTTTTTCATCTTGATACTCACCAAGTACTATTAAACAAAACTGGAAAAATATTTCCAGTTCTTAAGCGTCAGGATCAAATTTCAAGAGCTGCTATGTGCCAACTGAGTAAAGATAAGAAAAAGGTGAACAACTTAAGACACCAGTATCAACTTTTAATCTGAAAATCCAGATTCATGGAATGCTTCCAAATGTGTTTAAACTCTCATCATGAGCATATTTTCATGATCTGGTTCATACATAATACTGGTTTGTTGAGTGGCTGAGCTCACCAGAACACTATATCCAAACCAAATAAACTACATTTTAGTTTAATATGCTGTGTCTATCCACGGTAAAAAATAATTCCTGTCCCAGAGCATAAATATATAAGACAGTTTAAGACAGATTAACTTAGTTGAAAAATCTATAAAGAAAGTAAATGTTTGCCTTTTGTTGGATATGAAAAATACAACTTGCAATGTTCTAATGATAATAACAAGGAAATTGCCATCCAGACACTTCTTTATAAGAATATATACTCTTAGTCCCAACCATAAGTTCTATGCATAGCGTGAAGGAGAGAAAAAATTAATGACACCAAGTTACTTCCATAGTCAAACCAGAGTTACCAGCTTTCTGCCATTACTAGTACAAGCTGTAGCAGCAGATATCGTGTTGACTAAGAAAGCCTCCATATCTCTTCTTACCTGACCTCTAGGAAATCGTTGTCACCCACACGTTTCCGTACCAAATAATCACGCACTTTGCCTCCTGCTTCTTGGTGCTCTCGCAAGAGAATTACATCAGCATCTATTTGTTCTGCCATGCTCTTCACTGTGGCATAGGAAGCTTCCATGTCTCCATCACTAAGCCCATAGTCAGTCCCATCTAATAAAGCATTAGGAAGGAAGGAGAAAAGGTTACATGAACTTATTGTAACAGATTTAGTTTGCCCCTCCTGTTTTAATAGATTAGCCAAGGGAATTCTATTATTTAAAAAAAAGATTATATACTTAAAGGGCATTGATTAAAACAGGCAAGATGATGGTAGAAGAATAAAAAATCAAATTTTATTCCAAATGCTTATAGAGTCACTTGACAGTAAGGTGCATGGTATATAAATTTAATAAATAAAAGCATATAAAAACAATCTGTAGGACATGGAGGTACGTGACCTGGGAGGGGTAAGTACATATTTCACTGATATAACCTCCCATTCTTTCCTTTTTCATTCATTTTTTCTACCAGCAGAATACTAATCCACCCAAACACACATAGTTGCATTTCTATGCAGCCCTTGTTTATCTGATGTATCAGAGGGAAAAGGAGTTTAGAGGCCACATGCAATCCTAAAATTACAGATCACACCCTCCAATTGGGCAAGAAATACCTCTGTATTACAGGTAGTCCTTGACTTACAACCATTCATTTAGTGACAGTTTGAAGTTATGTCACTGAAAAAAGTGACTTATTTTTCACACTAATGACCGTTGCAGCATCCCCATGGTCACATGATCAAAATTCAGATGCTTAGCAACTGATTCATATTTATGATGGTTACAGTGTCCTGGAGTCAGTGGGTTCATCTTTTGTGACCTCCTGACAAGCAAAGTCAATGAGGAAGCCAGATTCACTTAATTATGTTACTAATTTAACTGCAGTGATTCACTTAAAATTGTGGCAAGAAAGGTCATAAAATGGGGTAAAACTCACTTAACTTGAATTCACTTGGCAACAGAAATTTTTGGCTCAATTGTGGTCGTAAATTGAGGAGTCCCTGTATTGTTTTCATTTTATACGGATATTCTGAACATCCTTTATCAAAAAGCAGCACATTATTTCTATACATACACTGTTCATAAAGGATAGTATTCCAGTTTTGTTCAGGGAGAAAATATGAACATTGATGATTGATTTGTAACTAATAATTAGTTGGCACTGACAACTGAAAATGGTGCTTGTTTTTATGGTGTGGTTTAGCACTAGCTAGATGGGAAGATGAGAAAGTCATCTTGTTCTATTAGAGAAGAAGATACTTATTATATATTAGCCTTTCTTTTTCCCAAGCATAATCAATTGAGCTACTTCTGCAAAATCACTGCTATTTCTTTAAAGCTCACATAAAGTACTTACCTGACCCTTGACCAATAACATAGATGGTCTCTCCACATCCTTCATCCATCCTCTCCCACATCTGTCGGAGTAAACTATCATACTGTTCGGATGTTGGGCTCACCATTACTAGCTAAACAGAGAGAGTGGGCATTTGCTTTTTATTAACTATGTCAAGAACAAGTTATTTCTCCTAACATATTGTTTTACTCAATTACAATTCAGTGAACAAATACATCAAACAATACAGTTAAAACAATATTCAAACAATATATCACAAGTTTCTGTTAAACTCTTCCTAAGTCTCTTTGATGAATGCCCCTTAAAATAATTATTCATTTGAATGGTATTGCTTTCAGACAGAAGGAAATAAATGAAGAAAAAGAATGATAAAATAAAAATACCCAGTTATACTACTTAATGAGGAAATATTAAAATGATTATTTTAATATCTGAAATTGACTTCATTTTCATATACTGTATTTACATTATGAGGAATAAAGTTTAAGTCTGCTGCTTCTGATATGGTATAATAATATATCCAATATTTTATCATATTTCACAGTATACATAACCATTCCAACATTTTAACAATAGTTTCTATTTACCTAGATGTGCAAAGTTCACTACAGCATAGCAACAGAAGTCTGATCTGTCAGTATATTATTAGATTACACAAATAGTGAAAATTGCTCAGATTCCATCTCTCTCCAATCCATTACATAACCCTGCCCAGCAAATTAATAAACATTGAGGTGCTAGAACCAATTCTTTGATTAGAAAAATGCAATATTAAAATAGATACCCAAATGTCTATAGACCTAACTATACCTCAACTTTAAAACAAGGAGTGAACATATTAGAAAATATTTAAACAAGGTTACAATTCTAAAGTTGTTTGCAGAAGAGTCCCACATTTTCCTTATTTATGGGAAAACTCATTCAGGAGTACCATACATGTATTAACTTTCTGAATCAAGACACGTGCCACGGGTGAATGCCACGTACTCCGACTCAGATCCCGCGAAGCACTCTTTATTACACCCTCGTAAGTATTTTCTTTCAGAGACACGCGTCTCACAGTTATTATTCGTGACAAGGGTAGAAGAAGCCAACCTTTTATTATCTCCAAGCAAATTCACCTACAATATATTAGTGAAGCGACGCCGAATGAAGTTCCCGAAAAGACTATCAGAACAAGGACCGACCCGGTGTTAATGGTAAGAGAGGGAACCGCTCAAATAAACGACTGAGACGGCCAAAGGAGCGAGACCCGGAGTAGTCACAGCCGACCTCATCTCCTCCGGCCGTCTCAGCTTTCCTCCACAGCTTTCCAGGCCTACCTTGCTGGTAAGATCGAGCTCCGGCTCTCCATTGAGCAGCTCGCCGTCCTCGCTGCAGTCAACTTCTGGGACGCCGCCGTGAGGCCCGGAGAAAGCCGCCACTGTCCCACCGTGAGCCACGGGCTCTGGGGCGAACATCGAGGCCGGCACTGGCGAGCCCCCCACCGGAGAGCGACTCCTTTCCGTCGCCATCTTGGCAGTGCCAGCCTCCTTCCCCGGCCTCATTAGTATAAACGCCGCCCACTCGCGCGAAAATTACTTTCAAGAAGCCAGCAGGGCTTCTCTTAGCGTCCACCCAAACAGGTGGTTCAGTCATTTTAGTTCTTCGCCCACCAATCAGGGAGTAGAGCCGTCAATAATCTTTACTGTATTGCTATGACGACCGCGTTAGAATCGATTAATATGTATGAGCCACGCCTCTTTCGAATATTTTCTTTCCGCTTCTTTTCAGGCTGGAAGGAGACAGCAAGCGGGCGGCGGCGGTCTTGGTTTGGTTTATGAATGTCGCCTAGAAACTCGAGAAAAGCACATTGCTAAGCGTGTCCCCCTTGGCGGCTGGGACAAACATAGAGGCTTCCCAATCCTGTTTTTAAAGGATTTAATTTAAAGAAACTGGAAGAGGCCGAGCCTTCACCAATCATTGCCCGTAGCTTAGACCGAGCCAGTTAGAGGAGAGAAGGGTCGATAAGAAAGCTACCTGTCTTAGCGAAAGCCAATACACTTGGAAACCCTTCTACAGTACTGTGTGGTTAAATGGGATTTCTCCTCCTCTGTTTACCAGTTGTTTCGTCCGGGATAGTGTCTGTCAAAAATCGGGGATGGAGGCTCCCTGTCCAGAGATACTCTTATCCTACCAGTAGCAACAGAGGTTTCTCGTAACTTTTAACTCTGGCAGAAAAAAAAAAATCTCTATTGTACGATACATGCCTTTGTTTTGCAGCCTCGTTGATTTGGTAGAGATGCCGTTGGGATCTATCTGAATTTGGAAGTGAAATGTTTATCCATAGAAGTAAGTAATCCTATAATCTCAAGATCTCTTGTTAGCCAAAGTGCGTGGCAAATGTTTTTGTGCAAATGCAGCCCTAGAGACTATGTTCCATTGTGAAGCCTGTTGTCTGTTATCTGCTCCAAATTGATATGTTTATGTAATGAAGCAGGGATCCATGACTTGACAACCCAGAATCAGATGATGGTATCATTTGGTGATTCCCCTCCCCATACTGTATACAAGAACAGATGTTTCTTGGTAATGGGAAGACTGCTGCAAGGATTTTCCACCGCACCAGTTCTCAGAAAACAAAAACAGGAAACATCTAATTTAGTAGTTATATCTGAAACATGTTTCATAGTTTAGGTTTACCATTTTTTCCCCTGCCAGCGTTAGGGTTAGTGAAGGTTGTGGGATCTTCATCTCTGGAGATTTTTAAGAGGATGAGTAGCCACTTCTTGAGGAGAACTAATAAACTTCACTGTGGTTCAGAATATAAAAAATTGTGTAATTCTTTTTCAAGTTCCTTTTATTACTAAAGTCAAATATGTAGAAAAATGTATGACATATCAATATTTTGCACTCAACTACAGTCAGCATTTTTGTTTTCAGTTCCCATTTTTTAAAAATCAACACTTTCATATGGAAGAAAGTACAGTAAATCCACACAATATTTTCTGAAGCAGAATATAATGTCATGTTTATGAAATGTATTATATATGGGTAGATAATGGAAAAACAAACTTTTAGTCAAGTGATGAATCCGAAATTACTTTGGAGTTCCCAGTTTTTTAACAGAAAATGAGCAGTAAGATCTGATAAGAATGGCATGAGATATAGGATCTTTTCAGCACTTGGATAAACATTGACTATCTTTATTCCCAAAGTAATTTTGGATGTATGTTGATAGAAATCTTTGTTCTGATGTCAGGCAGCAAGATCCCGTCATAATTGTGATACACTGGCCCTTTCTCCAATAGCCATTTTATAGTAGCACCATAATGCCCTGTCAACCTCTTGGTTCCTCCTTGATCAGAAAAGGCTAGACTCATTTTATTACAACTTCTTTATTTTAATAACATTCAATAGTTATTTTTTATATGGCATACAAGTGATTTTTCCCTTAAAAACCTGATTTTGCCCTGTCACAGCTTGGGAGCTCCATTGTTTTATTCCTGAAAGAAGGGGTAAATTTTGCAGTTGTGTACTTGCTCAGTTTCAAAATGGCATTAGGTGAGATGCAACATCCCTGCTTTTTGTTATGTGTTTGTTTGTTTTATTTATATTCCACCTTTTTTTTAGGATCTCAAAGTGGTATATATCATCCTCTCCCCTTGCTGCACAACAATATTGTGAGGTAGGTCAGGCTGAGAGGAAAACTCAACTCAAAATTACAGTGAGCTTCTATGGTTCTGGGTGGTTCTCCCCATGACAGTCCACTCCTTAATCACTATACTAACTTGCTTTGTATGTTATAGATTATAGAACACTAAAATGAGGACTAATGAGCCTGTGTTATTTATAATTATGTATTATTTATCAGTTTCAGCCAGTCCCTCACCTACTTAATCATTAAGAGTCAAAGGGCTTTCTGGGTATTTGTTTCATCCAGATTTATAGATGTCTCCTTGCAGTTACCTAGTTATCTGTCCAAATATGAATCTAGCACTATTCAGTTAATTAAAATAGAGATACATACACTTTTAGAATAAGTCACTTTCCCATTGTGCTTACTGTCAAGTTATTTTTTATTTTGTAAGAGGTTCAAATGGTGCATGGGATGGTCAAGCAAACTGATCTAGAAGCCAGATGCTGCAGAACTGTGCAGTTGCCACACCCAATACTTTCCTAGTGCAGTTCTCCCATTGTGGATGACTGATGGTACTTTGAAGGGAAATGATAGAAATCCAGAGAAAACCAATCCTGCCTTTATAATGAGGTACTCCCAAATCTGGACAATACAGTTGGGCAGGGAATTGTAAAAGGCAACAAAGAGACTGATAGAGTAGAAGGTGTAGTAGCCACCCATTCTTATAATGGAAATATTTTATGGTAACGAGGAAGGCGGATGATGCTTTAAATTAATAGCTACACACATGAGGACGTTGCTCATTAAAGATAAAGGAATTCCAGTACATGAGGAGACGATCAGATTAAAAACAGAGTGGTGTGTACATGCATAATCTTTTATGGAGCTCAGGAAGGACTAATTCCCATTTTTATCTTCATTCTAGCCACGCTCTGAAACGAGCCCATAAAGGAATATCATAATCCAAACGGAATTCCTGATATAGCAGACTCTGTCTACATGAAATGCAGATTGGTGGCCTGAGTCCTCCAATAGCCTGCGATAGGCAGAATTCAATTTACACAGACCACCGTCCAGCGACGAACAGCGGCCACCCTCCAGCAGGCAGATGGAAACTGGACGGTCTCTGACATCAGGAGCCCTGACGCTCGCGACGTAAGGCTGCGGTGGGGCCGAGCGAGCGTTGGCGCGACGGGCTAGGACTTCGTGCAGGGCTGCGCATGCGCCGCCTGGTAGTGGCTGTTGGTCCAAGAAGGCTGGGGCTGCTACCTAGAAGGTGAGTAGAGCCTCGGGACGATCGGACTAAGCTCGCGAAAGAGGGCCGTTCCCGTTCCCTTCCGGCGGGGAGCCTGGTTCTTGGGTTTGGAAGAAGGCGGGTAAATCTCTGGGGTTGTTTGGGTAGGGGAATTCTGTCCCCAGCGTCCCCCGGTCGGTCGCCGTCCTCGCGGGTAGTGGGGGGTCTCGATTAGGTCCAAGCATGGCAGGCATCTAGCTCCACCGCCGCCGCCGCCCTTATTTTCCTCTGGAAGGAGGGACTTTCCTGAGCTTTGGTTTGCCCACCTTGAGAAAGCGAGGGGCGCTTTGAAGGGCCTGCTGGCTTTACCACTGCGGTCTGGAGAGGACAAGCCAGAATTGCTGGGATTGTAAACACCCAGTCCCCTCCGCGGCTACGCACGCTTGAACCACACGTAGGCTCTGGAGGCTTTTTCTTCTGACAGCGCGTGACAGCTTGTCGTGGTAAAGGATCCAAAAGTGTTGGTTGATTGAGAGCTTTCAGAGGGTGGTTCTTGGCTAGAAAAACGCAGGCCTTGAATCTTTGTGTGTTAGTTCGGGAGTATTTCTGGCTTGAGAAGCCTATTGGGAGCTGTTTAAAAATTGATGCTCCTTGCCAGCGCGCTACAATAATGAGCAAAATCCTATGCCTAATTGAATATTTTCTTTCTCCATCAGGAATACAAGGACAGGCAAGGAATCTTTGCTTATCAAAGGTGGATCAGTTGCTTTTTATTTTCCTCCTATCTTGGGAGAAGTAGCATCTTCCTTGCCTTTTGATTTCTGTGTTTTGGAGGCCTTTTAACTCTTTCCAGAATGCAGAGATGCACTTGATACTTTCCTTGGGGGCCTGGTGTTGTTTATGAACAGTAATAAAAGCCTGGGCTTGCTTGATTTCAGACTGTCTCTTCCTATATTGGGGAAAGAGGTGGGCCGTGGATCTTGGCTTTACAGTCATCATTAACCAAAAGAAATGGAGGAGAAGGAGCGATGTGATCAATTCAGTCTGACACTCCTATGCTAAATTATCTCAAACAATTTTTCAAGGGAAAAATCAGAGGAGAAGAGAACAATATACTAAAAGCAATTTCTTCAAGTTAAAGAAGCAAGTAGGAGAATGGTAGAAGAATGGTTCAAATTTTGAAGTTGCTTTTGCAGCTATCAAATAAAGACAACAATTGAAATCAACTGCCGGTCTATTATTTTGCTCAAGTTGTCTATAAAGAAAAGGGCAGTTCGCTCTTTGTTTCTTTTGTACAAAAAGAACCTTCAGAAACATTATCTCCAATCTTCACATCAACACCACTTTAAAAAAATGAGTTGCGTACCATGGAAAGGTGACAAAACAAAATCGGAATCGCCAGAAACGCCACAGGTGATGCCAGTGCACATTTATCATGAAAAACAACGCAGAGAGTTATGTGCCCTCCATGCTCTCAATAATGTCTTCCAGGACAGCAATGCCTTTACACGAGACACATTACAGGACATTTTCCAGAGGTAGGAAAAATGGTTTTGTCATATTACTGTGACTAGAGCTTTTGAAAGTCTAGATTTTATAGTGATTTTCTGATGTTTTATTATTAAGCTCTTCTACTATTCAGTTCACTTTGATCTTTGTAAATAAGTCTACCTGCCTGTCTTAACTTCAGACAAAGAAGTAAAATCCAGTTAGGATACATTACACATTTTTAATATAAAGAATGTAATGAATGAGTCAATAGTTAGGTAAGATTTTCTGTTACAGGGAATCGATACCAGTTCATGATATAAAATTCACCTCTAACTATTAAGCATTTGGTGGCCCATAGTCCATTAAGCTTCTGCTGGCAAAGTTAATCAGCAGGTCTGCATGTGTTCCTGCCTTTCCTGTCCCATTTTGACTGCAAGGGTTCCTGTCAAGTGCCTAAGACATCTGTCTTTGTGATTTATACATGAAATAAAAGCTATGAAAAAGCAATTGTCAGTTTAATATCTATATGCTACTAAAACTCTCTTTATGATCTTTAATTGGGTGAAACTGTGCATAATAGAGCAACAGTTTTTAAATGAAGATAACTCAAATGGGCTAACTTACAGAATATGTCCAGAATCTACAACTTGTGACTCCCAAGGAATGAAATTTGGGGAAGTTGTAGTTGCTTCAGTGCTACTGGCTGCCGCTGCACTGCTGAGCTACTGCTGCAGTCACATGTTCTTCATTTTCAATGTTCTGTGATAGTTTCCCAACCAATCTCACAATCCCCTACTCCCTCCCCCACCCAGCAGCAGCCACTACTGAAAAGGGAAGGGGAAAGAAGAGAGAAAGGAAGATCTCTGATGCTCCTTCCCACAAGAAAACTTAATAGGAGAGCCATCAGGAAGTCAGAAGTCAGTTCTGTTCCCACTGTTTTGCCCACCCTTGTTCATTCTGTTTCTCCGTTTAGGTAAGAAAATATCTCTGAAACAATGACCCAGTGGGAGGCAAATTGTCTAGTTTTTTAAAGGTTGGCTTTAACTGCTAGCATTTTTCTACACAGTAGCTATGACACTGTCACAATTCATCTCTAAAAGGAGCCAGTGATATGTCTATTTTTATATAAGTAACCTAGAAATCATCTTGATGCATGTTAAAATATAGTACCATTGATGTCTTTTTTTTTGAATAGACAAGTCTTTGAGATATTAGTCCAATCCCTTACCTTCCTTAAAGAATTAGAAAGATAGAGAGACTATCTGCTGTCACTCAAGTGCCATTCCTGTCTCTAGGATAAATTGACACTTCCTATGGGACCCATTGAAATACTTACGTGTTAAAACATCTGATTTGCATACAAAACAGTCCAGATTCTTGCAATTACTAGGTAATGCTGAGGAGAACTTCAGATATCCATCTGAATTTCTGCCAGTCAATACTGAACTAGATGAACCATTGGTTGGATAACGCTACTCTCCACATTTTACATTTGATACCAATCTCTAAAGCACTAATAAATAATTTCTGTCCAAAATTGTAATTGCAGATTGGCTTGAGTTGAACAGTTGTGCTCCCAGCTATTTACAAACTTCATTTTTCAAACATTGCTTTATGGCTAGATTTCTTTGTACATTTATAAGAAATAATGTAAATGCATAAAATTATACTTTATATTTTGAAATATGGTAAGTCATTAAAATGAAAACTATAATGCATTTGATTCAATAACTCCTTTCAGTGTTTATATAATGAAGTTTTACCTTATCTGGGCTTTACAAGATTCATTAATAAACAATGCATTAAAAGTTAATTCTTGTGACTTAGTGAATTTTGAATGATAAACTTGGTGAAGTTTATCACTGGTGTGAGTGGGATGGGCTTGTCCCATCAGGGAGAGACAACTTCTCAGATACCCTAGACCCATGCCATGTAGGGCTTTAAAAATAACAGTATCTTGAATTCCATCCAGAAGCAAACTGGTTATAATACAGTTCACACAATAAAGGAGTTACATATGCAGGCCTATTATGCTGCTGCATTCCGGATCAGCTGCAACCTCCAAATATTCTTCAAGGGTAGCCCCATGTAAAGGGTGTTGCAGTTATTTAACAGAGATATGACTAGGACATGAGGGACCATGTGCACAACCTCACAGTCCAGATAAGTGCACAACTGATACACAACATGAAGTTGAGCAAAGGCCCTCCTAGCCATGATTGCCACCTACTCTTTGAGCAAAAGTTGTGAGTCCAGGAGGATGCCCAAGTTGCACACCGGATCTGTCTGGGGAATGCAACCCCATCCATAATTATGATAAACAATTTTATGATCTTTTTTGCCACAATTGCTAAGTGAATCTGGCTTCCCCATTGACTTTTAGATCATGCCTCCAAAGGTTGGGATTTTCTTTTTTTCCTAAAATGTTTTTAAAAGTGTTGTATGCTAAAGTCTTTGTTACAATCATGATATTTATTTAACATTAAGTTTATATTCTTGTTTTAAAACAATTTGCAATCTTGTGTTGCAGGTTTTGTAATATTTTCTGTGTGCTAGCAGTATTTTTTCAAGAAATACTTGAAAATAGGAAAATTACAGACTTATTAATTCATACATGGCAAGAATTTGGAGAGAACAATGCAAAGGTTTGCTCTGCAAGTGCATATTTAAAATGTACTGGCAATTTTTAATAGGAACCTTTATTCAACCTAGCTATCTAAGTACCTCTTTCATATGATTTGGGATAGCAAGATCTTTGTTTCAAGCACTGATACTCTGCAAGGTAATGTCTAGAAGGGTCTTCCCTAATTTTGTCTTTACAGGAAAAAACTTTGTGTAACTTGGTCTATGTTTGTGTAACTGGCTTAAAGTAATCTAGTGAACTGTGTGGTCAAATGGGAACTTGAACTGAGTCTCCACATGATGGCATATTGAGAACTGGAGAGAAATCTGCTTTCTAACTAGCTAATCATTCCTCCATTATCAGTTGAGAAAACTCTTCACATATGAGTCATTAGGATATGGAGAAAGTTTCTACCTTAGGAAATAAATTCTACAGGAGGAAAGCAAACCAGTTGTTGAAGTTTTTGTAACCTTATTCTGCCTTCTTTCAATAAATCTATGTAAAGATTTTTATTGGAAGAATCATGCTTTCTGTGAGATGAGACAGCCAAGAGCTTGACAAGCAAGTACATTAATTATAGTACATTGTCTCACTGTTTCTGTTTATTTATTTGTATTATTTGTTTCATGACTAGGCTATCTCCCAATACCATGGTGACACCACACAAGAAAAGTATGCTGGGGAATGGGAACTATGATGTGAATGTCATCATGGCAGCTCTTCAGACCAAAGGTTATGAAGCAGTTTGGTGGGATAAGCGCAGGTAAACTAATCCAGAGTACAAATTTATTGCCATTAAAAGGAAGAATTTATTTTTTCTTTGATTTAAAAGGAAGAATTTATTTTTTCCTTCCTCTTTCCTTGTTCAGGGATGTTAACGTGATTGCCCTTTCCAATGTCATGGGTTTCATAATAAATCTGCCGTCAAGCCTCTGCTGGGGACCACTGAAACTTCCTCTTAAAAGGCAACATTGGATCTGTGTCCGGGAAGTGGGAGGAACCTACTATAACCTTGACTCCAAACTAAAGGTTCCTGAATGGATTGGTGGTGAAAGTGAGCTCAGGTAGATTGTTTTTGTTAATCTTTGACCTGAGTGCTATCATCTGCATACACTGTGAATTTATCATCTGAATAACATTGTTTGGCTTCAGGCAGTGAAATCTCTGTTCCTTCTCCCCATTAACTCTTCCAAATTAATCAAATGTTCCAACAAAGATAAATGAAATTGTCTCATTTTGGATTCTATTCTTATAGATGTCAAGATAATAAAATAGTTACATTTTTATGTAACTATTTTCACTGCTTATGGCAGATAAAAGTTTTGAACTGAGATACTCAGCTGTTAGGAAATAGTATCAGTTGCTGAATTCAGTAGATTACATTTGAATTAAAATTTGTACAACTCACTGAGCCGAGGTGGCGCAGCAGTTAGAGTGCAGTACTGCAGGCCACTTTAGCTGACTGTGTTCAACAGGTCAGCGGTTCAAATCTCACCGGCTCAAGGTTGACTCAGCCTTCCATCCTTCCGAGGTAGGTAAACTGAGGACCCAGATTGTTGGGGGCAATGTAAATATATACATACATTGCTTACTGGTGTACACCGCTTAGAGAGTGCTTGCACTTAAAGCGGTATATAAGTCTCATAAATAAATAAATAAATAAATAAACTACCTAATGCCAAGATCAAGCCACTAGCAGCAGTTAGATTTTAGACAAGTTAGCATACTAGTTGATTTAGCCTTCAGCAAATTCAAACCACAGCTTTGCTATTTTTGATGTATTTAAAATAGTTTGTTCTCAGGAATATGGAAGGAAATGGCCCATCTGAAAGCATTTGTTTCAAGTAGCAGCTGAATCCAATAAAGTTCCAACAGCAGTGCATGAAGAGCATGCACTGTTCTTCATGCACAAATCAAAGAAGAGAAATCAAAGAAATAGACTTCTTTGATTATTAGTTTATGACTTCTCCCAATAGCATAGGCAATGTGTATTTTTACAGTGACATTTTATAAAGCTCAACAGAGTAACATAACTTTTATGCTTAATGTCTATGAAGATTCTGTCATTCAGGTCATAGTTATCCCAAAGGTGCTTTTTCACAAGGCAACTGGACTTTCTTGTACAAGAAAGTCCAGTTGCCTTGTGAAAAAGCACCTTTGGGATAGCTTTTATGCTTGGTTACCCATAAACTCAATGGTATAAGCAAGCTATTTTTGAGGTAAAATGCACACTGCTGTATTTGATACTGCCAGAAAAAAGCACAATACCATATATCATATTGCAACTCTTGAATTCTTATTCACTATAGAAATTTAAGAACAGCATGAACTTATCAATTGGCAGCAGTCCTATTCTTGTATTTAAAATGATTCTCAATCTCTGAATATATCTTAATGATCTCTTCCATTACCACTTTATTCCATTAACTAGCTCCAGTATATCCAGCAAAAATGTTATCTATGCCTCATTTCATTGATTACTATACTTTCTTCAAGTCTCCATAGCTAGAGAACGTAATAAAAGAGCAACAGGTAGGAGAGTGGAACTTTTCAGAATAGTTTGCATATTCCTAACACTCAGCTGTTTACAAAAATTCCAAAATATACTCAACTTCATTTATGCCTTTTTGTGCTTTCTTTTTATTTCCACAGGAAGTTTTTAAGAAACCAGCTGCAAGGAAAGAACTGTGAACTTCTGCTGGTAGTACCTGAGGAGGTAGAAGTACATCAAAGTTGGAGAGTTGATGCATGACCTGCAAAATATCTTATCTTTGCACTACAGTACTGGTCCTTCTCCCTTCCAACTTCTAATGTCCTGTGATGTGGATAATGAGCACTATTCTCTCCCCAGGAACTTTCCATTATGAAGGTGCAATAAGGCAGTCACAAGGTACTGTCAGGGCCAAATCAGATTATTGAAGCTGGATTTAGGGAAAGAGATGGAAGCCAGTTTTGCATTCTTTCATTATAATGCATAATGAATTAGGAAAGCGGTATTGGAATCCTCTCCATTAAATTCTGATTAGCTTTCTTACCCATCATCCTAAAATACTTTATATTGAATTGTACACTACTGTCTGTATTAGGATGGTTTGTCTCTCCTTCAGGGGAAGTTTGAGGCCAGGCATGTTCCCTTCATATCTACAACTCCCTTCTCTACCAAACTTATGTTGAAGAAATTTGCAAACGGTATGGGTCTCTCAGGAAATTTTAGATACTCTTAGCAATGGTCTGGTGCTTGTGGATTCCCTTTTTAAATAGTAATTGTGCCAAGAATTAGAGGACATATTGACAAAATGGGACCATAATTCTGGAACTCCTATTGGAGTTTGGGGTTTTTCTTTGTCATACTTGACATTTTTGTTGATTTGAATGAAAGAGTGAATAATTTGGGGAGATAATTGATGCTTATTTTTCAAAAACCTCAAGTATTTTTGGTTAGTGGGTCAGGTACAGCCTCTTTTTATTTATCTCGTCTGTCCTGTTAATTCAGGGAAATAATTCACAGAGCAGGGAATATATCAACAGACTTCTTAAGGATGAAATCATGACATAAAAGGAAATTATAGCCAGGTTTTTGTAAGGTAGAAAATTGCTGAAAAGGCAAATGTTAATTTTGTAAGCTATTGTGGGGAACAAATCCAAGGATTAGATTTTTGTTCCTATTTCAGCTGATAATAGCTGAGGTTAAAAAGTTTCTAGGGAAGTTTGATGCGGGTAGATGAAGACTATTTAAAACAGGTAAGCTGAGTTACATTCTTCCATTCCATATGGCAGGAAAACATAATCTCTCTTCTCTTTCCCACTAAATTAGTAAAAGAGCTGAAGATTGGCAGGAACCTTATTAGTTTCCCCTTTCACTTCATCTGTGCCTCATTTATTTTTGTCAGAATTTACCCTGCTGCATTTTTCATTAAGTGTCATTTACATTAGTACTGATATATCAATAGGGCTTATGTTTCCACCATCATCCTGATAAGGTAAGGGCAAAAGTAACTCTTGTGACTGTAAAGGATGCCTTTTGCTTTCTATTCTGAGTGAAAGCGAGATAGACACCTTTCAATTTTGTACTTGAACTCTCCTTTCAATCAAATACTTTGAGGATGACAATGAGATCAAGACAAAACCTGTTTATGATGCCTGGATAATTTGCAGGCCTATACTGGGAAACTGAATTGACTCTTCTCTGCATGTACTACAGTCCAAACAAAATACTTCTAGTTTAATAGAAGCATTCTTTTCTTCTGGACTATACATTCCAGTAGTAAAACCAGCTGACATTTTTACATATACATTTTTCATAAGCAGAACATTAGGCCTGAAGTTCTGCTTCTGACTTGAAGCCATTTTTCTCATGAATTTTAAAAATATCAGCAGTAAAGACTATTCTTTATGCTGACTAAAACAGCACTTTGGAGAGAGCCTGTTTGCATGGAAGCCAATGGACCAGTGCATAATATACAAATACCTTTTAAAAAGTAAAGCTATTTCTTTCCTCTCGGTATATTGATGTCATTGTTCTGCCCATAGGGAAAGTGGTGTGATTCAACAGCTCAGGAAAAGGGAACATATAATCATACACACTTCAGAACCAGAATTATGGCATGAGAGGAGAATAATCAGCCCAGTCCAATTGCTTGGGAATAGAAAAGCCCATGACTGTTTTCTTGCTTGTTTGGTTTTGTTATAGCTTTGTCTTGGGTTTGTTTACAGAGATGTATTTTGTTTAACCAAATATTAAAAATGAGATAACCTTTCCCAATGTGCTGATACTTGTGTGTGAAATTGAGCTGCTGTTTGTAAAAGGTGGAAAAATTGTGCATCTCATAAATTGACTATAACTTACCTTACCAGTCTTTAAGATATTCTACCAGTGAAAAGTTCAGAAGCACACATTATTTTATAAATCTGAAATTGGCCTAATAAAGTTATTGCCCTATTAAGGATTGAAGATTTTTTTCCCCCCATGACCAGCTCAACTATCTTAATTTTTTACAAAGCTATTGATTCAGAGTTGAAGACTTAAAACTCTGCTAGTAGCCTTTTAATGTCCAGTTTGAAAATGTGGCTCAACAGAGAAAACAATTGCCCATATCATTAACTTTTTAGCGTAACATGCAATTAAGCAGAAACTGTATAGCCACTAAGCTGAAATAATAAAGAAAACATTCCATAATTGCACTCAAACTATTTATTACAAAAGGGCTGTAGTGGACTTCAAAATAGGTGAAAATGACTTATCTAAGATTCCCTCAGCATTGAAACAACTTAACTCAAATAGAAGCTCAGTCAGTGAAATTTAGTATGCATCAGATTGTTCCATTGTACTTGTAGCATGCTTACTTCAGTTTTCGCTGTTTCTACTCTAAAATCCATCCTCGGTATATCAGGAGAGAAACACAGGACTATATAGACAAACATTGCTAACTAAATTTAGCCAGAATCTGGCATGTCCTGAGGTGGTTTCCTAGAAATAAAGATATCAAAATAAAAGCTTCCAAAGTTCTTGTTAATTGGATCATCAACTGAGGGAAGGAATAAAAAAAATCATGACTGCTTAAGGATTAAAGAAGAGGTCAATTTCATTAAATACATATTGGGGTTTGCCTCCATCATGAACAGATGTCCAAGAAAAGAAAAAACTCCTGCCTAATAAACAATTTCAGTATTTCCTTCCATAATATGGCTCCAGTGATTGGATTAAATCTTGCCAGGAAGAGAAGGCAGAGCACCTGACATTCCCCCAGAAAGTCCTGTATTTGGTCCTAATAAAATCTGTAAGAAATAAAAATATGTCAAAATGATTGAAATGCCAAACTAACATTAACATTTCTGCAAAATTGAAAGAATTTCTATTTCAAATGTCATAAACCCAACAATTATTTTGCATCATTTTTACTCATAAAAAATACAAATGTAGCATTTCTGTTTGCGATCTGTCATTACAAAAGTACAATTATTGGTTTATATGATTATCAGATTTACTGTATATGAAGCAACATTTGCAAATGCACTCATGTTTTTGATCCTGCAGTGTGCAAATGCCTTACTGTGCTAAATCTTAATATTCTGGTTAAGTATGAGACCTGGAAAGATTGTTCTGACAAAAATTCATTTAAATCTTTAGTTTTCTCAGAAAGTGGCTGCTATTGTTCCATTTCCTATTTTATCAGATTGGCTTTATTTTTGTATTTTAAAATATGTAAATAATCCTGTTCATATTTTCAAGACTGGTGTATTAATCCAAGTAATTATAATATTCCAGCAAAAGAGGGAAATTAACAATCAGAAATAAATTTACTCATCCCTGAAAGAAAGCAATGTGTTTACAAATATGACATAATGAAATAACATTTTTACTATGTAAGAAAGCAGTCAGATATTTGAAGTAGTTTTTCTGAAAGCACTTACAATAGAATATTACAGCAGTCATACCAATCACCATAAAATGTGCTCCTTTCAGCTGAGAATTATGGCCTCCAGTATAAAGGCTAAAAGATACCCATTACATCCAGCAATAACTGGAACAATAAATAGACATCACTGTGATAAAAGTGTGCACATTTATTAATGTGAATTACTACATAGATTAATGAGGTGACATTGTTGATACTACTACTGTGGGTGAATATTTTAAAGGAATGGTGAATATATACATATATACACATATGCATACAGTGTATATAGGTATTATCTTTTAGTCAGTTTTGACTTGTGCCAGCTACATGGACAAGCCCATTCCATTTTCTTGGCAATTGTTTCAAAAATGGTGATGTGCTAACAGGCTAAATGGCTGCAGTCTAATTTTTTTAGTATCCTAGTACTGCCAGCAGCTATTAGGATTTTAGAATACTAGACCAAAGCCATTAAGTCTGGATTGATGCCAGCCATGAAAGTCTGCAGCAGCATATTTTAAGTAATAATTTGCCATTTCATTTTTTTTATGGCTGAGAGCGCAATTGGCCAAAAGTCACCTAGCTGCTTTCTGTATCAAAGGTAGGATTAGTTTCCTGGCTTCTGATCCAATGCATTTAACTATTACTCTACAACTAACTCTCATTAACAGATAGATATACAAAACTTTCACCAATCTTATGTTTTCCAAATGTGTTGGACTAATAATGTCCAGAATTCCAAGCCAATACTGCACATTGAATGAAAAACTGGAGAAGTATAGAAGCTGAATTACAGGTGAAAAATTACATTAAATAAAATGTAGCTTTCCAATGAGTTTCTTTATAATTTCTTGATAGGTTGGAGAATGAAGGATATATGAAGTTCACAGACAAAAGGAAGATTAGATTCATTAGAGCTACAAGAGACAGTATTCACCTGTCTTTGTTGTAATTGCTGCTGCTGCTCCATTTGCAGCTTCTCAGTTTCAAAAACAACAGGAAGAACTAGGATCATGAAAGAAGTGGTCCCAATCCATAAAGCTGCCCTTGAGAATCTTTGGGAAGATGGAAGAAAGAAGTATATTCTTACTTTTGCTGAGATGGAAAGTAGCTACAGATCTCAGCTGTAGTATCTATCCATTTCACATCAAAAGATTCATATACAAACTACATATTCACAACAATTTGAAAAACCAAATTTTAAAAATTACCAATATGCCATTCAGGCCGATCATAAAGCATAAATATATATTAATTTCACCCAATCTTTGATCTTACACATAATTAAAACTAATGTTTTCATACTGTAGCAGATTTTAAAAATTCTTACTGTTTGTGGAACAAGTTGTGACCATAAGATTGATACCCTTTAATGGGATGAACAGCATTTAGGATTTGATTTCCAAAAGGTACTTCAAACACATAGCAGCATGTACATAAAACATGTCTGCAATGTTTTAAAGCAGCTACATCTTTTTTTAAGGCATTGCAAACTATCCTCCATCGTTTTCCATGATCATAGGAAAGGGGATAGCTGCTTTAAGGCACTGTAAACAGATGCTACATTTATGCTTTGAAGCACTTTTTGAAGATTGAATGCAAAATGATGTACGCTCTTCCTTTTCTAAAGAATAAAGCAGCATTTTTATTTTAATCTGCAATCTAGCCACCAAAGATTATAGGATACCTTTCCTAAAAGAACTATGGGATAAAATCCAAGTTTATAAAATCCAAGCATAAAAAAGCTGTTATAAGTGACATAGACTTGTCAGAGAGAGAGAGATACAGGAAATAGCTGTGGTTTAAGAGGTGCAGCTTACAGAAATGTGAATCATATATTCTCTAACAACATTTTTGGGAGGAATATCTAGAAATTTAACTATAGTTTATGAGATAGTGATATTTGGCTTCTATTTATTTTTAATTATATCTTTTTTCTACATACATGAATATTTTGTGTTTAATTTTAATTTTGTGTTAAAAACAAAGACTTCAATATATTTAATAATGAACCTTTATTGACTAGAATATTAATAAATATACTTATGCTGAACACAATCACATAATTTACTACAATTTATGCGGTTCTAAGTCCATCTCTCCCCCACAACTTAAGTGATGTCATGCTAGCATCTCAATCATATTTAACAATCAAGGTTCTCTGAGATCTCTCATCAGCTTTTGATACCATCAACCAGGTATCTTTCTGCATCAGCTTCAAAAGACTCCTTAAGCAGACTCAATCCTTATTTGGTTTGCACTTTGTTACTCTATTTGTATCCTATCCTGCCTTTATTTTTACAAATAGCTCAAGGCAGTGAACATATCCAACACACCTTCCTCTTCCTATTTACCCCACAATAACAACCCTGTGAGCTGGGCTAGGTTGAAAGAGAATGACTGGCCCAAAGGCACTCAGCTGGCTTTCATACTGTTACGATGGGACTTGAAAAGGTCTGCTGCTTGCTAGCCAAGTATCTTAACCAATAGACCAACTATTATTACAGGGAATGATCTGCTATATTACATGCTGGTAAGTTTTATTCTTAGCTTCATCTGAACTGCCCAAATGGAACAGATTCCACCCACATGCTTAAGAAACGTCTCTCCGGCCAACAGGTTCTGTATTCCTTTTGCAATAATGGCATACAATCAGGGCTTTTTTTCTCATAGAACGCTCAGAATGGAGTTCCAGCACCTTTTTTGGATAGAACCTTGTAGGATAGGCAAGGTGGGTTGTATGATGTGTGTGAGTTCTGGCACCTTTTTTTTTTTTTAAGAAAAAAAACACTGCATACAATAGTAGTAGATAACTAAATCATTCAGAAAATCTCAACATCTTTGGACTACTGACCAGTATCTCTACTTTTCCTTATCTCACCTGTACATTTTCTGAGCTACAGAAAGGGATACATCGAAGGTAGTTCCAGCTGCCGATCGAAGGCCCTCCGGAAACATCTCTGTCAGACCCCAAAGTCTCTCTGTCAGGGTCTCATCCAGCTGCAACAAGGCGAGAAAAAACGAAAACTAGGAGCCTGCCTGAGCCTCCAGCCTGTTCCCCCTATCTGCAGTTGAAGACGCGTGGGCTCAATCACTGGGACCACGACTATTCAGGCATCCCTCCGAGGAGACCCTCTTCTGGGAGCGAACGGCGCCCTGACAAACACGTTCCAACTAACCTCGTGGAGCCCCGGCCGTCTCGACACGCTCTGTCCCGCCTCCAGGAGAGGTCAAGCCTCGCACGGCTTGGCATTTTGCCTAGCCCTATACGGAGTTCCGCGGCAATGACCCGCTTACCTCGTCTTCCTCCTCTTCTGTATCCTCTTCCAGCTCCTCCGTTTTGCCGGCGCCTCCCTTGGCTGGCAGCAGGTCTTCGGGAGACAGTGGCGTCAAGGCGGCCATGACTGCAACCGAGAGAATAATGAGCACTGAAATCCCGCAGCGGCTAGACCGTTACCGGAAGTTAAGATCTTGAGGCTGATAGCCCCGGGGCCCTTCTGCAATTGCACAGCGACGCATAGCGCACGGGAGAAACAAGTGAAAGTAGC